GGGGGGGGGGGATTAAATGAGAAGGAGCCATTTGGTTGCACGAAAAGCCCAGTTTCAACGCACAATTGATGATCGGCATCAGAAGTACTTGGGCTCAAATGTAGCTTGGTCGCCGAATTGGAGTCGGTCATCGCGGTCGAGAGACAAAGGGACCGGTTAGTCCCCTCGTGCCAATTGGCAATCCAGGCCCGGCAAAAGTTATCAAACGTCGAGGGAATGTAGCTTATGGAACGGCACCGAAGTCCTCGCGACAGCAGGCGGGCTTTACACTCGGGGTTTACCCCCTGCTCCTCTCTTCCCTTTCCCGTCTTTAGACTGAGGCTAGGCTCTGCTTCAGCCTCTCATCTTCCGGAGTCCGGGTCAGTTTTGCGTGGAAGCTTGGGGCCAGGGAAAAAGACTACCGATCGCATCGGCCGCGCTCCCCCGCGTCGGATCCGTGAGATTTGGTATTTAGCATCACTTACCTGTAGATGGGATAGATGAGCTTTTTCTTGAGGGGTGAGAGCATGTAATCTAAACTGCAAAGCGATCAACCAGGAACGCGTGAAAGAGGAAAACTAATACAAGACCTCCAAGGCTTGCACGGTGATCTCTCGTCTACGTGACTTCATTAAGTCGTTCAATCCGTTTGCCGGCTTCCGAAAAGACAACGAAGCGCTGCCTGGCCCTTGCAACGCATTGACGGATCTGTGACAGTAGCGATGCGACCTCTGCTGAAGGGATCTGCTTTCATTACGGGCGCTGCCAGTGGTACGTAGCTCCATCCATTCCCGGCGACTATTATTCGGAGAATAAGCGAGTGGTCTCATGTAAACAGGAATTGGCCAGCATACCGCCGCAGCATTTGCCCGCCACGGCGTCACGCGGCTGGCCCTCGCCGACATCCACAAAGATAATCTCGCAGCGACACGTGAGGCTTTCCAGAAGCAGTTCCCCAAGATCGATATTCTCCCGATTCACTTAGATGTACGGAGCACCGCCCAAGTCCAGAGCGCAATTGCTGAGACGGTGCGGGCGTTTGGGCGTCTTGACGTGGCAGTGAATAATGCTGGGATTGGGGGCAGTGGCCGATTAACTCACGAAATAGAGGAAGAAGAAATCATGAGAATTTTGGATGTCAATTTAAACGGCGTCTACCGGTGCCAAAAAGAAGAGTTGGCCGTCATGATCAAGCAAGAGTATGTGGCATCCCTCTTCTATCTAAATGCTCTGTCTAGCAACTGGCCTAGACGCAAATGTAGAAATACTGAACAATGAAACCTCACAGAGATCTAGGTCCGAGGGAAGGCCGCGGGCGCATCATCAACGTTGCATCCATGTACGGCATCGTGGCGCCCTACCACGGAATGGCGCACACGGCGTATACGACGGCAAAGCACGGTAAGTGATTGGATTTGTTTCCTCCATTCATTTCTATTTTATTGAGTACCGAGAGGGAACTCAACCCTGCCCCATTGTCTCGCCACCCAATTCTGTTCCCTCAACCCCATGACCCTGTTCACGGCCCTTCTGACATGCCGCCGCGCGTGTAGCCGTCGTCGGCCTGACCAGAGGTGACGCGAATGCCTACGCAGGATTCGGTATCCGCATCAACGCCATTGCACCGGGATTCGTGGAGACGCCGCTTGTGCAAGCAACCATGGAACAAAGCGAAGATAAACCCCTGGCTCGCGAGGTGCGTCGCTCAGCCTTGGGCCGGATTGGGACGATGGAAGAGATTGGTGATTCCATTGTCTGGCTCGCGTCACCGATGAACAGCTACATGCAGGGCGCGGTCCAGATAGTCGACGGAGGCCTCACTTCTGCTTGAGTTGCCCTCTCCTCTCCGTAACCCGAGATCCTCCCAACCCAGAGCGACGGGCCACCGGGATGGAGGGCTGCTCGTGTCGGTCAGCACGCAAATTCCACTTCACTCAGCTGAGGCGAAAGCTGGGTCGCTCTGGGTCGCGATCGTATGATGAATTAGGATTAGCATCCTCTATATATTTACAGCAGCCAAAGAGCATTGTGGAATTGCACGGCAAACGCAACCCCTGTAAATGACCCAACGCCGCAGTGACAGTCCGATCCTTCTCGCAACGACCCATGATCCGTCTGCGATAATAGGAATACAACATGCCGTTTCAGGGGGCATTTCAAGCTTCTGGATTCATCCAAAGGCCCGCAATATGCCTTGAATATATCGCAGGACATCGCCGGTCTGTCCTCGCCTTGCATGGACTCCACTCATCGCAATCCTCGGGGTGATTTAATCCCATTGAATAAAATGCTGTCAATCCGTCCTTCATGGGCCTCGACGCCTAGGTGACTTTCTGTTTGTTGTTAGTAGTGCGTATGTTGTAATCCTCGATAGACCCTTGGTCTCTCGCCCTCGCCCCCCTGGTTCACGTATCGCGAGCGAGTACCGATCGACATCATGGACCAATACCCAGATTCAATGGATACGGAGACGTATTTGCGGCAGCTTTTCCCTCGTCTAGAATGGTTGGAGCGGCATCTGCGAATGTCGGCCTCGAGCGCGGTCATGATTGTGACGACGACGATTTGGACCGTTATGCGCATCGTCTCTCGGCGCATTGGCAAATTCAGATTCTACTCTGAGGACTACATCTATTTCCTGGGCCAGCTGTTCTTTTACGGCGCCGCTGGCTGTGCCATTGCCGGTAAGCCATGAACTCGAACCACACAGGGGTGAAGACACTACATGTACAGAGGCGACAATATGGAAGACTTGGCCAATCGCTTCTCTGAACACATTTTTGATTGTTTTCTTTCTCTTGCAGTTGTTGCCGTCGGTCCGCCCACAGGCCCGAGCATGATCAGCGTCAAGTACCGGATCATGCTTCCACTGCGACTTTGCTACGCCGCCACCCTGCTCTGCGTCAAAACGAGCATCCTCCTCTTAGTCAACCGCATCTTCGCACAGGGCTCACGCTTCGTCGGCAAGCTGTGCTGGTTCGCGCTCGCCCTTTCAGTTTGCTGGGCAATCTACGCCGGCCTCATCGAGTTCTTGTGGTGCTTGCCGGTCCGCAGCGCCTGGGATTCGACCGTCAAGGCCCCGGAGAAGCATTGCATCGACAAGAAGGTCGCATACGGTCTTATTCCAATCATCGATATTCCCATCGAGATACTCATCTTGCTTATCCCGCTGCAATCGATCCTGAAGCTCCAGGTCAAAACGCCGCACAAGATCGCCCTCCTCTGCATGTTCTGTGCCGGAATCATGTAAGTGACAACAGATATCAGTGGGAAAACAAGCTGAGAACCTAACGAGCTGCAGAACAATTGTTCTATCCAGCATCTACCTCTACTACATCATGACCGACTTCCATAAATCCTACTTTGTTTGCATCATCCACGCCGGGATAGCCCAGATGGTCGCCTCCAGCACTGCCCTGCAGCCGCTGTTCAACAAGACCGCGGTGCGGTTCTTCAGCATGGTTACAGGACATAGCGGGCACAGCAAGAGCAACAAGTCCGGGGCCGAGAACTCGTCTCAGGGGCTGCATGATAGGAGGAGCGTGAGAAACACGGCGCGAATGTCCCGGAATCCATTGGGGAGTCATTCCGGGCTGAGGGAGCACCCGCATCTTACGACCGAGAGCGAGGAATATCTCGCCATGACTTCTTCCGATACGTGGGGGCAACCAAAGGATAATCGAGATGCTGTGTAGTGGCATTCCCGCCCCTGACTTTCTTAATGATAATATTGAATGATCTATGATGCGTTTATTCTTCCTGCATTTCCGCCTCCAGGTACGAAAATGTGAAAGCATGCCAGTCAGGCACATCTTCCTCCCTCAATCCCATCTTGTGCCGCCAACTGCCATATTGCCCCGAAGGGGATTGTCCCGGCAATCTGGATATGGCTAATGTGACTTGATTTTGTCTAAGAGGGTGGTTTGGAGACAAGTCCTGGTCATGTCTCGGCTATCCACGACCAATAGAAGGATGGGGCTGCTTGTCTCAAAGCTACCAGTGCATGCCATAACTGGCCAGGATAAGACTGACAAATGTGAACATTCGAGATGTGCAACGACAAGATAATTCGGGAGGCCGGCAAATCCTTCATCTCGACCTAATGTTGTGGGTGGATTCTGTGCCGTCGACACCGCTTTCGAAGGAGTTGTCTCAGTGGGAACACCGAGATTGGGTGGGAGAATTCGGAAGCTGTCCAATCGTGTATTCAGCCCTGTTCAAGGCCGCCGCCGGAGGTGGTCCGAGTTTTCAGCCTGCCTACTTTTGTGGTCAAGGGCCCCAGCCTATAGTTTGCCGCCGGATCTATAAAACGGCAGAGTGGTCCGTTCTGTGGGACCGATACTAGACAAGGGCTTAAGGAGATGTCTCGAACATCACGTCACGATAATGGACGTGAAGAATGCTTCCATATGTTGTTAGACTTGAATCCCCAGATCATCTAGGCAGTAAACAGGAATGAGAATTGGAAACTCCCAACTGGGGAATGGCATAACGATAAAGGACGTGGAATGGTGATCATGAGAGTAGCATTTAGAACTGAGACAGCTTGACCAAAAGAAGTGGTAAAAGCACTTCCATTGCAAGATATAAAAGAGATTCATTCTTCCATCCTATGGACTTTATTCAGCAGAGCAACTCATTAGTTACAGCCGCTCCCTAAATCAACAGAATTTCTCCACTCATCCAGATCTTCCTTCGTTCAATTTTTCTTCGTTTCCTTCTACTTGTAACCATGAAGTTCACAACTGCCACTCTCACCATTGCCGCCCTTGCGGCCAGCGCCTCTGCATTTCCCGTGGCGCATAATGGCACTACCATTGCGCACAATAAGGCCGCCAACCACACGGTCACTAAGACCGTCCGACTCGAAGCAGGTAGCCCCAAGCCAGTTACAACTCCCTCGGCCTCAAACGATGAGTTGCTCAAATTCCTCATCGAAAAACTTGAATCGGGAAACGCTGGTCCTATCCAAAAGCGCAAGCTGGATGCTATTGAGATCAACGCCAAGAAGCTTGACGCCCGTCAGACCGAGGATCTCCTGGGACTCCTTGGCGGTTCTACCGACATGACTGGAGGTGGCCTCGATAGTCTGTTGGGTGGCCTCGATAGTCTGTTGGGTGGCCTCGTTAGTCTGTTGGGTGGCCTTGATGGTGCAGGTGGTGGCGGCGCGGATCCCCTGGGTGGCCTCGAAGACTTAACGGGCGGCGCCTCTGATCTTGGCTCCGGTGCCACTGGCGGTCTGGAAGGCCTTGATAGTTCTCTTGGAGGGCTGACCGGAAACCCTGGAGGAGAAGGCGGCGACCTTGGGGGCCTCACTGGTGGCCTTGAAGGTCTAGGGGGAGATTCTACAGGAGCCCCCAAAGAAGACGGTGGAAACCAACTAGTACCAGGCCAAGACGGCAAGCAAGACAACGGTAAAGGTCCGGACCTGGGATCCATCACCGACTCCCTCCCCAAGCTGTCGGACAAAGACAAGGGAAAGACTGGCAATGTCAATGGCACTCTTTCATCTCTGCAGAGTCACAAGGGCAAACAGGAGGATGGAGAGGGTCAGAAGGGAAAGACCAAGGATGAAAAGGATCCCAAGGGCAAGACCGACGATGGAAAGGGTCAGTAATCAATGTCAATAGGTTGCGTGTATTTTCCTGCCACAATGGTAACTGGGGCAATGGACGAGGCCTCATCCACCAGAACGGCATTCTCGGATTTCTGAGACGATTGGCCTTGATTCAGACGGACGACCCAGAAGTGAAAAGATCTTCTCATTTCGATTTCCCATAATCTATTTCATCTTATTTCTATCCTATTCAAAATTTCTATATTAACTTTCATTATTACCCCTTATGAATGTCTTTTGCGAATGCTTTTGTAATTCCAACGCATAACTTCAAATGCAAATGGCGCCTATATATACATCTCGTAACCTTTTCATGAGCTTGAATAACCATAGATATCGCGGGCCGACTTGCTCTTCGCGGCGAGGATGTCTCCATAACGAATGAAGGCGAAGGGAATCACACCCATAACCAGTGCAATGAAACCAAGGAGCGATGGAGCCCAGTGGATGCCGAGGCTGTCGTACATCGGCCCAGCAGCGAGCGGCAGCAGAACTGCACCGATTGATCGGGTGGTGCCTGCAGCTGCCTGGGCAGAAGCAGACAGCTCGCGAAAGACATCGTTAATGTAGTTGCTCATCCCGATAAAAACCAACTGGAAGCCGAGACCGAAAAAGAAGCCGCTGAAGGCGGGGAGAACGGGGGATACAAAGTCCCATGCTGTCCAACCCAACCAAAAGAGTGCAATGACCATACTGCCATATTCTATTAGTTTGAATCTCGTCTTAGGAATTATGGGGGAACATACAGTGGAGCAGCCATACAAGCCAGTGGTAGGCGGCGGTTGACCTCTCGGAGTGCCCATGGTTTGCCAGCCTCGACGGATCGATCATAGTACCAGGTCCACAACCCAGCGATGGCCATGGCAACAATGGCACCAAGAGCCGCTATTAATTTGCATTAGTCGTTTGTTTATCAACGTAGTGGTATTCAAGACTTACTCGGTAAGAAAGCAAGACCAGCGACCCCTGGGCTAAGGCCATAGTGTCCTAGAATCATGAGTCAATATGCTGGGAATGGATATTTGTATCAACAAATTGGATGTTCTTACTTTGGAAAAGAATTGGGTACGCCTGAAACATCAAGTAGAAAACAGAGTACACCAGAGTGAGATACAAACAAGCGAAGAGCAGGATCGGTTCCGTAAAGAGGAGAACGAATGGGCGAACAAAGATCTTCCGAGGGTTAAAGACGTGCATTTGTTCCAAGGATTCAGGTCCCGCAAGACCTTTCTTGATCTTGCGACGGATGTCCTTGTTTTGAAGCACCGGGGCGAATGTCTCAGGGATCGTGAGCACTATCGGCAATCCCGGTGACGCGATGATGGCGGCAGCCCAAAAGGGCCACCTCCAGGATAACTGAGAGCTAAATCCTGAAATGATGGGGCCAATCAGGGGACCGCAAGTTGTGACGGCTTGGTAGAAGGAGATAGCACTGCCTCTTTCTGAGGGATTGTCAAGAATGTCTGCATAGAGGCCATTGATGACAGTCGTGGGAGCAGCAGCGTTGAATCCACACAACAGACGAAAAATGAGCAAGGCGCTATAGCTAGGTGCCCCGGAACAAGCAAGCATGAATACGATGTAGCCAATGAATGTCCCAATGAGCACGGGTCGTCGTCCGATAAATTCGCAAAGGGGCCCTACTACGAGGGGACTGATGACATATCCTAGCATGTATAATGAGTTCAGAAGAGTGAGCTGGACCTTGTCTGTGACAGAGAAGTGCTCAGAGATGGCGGTTAATGCACCAGAAGGCATGGAGGAGCCGAGGTTGCAGTTGAAGGTGCAAGTAAAACCTGCGACGATGATGTGAATTTTGCGAGCCTAGAGATACATCCATGAGGTTAGTTGTTATCATATCCCATAGCAGCCGGCTAACTGTCGAATGAATGAGCGGGATGTCATAACATACCCATGGTAATTTGGTAGGATCCCACGATTGAACACCCTTCGAGGGCTGTTCTTCTACTGAGATTTCTATGTTCTGTTTCTCAGCATCCAAGGACCTCCTCGAGTCAAGAGTAGGAGCCCGGGAATCGAACGTTTCCGACATCGTTGATAGATGGCAGTGAGGATACTTTGAGGACGAGACACCACCAAAACCACTTGGCTGCCAATTTCCTTAAATAGGGGACAGTTTATGGGCATTAAACCCGATTTTCAAACAAAAACTATCACATGCCCCATTGCAGACCGCTGTCGGATCGGGTCTAGACACGCCTTTGCTGCAAAGTAACAAAAACTTTTCTTGGATCGTTTGTTTATGGACTGGCGGTTTCCGTGCCGGAGCCGGCGAACATTCAGGTGATTTGATTGGCTGTAGCTTTCCGAAACTCTTTGTCATCGGAGACGGTGCTTTGATTTAATTTGCTCCTAATTTCCGACGAACTACTCCGCCGCGCCCTTCCACGCAACTTTCTTTTAAACTTCCGACTGTCGGCCCTGTTCTCAGTTCATCAGAGATCTCTACAAGGATAGTTCGACCGTTCTCGGGTCTATTCAGGCCTTAAGCGAGCGACACTTCGCAATTCCGCGATCACGCAATGACTCCTCCGTCTGACAGTCGCAACCTGGACAATGCCCGTGAGCCATCCGCCTCCTCTGAGAATTCCCCCATCACCTCTGCTCAGAGCTCCCGAAGAACTTCAATTCAGGAAAAGAGGCGAACTAGTATGTGGATCAAGCCCTTAATACCCACTCATGCATTCCACGTGTTAACAATCCTCGTTGTCGTAAGACGGACGGGCTTGCACCACTTGCCACCAGCGGAAAATTCGGTGTGATATCCTCACTAAAGGTATTCCCTGCACAAACTGCTCCTCGCAGGGTCGTGCCGGCTGCTGCCCTTACCAGAAGAAGCCGAAACAACAATCCTCCCTGAACTCCCTTCAGTCTTCTCGATCTCCTGTGCCAATCCGGCCCCGAGGACGGCCTCCGAAACGGACACCAGCGACATTAGCTCTTCGCCCGGAAGCGTATATATCGCCCGAATCAGTAGCCAGTCCAGATTATGTCGCCAACTCTGCCAGGCAGCCCTCCAAGTCTCCATCACGGGGCTCCCAGCAGACATGGGAAGGTGACGAAGTGAACGAATCCGGCAATCTTGCGGATTTCATCAACCAGGAAGACTTCCGAGCCTCCGAGATCAGCTATCGCGGGCGATGCTGCTTCCTCGGGTCTGAGATATCCAACTTCAACTATCTCATAAGACAGAACTCGCAACAGCCCAGCCAGGATCATGTCCTCCATATGAGAAACCGCCAATTCCACAAAAAGTACACCGTCCTGGACATCAAAAACATCCCGGCTGAGGCTTTCAAGCGACCGGACAAGAAGCTGGCAGATGAGCTCCTCGAGGCCTATTTTGTTCATGTGAACCGTGGCTGGCCAATCGTGGACGAGCAGGACTTCATGGCCCATTACAACGGCAGGGTCGCAGCGAGCTCGGTTCCTCTTCCACTGATGAATGCCCTTTTCCTCGTCGGAGCACATGTGCTGGCGCCCCAGCGCCCAGAGCTGAGAGCGCTGCAATCCGTCTACTTCCGCAGGGCGAAGACGCTGATTGACGCGCGGTTCGACCAGGATCGGACGGTTTATGTTCAAACCGCTCTTCTTATGACGTGGTATTCGGATGGCATGGAGGAGATTGTGGCGAATGCCTGGCACTGGATTGGGATTGCGACGAGGACTGCCCTTGGTGTCGGAATGCACCGAGATGCTTCTGCCTCAAGGATGATGGAGGTGCATAGGCGGACGTATGTGAGGTTGTGGTGGGTTTTGTTCCAGTTTGATACAATGATATCGGCGGCATATGGCCGACCTCAAGCTTTGTGAGTTGTTATGTGTGAAAGTGACAATTGACCACAGCACTTGGACTAACACAGTACTCAGGTGCTTGGATGAATCGGACGTGCCCTTCTTGGAGGCTTCTCACTTTGAAGGAATCCCAAACGCAGAGATTGACTTCATTACACGTCACACTCAACTCTGCATCATTATATCAAGAACAATGAAGAAACGCTGGGCGCTTCGAATCTCCGATGCTGAAAGAATCGAGGCTACCAGAGAGGGTGATCGTGCTCTCGCCCAGTTCATCACCCAACTACCACGATCACTCCGCCTTCCCGTTCATGAGTCTGAAATCTGGAAATCCACGCTTCACCTGACGTACAACAATTTCCTGCTGCTGCTCCACCGTCCACCCCCGAGACAGTCTCTGGGGGATAAAGCGGCCGAAGCGTGTACAGATTTGAACATTTGCAGTGATGCCACGGCGGGGATGACGTCGATTCTGGAAACTTTGAACGCGAAGAACGGCCTGTCATCCCTCTGGCTGTACGGCCTACACGCCGTGTTCACGTGTATGACGCAGGTGAGCACCGAAATGGCATCCGAAAGCCCCTTGGTAGCAGCAAAGGCACAGAGGATGTTCGAGTCGCTCTCGGCTTCGCTTCGTGAACTTGCATGTCAGTGGCAGTTTGCGAAGGCCCTTGTCCGGCTCTTTGAGGAAAGGGAGGCCAAGATACGACAACAACCACCAAAGCTGGCCGCGACAAGCATGGTACCGCAACCACCGGACGTCTCAGTAGGGGGCGATGTCCATGCCGAGGCAGGGAACGGGTTCTCCTTGCGCCCGCACCCACTCTCCCAAGTTACTCCAGCGCCCGTACTGGTGCACGGCGCGGCGCCAGACAACATAGCCCCGGCAATACCTCATACAGGGCAGCCTCTTGGCCCTTATGAGGGCTTCTCTGAGGGATCAAGTGTTCATGTTGGGTCTGATTTCGATGATATATTCATGGGCGATTTCCCTTTCCAGGACGCGCCTGCACTGGAGGCTCTTCTCGCTGGCATGGATGGGAGTGATTTTATTTCTGGGTTAGAATCTTAATTTACTTGATGCTGGAGAATTTCTTATCCACAAGAGTCACCGCAAAGGAAATCACTTTTGAGATTGCAACTAGGTTTAATTTCTATATGTTCTATGATTTATATAGGAACACTGAATTATTGTCATTGTCATGGCCACTGGCCAGGAGAAAGCCACTATATCAAATAGTGCTTTCTCCACTCCTTATCCTGGACGCGCCTCCGTTCCCTCAAGTTCTCCTTTTAGTGCTTCAGGTTCCTCAGGCGGAAGCTACGGGCATGGTTGCGACGGAACTTGTTGAGGCTGGCAGTGGTGGAGTTGGATCCACCGTACAGAGCAGGGCCGGGCATCTCGTAGCTGGTGAGGGTGGTGTAGGGGTTGAAGAGAATGCCAGGGTGATCAGCAGTGTACAGCTCAGTTCCGAGGACACCCTCGGGGTTGTCGGTGCCGGAGCCGGTGATCTCAATGTTGAAGCACTGGGGGTAGTTCTGGGCACCGTTCTGGGAGCCAGCACCGTGCATAGCAATGATCTCGTGGCGGAAGACGTAGTTGCCGGGGGCAAGAGTGGAGGGGACGGTGGTGGACCAGGTGTTGTTGTTGGCGATGAGGTCCTGGGCAGCCCAGACCTGGGTGGTCAGGTCGATGCCGGCCTCGTCAATCTTGACCCACTTGAGGGAGTCCTTGTCGGCAGAAGTGCAGTCACCGTCGCACTTGGCAACGTAGGTGAAGACAGGTCCCTTGTGAGACTCGGGCCAGGCGGACCAGAGGAAGTCGACGGTGCCGCCAGCGGCAACTTGCACGGAAGCCTCGCCGGGAGCGGCGTTCTTGTGGCAGTTGATGTCGGAGGTCTGGTAGGCGTCGGGGGCCACAAAGCCGTTGTCGAGGTTCTCAGCGTACCAGCCGGCGACCTTGGGAGGGGTCTGGCCGTTGACCTTGGCGTAGTAGTAGTCGAGGAGGAAACCGCCGTGGGCGACACCATCGACGCGGAAGTTGGGGACTGTGCCGTGAGCGAGGGCAGAGGCGGCGAAAGCGCCGAGGAGAGAGACGGAAGTCTTCATTTTGAAAGATGGTGTGAGTGTTTGTTTTGGATCGGGGGATAAAAGAAGGTTGAATATTGTATGTAGCGAAAGTAAGAGGGCAGTCGAACGGTTCCAGCTCCGCCCAGCGAAGTAATTGTAAAGACTGAATGAAGTGAGAAGATGAGATGAAGCTTGAGGAATGAAACATATCTCGGGGTGGGAGTTTCACTCGCTTTATAGCATGAACTGTATGCGCGATCGCGTACCAACCTTGGCGTCTTTTCAACACAACTCTCCAGGGCTCCGGTCTACCAGAGTAGTTGCACTGACCACACGGTCACAGATCTTGAAACATGAAAAGCATCAGTCAGCGGAGACATTCCGCAGAATGGAAATTCCACGATTGGTCAGTAAGCATAGGGGCTGCAGGCACCGGACGATAAGATGATAGGAGGCAGTCTCAAACTGACTCCGATTACCGAATGCGTAAAAGTGTTACAGGCGGGCCCGCCCATGCAGATAGGTCCTGGGAACCGAGTGGTGTGACGGGGATGTTGTCAAGGAACTGCAGCGTAGCCTGAAACTCGGAGTCAGAACCTCCGCGATCGCCCTGTGTTAAGGGATGAAACTTCTGGCAACATTCTCTGTGCTAGTACGTGGGAAATTCTTATCTCTCGATTTCATCTAAGATCAGCAGAAAAAAATGACGCCAAAAGGGCCAATGTATTCGCTTGGCGACAATTTGTCGCAAACGGTGGGCGCCAATTTGAAACATCGGCAGGGATAGGGGAATTTGTATCTCGATTGGCCTTGTAGGTATTCAGGTTTTTCCTGCATAGTAGCTTGATGCCAGTATACGATCTACGTACGTTGCTTCTTATCCTTGGAAAAGAGCCTTCAAGTATCCGCTCCAGTTGTCAAAGGTGGCATCAGCTTGCACAATCTCCCAGACATCGCTGGCCTTTTTCGCAACATTTTCAGGCAGAGCACCTGCGTTGATGAATTTCAATGTTTCCTTCTCCTGCGCCGCATCTCTCGCCCCAAAGATGATGCCATCCCCGTGCTCTCCCTTCAGGGCGGAGTGGTAGACTACCCACCGAAACGCGAGCTCGGCTCTGGAAATCCCGGCTTCCTCTGCAATATGGCCCCAGGCATCCAATGCTTTCAAGAATGAGGGCTTGTTGTATAATGAGGAATACAATTTGCCCAAGAAAGTACTTGTGTCAAAACGGGAGACACCAGCCAAGAAGTCCTCTTTGGGCTTGGCAAGCAGCCCCCCAGCAATCGGGCTATAGGCATTGTAGGTAATACCAAGCTTTCGCAGCAATGGGATCAATTCTAATTCAGGGAGGCGGCCGATTGCATTATAGGCACCCTCATAGACAGTCGGTATCACACAGTCATTTGCAACGGCCGCGTCATAAAACTTCTGCACCTCCTCAGGGGAGAAGTTGGAGAGCCCAAGGTGTTTGAAAGCACCCTTCTTGTACAGTTCGTTATAGCCCTTGACTTGCTGGTCCAGGGGAGTCTTGCTGTCTGGAGCATGGAGGTACAACACTTCAACCTATGACAACGTCAATACCTATCTTATCGCCATTGTGCAAAGGGCAGAGCCTACCTGATTCGTCTTGAGGAGCCGAAGGCGTTCCTTTCCCACCTCAACAATCTCTTCCGTCGTTCTTCCGGCAGCAAATCCACCCTTGACCTTGGTGTGGATGATGAATTTCTTCGCGGCATCATGGTGAGCCAGCTCTTCTTCACTCCCCTCGTACAACTCAGAAGTGTCGATGCTTCTAACACCTTCAGCTGACAGGACTTCAAGTTGGTCACGGACCAGAGCGCGGGCGGTATCGACACCCAGGAGATCGTTCAGGTAGGTTCCATAACCTCCCGCCCCAAAGATGAGGTTGATCCCGTTAGGAGCAGACATGGTCACGGGTGATATTTTAAAAGAACTGAATAAGGACTTTGAAAGAAAGGCACTCTTCCCTGTCGGTTCGGGTGATAGCGATGGTTCTCGACTTCCAAACAGCGGCGACTCGGACGAATTTATAGAGGCCATGCCAACTTCCAGCAGAGGCACAACCTCTGCCATGTCAACCGGAGTTACCAGGTCACCTTCTCCGTCTCCGTCCCAGCCCGTAGTTTAGGGCGGATTTTGCATCCGTACTTCCATCGGCCAAACTCGATCTCTACAAACTCGAGGCTCATTCGTGAGAGCGTATGGTAGATAGCCCGCCAGAAGAGCTGCTTTGTAATTGACTTGATAGAGGAAGTGGGTGGGTGGAGAGGCGTCGACACTCAGCCAATTGCGATGGCGCCCATACGAGCAAGGGAAAAGCGGGTGGAGCACGGCCAAGTTGTCCGGGAGCATTGTGAGCATGACATGAGCTGTTGCTTGATCGGTACATTAGGTACTATGATTCTTAACAATCATCGCTTCTTTTTGAAAACAAATCATTGGATTTAGTAATCGTGGGTGGTAATCGTAATCATACCATTTTTGTACTCGAGAGTAGGATAATATGAAGGTCTTTTGGCATATAAGCAAGTATCTAGGCCTTGGTTAAAATTCCGCTACCCTAGACAGATGGCCCACGCATCATACAATTTCGTTCAACACAGCCCAACACGTCAGTTAACCCGAGTAGTAAAAATTATATGTATGTACCTATAGTATATTATAGTATTGGAAAGCAATCTACCATCTAGTGTCGATTACGTATGTGGGTAGGTGGTGTACCTGACGACAGACTCCGCCTCTATGTAGGACTTTCCCATGCCTCATGTAAGGTGAAATTCCAAGAAAGACTTTGAAGTTACTATAAATAGATATGCGAATGAACAATTTCCATAACTTTATGCTACCTCTAAACGTTGCAGTCTTTTGTCATAAAAACCTAGTGCTAGATAATACTTGTGCCAAGATATCCAACGCAGCATGCAGGTATTTCATTCAAGTACTGAGCTGTTATGGGTGCATGTTCAAGCGTCAGCTTCGAGCAGTAGCTCAACATTTTTTTTGAGAATATAGCGAAATTTTTGTAAAAATACAGCATGGCAAAAGTCACGTGTGGTCTGATCTACGGATACACCCTTTGCTCATGGCAATATCACAAGAGGGGAAAAAGAATAAGCGGGAAATTATCACACCAGCCACGGTTGAAGTTACGTTGGAAAAATTTATTTCATTATCATACTTGGGCGAGTAGTCGCGTGAGGTCTAGACAAATACGTCTACCTAATCATTATTACAACCTTCCAAATGAAGGAGAGAAGAGTATCATAGCCCATCTAGTTGGAGATCTTGGAGTTCACTTTGTTTCTGCACCATATCCGCGTTAGCCCACATCTTTATAAGGACGACGGGTGATGGGAAACAGAATTATTCCGTGTGTGTGCTGCCGCCGACAATCAAGGGGGCTTGAAAGAGGCCAAATGGCGAGACCTACCCGGTGACCTTCTCGTAGGCTTGACGGCCGCCATCAGTGATCTTCTCCTGCTTATCTTGGCTCAAGTTCCATCCCTGCTTCTTGTTGACTTGGCCAAAGGCTGGTACGATTGTTAGCGCAAGGTTCATAAGCGGAGTACTCATGTTGACTCCTGTAGGCGAGCTAAAGATGCAAATACCCTTGTCAACGTAGTCCTGCTGTCCTCCTTGAGCAGGCTGGCCTCCCTGAGCAGGCTGCTGCTGGTTGCTGCCGCCCATCTTATCGGCTGCCTTTTTGACGAAATCCATTGTTGATGTGAAGTGGGGGACTGATTTGGTGTGAGAAGTAGAGGATGCTTGAAAGGTTATTATTGATTGTCTGATGCTATGAAGAAATGATCTAATACCGACGGGCTCTGGTTCTACTTATATACCCATCTGGCGACTACCTTTTACGCTTGACGGCTGACGCGTGCCAGATGGAGGGTCCACTGACACCATCAGCTATCCAAGGGCTTAGTGATGCCTCTCAACCCGCCTTTGAGACCTCTGAAACACATGCCGTGGGACAAGTATGAGGGGTAGGCGTCATATCACGTATCGTCCCACGCTGTGCGTCATTCCTACCAAGTTTTGGCTTCTGCCAAAGGCGTCGATGCTTTCTGCTAGATATTACGTGCTGGCAAATCAGGAGCAGGCTGGTCACTGATCGACAGAGAGCCGAATTGCCGGCTAACCGGTGATCCATTTTCGGGATTAGTCCTGCCGCCCATCTCAGAACTACGTCACATCGGGCCCTCTATGACGCCGACCAACTCTGGTCGCGATACGCAATTGCGGCAAAGAGGCGGCTATCGAGGCTAGCAGTCTTGCATATGAGAAATTGATTTTCAGGGTCATAGCAGGAATTTGGGACAGGGGCCTTCAATTCACTCGTCAACTTGGTTGCATCAGCTATGCTGCCATGTCAGCTTGGGCCCTCGGTTATTGCGATCGAGCTATACAAACTACGGTAGATCCAATAGCTTGTGGCTTGAAACCGGCCAAGACGCAGCATACGCGGAATTGATGGCGGCATTCTAGTAATTCTCTGATCTCATGTGGCTCGTGTAGCCTAGATAGAGTTCCCATCGCCGGTGAGCTAGTCAGCTAGCGACAAGCCGGCCACTTTCGCTTGGAGAGTTGCATCTTCCTACGAAATACAGAAAATACCAGATGGGGTGTTCAGAAGCATGCTATCTTTATGAGATTGCTAAAATTACTTCACATATGATTGCGTAATCGTTCACGCTGGAGTTGTGAATCAGACCGAGAGTGACTGGGACACAATGATATCATGATATGATCCTAATGTCTCCATTCCTGTTTCACATAGGGTGCCCAGGAATTGCCATGGATATATTGCTACGAGCTGGAACATGGGTGTGACACTCTATTGAGAGCTCTGATAGAGGTCCCTAAATGGCGCATCTCATCTTTCGGAGTACGGATCATACCAACTGTCTTTGCCAACATATTCTCTATCGTTTCTTCGAGGTTGAAAAGTTGGAAAGGAACAGTGCCTTACTTGCAACCCTTTATCATTGCCCTTTCAAAAGTTTTCCAATTGCAGCACTTCCGTTGCTATACTAGGGAAGCTTTCTCTTTCAATACATTTGTCAGTTAATCTCTGTCAACGACATGTAAGCGGTAATTCTTGCTCGAGCGGTTATACAGTCAAATTGTTGGAATTGGGGAAATGCGATCCGTAAGCTTCCGTAGAGTAGTCAAGGGTTTGGAAGACTGTATGAAGATAGTGATTTGGGGGAGACAGTTCCCCTAAGTAACTTTGATGTACCTAGCTGGAGGATATAGGAGTGAATGGAGAGTCTAGGCTGGTAGTTATGTCGCAGGTGGTAGCAACATGCAGAAGCAACTTTGAAAGTCTCAAATTGAGGATAATGATGGAACTAGAAGCGATCTATAGATTGTCCAGTCCATAGACATCATAGTTTTTCTGAAAACCTGCTTCTCCACTGCTCAAGTATGTCATCAGCAGTGTCCACGGACTCAGTAGCCATACCATAGCCTGCTTGGAACCCTGTACCGCCGGCACCATAGTTATGCACAATAATGCGAGTGTGACCAGCTACATCAATGTCAGTGCGTTCAATTCTTGCACCGCCCTCTCGTGAAGGTCTAAGGCTTGAGAAGGCTGCGAGAGTCTCGAAGCTGTGTTTGGACAGCTCTGGGCTCAAAGCTGTGGTTCGTTCGATTATGGAGTCGGCCTCGCTCGCGTAGGTAGAGCTGTCGCTATCCGAAAGGTTTAGTAATGTTGATTCATGAGTGTGGAGGAAGATGAAAGTACCTGTTCCCTTTTTGCATGTAACCTCCCAAGATGACACATCCGTTGGATTCAGGTCGGGGAATAATATACGTCTCATAGCCTCGTCCATGTCTCATGACATTTGTGTGCACATGAGGCACACGTGCAAGCAACACTTGGCCTCTTGTTGGATAACACTGGGAGTCTTCTACTCCAAGAAGAGTCTTTGCCTGGTTACCGACGCAATTGAACACGATCTTGGTTTTGGGATTCGAAAACGGGTCTCTGATGTCTGAAACAACCTTCCGGACGAATCGAACTCCATACTCCTTCTGCAGTCTCTCGTATAGATACATGAGATGGTTTGGAGCGTTCAAAGTTAATGTAGTAGACGCTACACCAAATTTGACACCCTCGGGTAGTTAGCTGGGGGACAAAACTCGAAACTGCGAGCTGGTTACTAGAACATTATCATCGATGAGATTATTCCAAAGAGGGTCTAACATTCTTGAGATACTCAGCCATGTCCTAAATTTTCTCCTCTGGAGCATCGTTGTCCCAATATTTAATGGATTCAGTCTCGCGAACAAAGGTCTTTGAGGAATCTGTGGCTGCAAGGCTGGATAAGTGAGCATATCCTTTCTTATCCCACCGCAGCGCATTTTTATCGCGACCAAAAATGGCCGAAAAGTTACATCCAGCCCTTGGTAATGTTAGTATATCAAAATCCGCATTCGAAATGTTTAGCTAACCATGGAGAAGTGTATGAAGGCGCAGGGTCACCCGGATGGTGTTCCGCAGCAACAGTTATCTGATCTCCTAGACCACGTTGAGCCAGAACCAGGGCGACATTCAGGCCAATAATACCAGCGCTGCCAGTCAGAGTTAGCTTGAACTGGCTTCACAGTAGACCATTTGGGTTACGTACCCTACGATAACAATTCTCTCCCTGGAGCTAATCATGTTGGCTGAATGAGGGGCGCTCTTGATGTATTGAATGTAATCCTGGTACGGCTTTCCCCCTCTTTTTGAACCAATCTTTCTACCTGGAAGGCTTATCAATCGTCACTCGCATGAGTCAATTTCCTGCTGATCAGGGTTGCTTTCCGGGGCTGTTGTCGGCTGCAGAAGACTTGCCCGCGGGAAACTTCCATGGGAAATTCCGCGGGCACTTCGGGTCCGAATGGAGGCTACGGACAGGGAATCCCACAAACCAAAAGCATCAGGAGAAGAAGCATAATGTAGATCGATTGTCTCCAGTCATTTGACACGCCGAATAATCGCGCAGATCCTCACGAGAACAGAAGATGGCTTGGCAGAACAGGAAATGGAAACCAGTGGCAATTGACGCTGTAACTCAACGTTCCCCCAGAAGAGCCCCTCTGAATCAAGGGGTCCATCTTTAAGTGGGCACGGATATTCACCCTTAAGCTAATCTATTGTCAAGTCGCATTCGAGGTGCATCCCCGACCTCGACTAAGGCAATCTGCGAGAGGGGTCAGAACGAATGTGGCATAGCCCACTTAACCGGAAGTCTGGCTACGCTCAATGACCCATGAGAATGAATATATATTGCCTAAAGGCGCATCTCAACACATCCTTCTTGACCAAAATACACTATGCCTAGCGTTGTCGAAGTTCCGAAGCCTGCCACCTTCAGCGCAAAGCTGAAGCAGAAGCTCGCACAAACACAGGAGAAGGCGTCCAGAGACTTCCGATCTGATGTCGTCACTGTGCCAGAACTCCCTAGTCGATCCTTAGGTCCCTCCTATTGTGAATTCTCTGAACACAGCTGATTCTTTTCTAGGCTATCGTGGATGCCTCTGTTAGCGATGATATCTACGATGAGGATGGTGACCGCTGTGTCAAGGCCCTTGAACAGAGACTCGTCGAGTTGACTGGTATGGAGGCCGCACTCTGGACAGTTTCGGGCACCCAGGGGAATCAGATTTGTCTACGTACACACCTGACCCAGCCTCCCCACAGTGTTCTCCTTGATCACCGTGCCCATGTTCATTGCTGGGAATCCGGTGCCCTTCCCGTCATTTCTCAAGCCTCCACAACAACGATCAAGCCTAAGAATGGGGTCCATCTGACACTTGAAGACATCAAGCCCGGCATCATTGCTGACGGAAATAGTGGGTAGTTGTCCGTGGCTCCTCAAAGCTTTCCAACCAGCTGACCTTTACTAACAGTTCACTCCCCCCCCTACTCGCGTTGTTTCACTCGAAAACACCCTTTTCGGAACCATCCTCCCCCTTGCCCATGCTCAAGAGATCTCGCAGTATGTGAGATCGCTACCCCAGCCTGAGGGTCAAAAGCCCATCGCGATGCATCTCGACGCTGCTCGGCTATTTGACGGCGTGATTGGTGAGGGAATGGACCTCAAAGCTTACGCCGCCTGCTTCGACAGCATGTCCATTTGCCTTGCCAAAGGTATTGGAGCACCCATCGGAAATGTCATTCTTGGAAAGAAGGCTTTCATCGAACGAGTCAAGTGGTTCCGCAAAATGCTGGGCGGCGGGACTCGGCAGCCTCGCATGATGGCTGCTGCAGCCCTCTCTGCACTGGAGTATACACTTCCTCGCTTCCCTATCGTTCATAAGATGACCAAGGATGCTGCTAAGCAGCTGGAAGCTGTGGGCTACAAGTTCTCGCTGCCTGTCCAGACGAACATGATTATTCTGGATCTCGAGGGAGCTGGTATTCCTGCGGCTGCTTTTGTCGAGTACTGTGCACGGGAGAAGGTGGTAGTGTTCCCCATGGCCCGACTTGTATTTCACCATCAGACTTCAGAAACTGGTGTTAAGAATCTCATTGCTGCTCTAACTAAACTCATGGCAGACAAGAAGAACGGTATCGCTCTTGAGGATAAGAAGATCAGCGGAGGGTATAGCTAGACCTGCGATTTGATAGTTCAATCGAGAATATTTGATCTGGTAGCAACTGATTGAATCCTTTTGGCCTTTCCCTCCGAGAAATTGCACAATATAAATGCGAAAGTATAGGCCTAAATATATGTAGCTTCCATTTGAAAACACACAGTAGGTGCATTGCTCTAAGGGTACCATAAATAGCTCCGATAGCCACATCATTTGGGAGAACATATTGACACCAGGGCTAGAAACCTATCGCAAGGCTCTAGTTGTCTGGTTAGAGTAAAAGTGCCAGCTAGCGGGCACATATCCTCACTGTTTTGTTTACCAGACATCGTAGACAAAGTGAGCAAGGCAGGTGAAATAGATGTGGACAGTAAGTAGACTTCGCAACTTGTTCGCCTTCCTTGCTCAAACGCATCTATTTGACCAAGTGAGATAGGTTTGGTTATGATATGCAGATATTATTGCCTAGATTTCGAAGGCAACAACTAGGCTTACTCGAAGGCTTTCACAGTACGCGTAATGCTACGTATGTATGACGCCGATAGTCACTTTATGGGGCGATGATAAGACATACGGCTAAACGGTTAAAGATGTTGGATTAGCTACAGCAGGGGTTTTCCCTCTGTCGTAACTTGGCCAACCATGAATGTCAGCCTAGCCAAGCAGCCAGGGTGTAAGACCTATTCATGGATGGGTGTAACGTCATTTCGTACTAGCAGGCTGACACGATCCTTCGAGAGAATGAGCGATTATATAAACATGCTGACATCGCCAAACTGCTTTTGTGTGCGAATTTATTAAGTGACAAGAAACTCCAATATGCTCTTGATCAAAACACTCAGCTTTGCAGCCGTGGCGGTGGCATTCCACCCAGACCTGGCTGAGCTCTTCCCAAGGCAAACGGCAATCGACAACGGGGACCCGTGCTACACCAAAGTTCAGAGCCTCTACGACTCACAGCCAACCCTAGGACCCGCGTATAGCTCTTGGGCTTCGTCAAATTTTGCCACTGTTACCGACAACTGTACCGCGTTCGAGATCACTGGAACCGCGTTATCGGTGGTCGCATCCTGGAGAGATGAATTGCGAGACTGGAGATCGTCACATTCTTCTGAGATCAGAAGCTTGAGTTCAGAGTGCAGCTCATACATGAAGAGTCGAGCAGATGCTGCGTACGCTTCTGTATCTTCTCATAGGGAGTCCTGCCGGGACAAAACGCGATCATCAACGAGAACCCGCTCTCGGACCACTACACCTGGATCATCGTCCATCACGTCCAGCTCGGTGTTTACTCCTTCTGATACAACCTCCACTACGACAACTCAAACCGAGGCGTCAAGCACTTCCAATACGGGCACAGCAGCTGCGACAACGACAACTGAAGGGAACGCGGCGTCGGGAACATATCCACTGAGCAGCTTTTCAGTCATATTATTAGCTCTCTTCTTCACTGTATTGTCTTTAGTGTAGGTTTCTTCTTTTAAGGATCTTAAAGGCAGCTAAAGTTCGAGTTCATAACGGAATATGAAGCCGCAAAGAAGATATTCCATCTTCGTGTGAAGAGGCTGTCATGGTGTACTTTGTGAGAATGTAGGAACATCGTTAAGCAGATACTCAAACTTCGACATGGGTTGAATCCCACTATTCATTCTTTTTAGGTAGGATAATATTAGCCTAGCATGCAAAGGCCTCGCCTCTCTACTGGGACGATAATCATAATTAATTGCAAATAATGGCCCTCCTTTCAGTGGGCCACACTTCCGCCATGCGTGGATTGTATGTATGCAGTGCGTTTACAACCAAGCTTGTTGTAAGGCGGCCCACAAACCTCATATCCTGGGGTTTAGGGGAAGGTTGTTGTACAGATCCATTACGAAGTTTTCTTTGCTGGAAAGTCTTGTCTCCGTCTCTTCAAACACGGCAGGTATTCCAGATTCAGAATAAGGGCATCCCTTAGTCACCATCTGGCTAATCCCTTTCGCGGCGAGGAAGATTTGAGGCATCCCGTGGCCAGTGAAACCTGCCATAATGAAGATTCCATTCCGACCAGGCACGGCTCCGATTCGAGGAAGTCGATCAGAGGAATAGCCCATAACTAAATCGAATGGTCAGCAAGAAGCATTGAGCTGGATTTAAGGTTGTTGGATATGCATACCGCCCGTCCATACCTGATCGGTTACTGCGCCGCTGTTTTCCCAGCCCCGGAAATGACGCTGCATATAACCGTCGAAGTAGCCTTCCGCTCTTTTTATGAGCGAGCTGTCGTCAACATTACCGTACCAGTCATCAAGGTGCTGCAGGTACGCCCTTCGTGCCCCTCCCACGACAATGCTGCCATCTGCCCTAGGAATTAGGTAGTCGAAGTCCCATTCATTGAATCGAATGGTATAAGTGTTTGGAAGAATAGGCGGAGGATTAGGCGTCACAATACGACTGCAGATGGCCCGGTAGGGAATGATTTTGTCCTGATATTCCGGTAGCAAAGCAGCCGTGTAAGCATTTGTTGCCATGATGATTTGCTTGGCACGAACATTGCTCCTTTCCGTTCTGATTTCCCAATATCCTTGGTTGTCTTGTGTATCTGACACTGAAATGACAGGAGTGTTCGTTTGTAGGTTGATTCCCGACTTGATAGCCTGCGAGAACATGTGATGGATCATTTTGTATGGCCATACATGGCCAGCGGTATAGCTGAAAGCGCCCTTGGCCCCTTTGACCCCTGAAATCTGGAGGTGAAATAAGATATTAGCCATAATTATCTGGGAAAGGTGTAATATTTGAGTCTGCAATGGGAACTACTATGATAATCATACCATCTCTGCATCTGGCCCGTCCATATAGAAGACGTCTTGAGTTGATGCAACACCTTGATCTTGGAGACTTTTATATCCAGCTCGAAGGGCTGCATTGTGTGACCCTGATAACTGGACGTCAACAGCTCGGGTGGTAAAGTATTCACATTCTACCTTTAACCCTCTAATGTATTTTTCGACAGCTTTTGCATTGGCTACCTCGAACTCCGCTACCTCTTCGGCCGCTGCGAGATTAAATTTCGAAGCAAGGAAAGACGTCATATTGTAAGCATCTGGCTTCATGTGGCCGCCTATAACAGGATCAGTGAAACTAATCAACATGAGCTGAAATGAGGGTTGTACCATTCCTCCCCGTTGCGCCGGAACATAGCTCCCGGGCCTCGAGGACGAGGATGCTTTTCCCTCGGCCTTCCTCTGTTGAAAGAAGATGAGTTACTAGAGAACCCCCCGAAAACCCGGCTCCGATGATGGCGATGTCCGTGGTTTCGGGGACGTTTTCTGAGGAACGGAAAGTGTCAAGCTCTCCCAGAGATGTCCGCCAGAACGACGGCATTCCGTGTCGGTGTGGATACGGCTTTGTGAATGCCATCTCGGATTCTTCGAGCGTGAAATTTGAGAGTTCTGTATAGATGCTTGTTTGCAACCAGAGTACAATTTTTGGCACACACGAATCATTAGCTTATCAACCCATTGCCTGTACTGTAAATTGACATCGTGGCATCCGCTGTCGGAGCAGGTGCGCCCTCGGTCGGATAACCTTCCTGATGTATCTGGCAATCTAACGCATAAGTGGGCTCTGCCCTTGATAGGCAGGTAACCAAATGCGAGTTCAGCACCTGTTGTGGTCAAGAAAACGAGGGCTGGGGCATGGTTCCACCATTATCCTGGTCTATCAAGGGATCGCTTTACCATAGAAGGCATGGTAAGAGAGGTGTTGCAATGCTAGAGCAAAAGGGGGAATTAGTGGCTGTTGCCAAGCAAGCTCCTCGTTTTGGTTTCTTCTTTTGTCACACCGCGTGGAGATGAATCCGCTCCGGCTGTGCAGTAATCATGCTAGTCCACGCTGTGGTTTGAGTTTCCATTGGGGGGACTAGACACTTCCTTGTTGCCTCAAGAACACACAGTTCAATTCCTGTTAGCTAATCTGAAGAGACTTCAGTGTTTATTCACAGAAATCTCATCTCATCTACCCCAAGATTCCGTAGATTTGGTCAATTTTGATTTGTCATATTCCGGGCCAGCTGGATGAGTGACGGCAAATGGTAATTTGTTATCTAACCCCGCAGAGCAAGGTGCACTGTGGTCGAATCGTTGAGATCCATCATCGTGGGGTTAAATGATCCAGTACTACCGATTTCTTGGAAACCCCAAAAGACGGTTATCTGATGGAGTGGGGAGCTCAGAGATATATTGTATCTCCAATAGAGTTTTACCCCAGTAACCCTCTGCCTATATATGTTACCTATAGCCCCCCATCCAGAGTGCAAAAAGATTATCAGCTTTCAACAACGATATTTTCTGTTCTGTCCACTTGCATTGCAAGTCAGTACACCTTTCCCCCACCATGGCCACTCGATCCTCCTCCCATCCGAGGGAGTCGAAAGAGGATGACCCCAAGGTCTCAGCCGAGTTCGGCGCCCAAGAGACCATGGTCCAACACCAAACCCAGCGAGGTCTTTCTCCCCGCCATCTTCAGCTTATGACCATAGCAGGTGGTATTGGCGTGGGTCTCTTTGTGGGCGTTGGCTCAGTCCTACGGGATGCTGGTCCGTTGCCTCTAATTCTCGGCTACTTTATCTACGGAGTTTTCTTCATATGGCCGACCTGTTTGAACGTGGCGGAAATGGCTGCCTGGCTTCCTATCCGTGGATCTATTTACGAGCTTGCGAACAGATATGTTGATCCCGCGCTTGGCTTTGCCATGGGCTGGACGTACTTTTTTGCTGGCACAATGCTTGTTTGCACGGAATACTCAGCCGTCGCGACCGTGATGGAGTATTGGATCACCACTGTTAACCCGGCTGTGTGGGTGGCAATGTCAATGGTCGTGTGTTACTTTTTGAATATGGTTGCAGTCAAGTATGTCAGATCATGAAGTTCATTGAGTGAACTGTGCTAACCCCGTTAAATCTAGGTGGTATGGCGAAACTGAATTTATAATGGCATCTACAAAAGTCCTTCTTCTTATTGGCTTAGTATTCGCGACAATCATCACCATGGCTGGTGGTAACCCGCACCATGATGCATATGGGTTCCGTAACTGGTCAAACGGGAACTTCATTCATCAGTACTATACAGATGGCGCTACAGGAGTGTTCCTTAGCATCTGTGTGTCCCTCAGATATGCCGTGTTCACAATGCCAGGACCTGATATGATTGCTCTCGCAGCAGGGGAAATCCGAAACCCTCGAAAAACCATCCCCAGTGTTGCCAAGATGGTTCTAGCACGTGTTATGGGAATATATGTTATCGGCGTCCTTGCTGTGGGCATTATCTGTTCTTCTCGAGATGAAAGGCTTCTGGGAGCTATTGAATCAAAGCAAGCTGGCGCCGCAGCGTCCCCTTGGGTGCTGGGCCTGCTTAATGTCGGAATTGAAGGCTTCTTGCCTGGCTTGATTAACTTTCTGATTCTTCTTTCTGGCCTTTCGTGCGGCAATGCCTTTTTGTATAGCTCGAGCCGAACATTATACTCTCTAGCCCAGGGAGGACAAGCGCCTAGGATTCTTCTCAGATGCACGAAGGCCGGTGTTCCCTGGATAGCAGTCACAGTTATCACCGCCATCTCCTGCCTGTCATTCCTTGTGGCATCCAATGGATCTAACGTTGTCTTTCTATGGTTTGTGGGTCTGACAACGGTTTCTCTGTGCGTCAACTTTACAGCGAAAGCTTGGGTTTTCATAGGATGGCGCCGGGCTCTCAAGGCGCAAGGATACGCTTTAGTTGGGAAGAACAATATCAACCAGGCACCTTGGCTTTCCAAATTGCTGCATTCGAAGCCCCCAGCCAGCGAAATAACGGAGAACACTGTTGTATTCCCATACATTGCTCCCTGCGGTAGCTGGACACCTTATATGAATCTCGTTCTGGGAGGAACCGTCTGCATTTTCATCGGCTTTGACGTCTTTTCTCCTTTCTCCTATCGCGGTTTCATCACCAATTATTTTGGCCTCTTTTGGTTTTGCATCATGTTCGTCTTTTGGAAGATTTACAAGAAAACCAAGTTTGTTGATGTGTCGAAAGTGGACATTTACGCAGAAGGGCGCAAACAGGCTATTGATGAGGAGTGCCGTCATTGGGAAGACGGCACTATCGACGTGCTACAGCACGAACAGCTTTCGCAATACAACATGTTTGTTCGGGGATGGAAACGTTTCTGGGGGGATTAATCGGCTGTTCCCATAAGTTTAGTTCTTAGCTACTACACAACAGCCGTTCTTGTCTTGCGCGAGTCGTAAAGCTCCACCGATGTCGGGGACTAATCGGCCAGTCAACAGTAGTATTTGACCAGGGGCTCAACGAATAATCTCAAGTGGTTTTTGCTATCTTTCCCTTTTGTGGGGCTTGATATTTTCCCGGTTGCTTTGCCTTCTCTCTCCTCCTCTCCTCCGCATTCCCCCAACCACCCAAGTCTTCCTTAATCTTAGACTATCAGGCGCATTTTGAGATGTAATGAGTGAAGGTTTTACTCGCTAAGTAATAAGTCCATTGAATCTCGAGAATGCGAACTAAGGCTCCCCACCGCAAGTCTCGAAATGGCTGCCTTCGCTGCAAGGCTAGAAGGGTGAGTAGAAACCGCTCCTCCTGGCAACGAGACCACCAATCGGCTGGACAACATCGCTTACTTTTCATTTTTGTAGGTCAAGTGTGATCAGAGAGCTCCGGCTTGCTCCCGTTGCGTAGATCGTGGTCTACAATGCCCGGGTTACTCGCTCAACATTCGTTGGGATCCAAGAAGCCAACTTCAGACACCGCCATCCAGTACTGCAGATAGAACCCGGGCCGGCTCCACGCAGACTATCGACCCATTCAGCGACATTGATTCCTTTCAGCCAAGTGTGGAGCACCAAGGTAATGCCCTCCCTGCCATCGATCCTTGGATTCCGGAACCAGCTTCAATCTCAGACTGGTCCTTATCCTTGGAAGAGTTGCTCCCATCGACCCCGTCCCAAATTGGCTTTGCACCATTGGTGTCGATTGCCCCTTCATATTTCCCTCCAGTAGCTATGGAAGAGCCAGTTATGTTTACCAATGGGTCGATGCTATTCCCTCCCAACTTGGCAAATCCTCTCCTAGACTTCCCGCGACACCAACAAATAGGCTTGCTTCCCGATGACTCGGGAACTAATCTTTCTGTTGAAACGCCAAATCAGGCTACGGACGCATGGGACAAGTGGAGTTTCAACTATCCTCAGTCAGGCTCGGATACGCAGCACCCCGACTCCCAGAAGTTTGGAGCTATCACCGCCATTTCGCATTCACCGGAAATCACTCACCTTCCTACTGTTTTATCGGATTACTTCTTCAAGGAAGTCATTAAGCTTTACTCAGTTTGGGACAACCAGTCTAACCAGCTAAGAATTCTTGCAGGATCCTTTTGGCAGTCATCAGGGGTTCTCTACCATACCATGCAGAGCATGGCAGCTGCATTATTGGCAAAGAGTTTCCCAAACCTCCGTGCTATTGCTATTGGAGAGCATCAAATGGGCCTCGAATGTCTCCGGAGTGGCAGCGATACAGACGAAGACAGACTCATAGGGTCCATCCTGCTTGGCCACACAGCAAGCTGGATCAAACCACACGAACTGTCACACGATCATTCCCGTCTATCGTTTTTTGGAGGAGCGGTTGACTACTGGGCGATGCTTCTGTCCTTCGTATCTGAACCCAGAAAGAACCATGAAATCCTTCGACACTCTGTTGTAGAGGCTGGACCTTCCAGAGCAGACGGGTTGATAAATCCACACCCTTTCATTGGCACGTCGGGGAGCATTGTGCAGGTTCTAACAGAGCTAGGCACGCTCATCTTCAGGTATCGGAAGCGAGTCTCAGAGATTGACTTCATTTCCGAGAAAGATCTTGAATCATTTCGCAAATCAATACAGGATGCTCGTCAGCTAGAACGCCGGCTATTAGCCTTCAGACCATTGCTACCCAAGAGTGTTCAGGATCCTGGTGACCAAACAACCTCGCCTGCTCACTTTGTGAAGATTGACGAAGGACTTCGCTGCACAGGACTGCTGCAACTATATCGAGTGTTTCCAGACCTTCTTAATGATAGATATCAGCCTTGGGACTCAGCTGCACTCCTCCAACCGCGCCCCGCTCTAAAGACTCCGTCTCGAGAGGAGCGGAATACCTGGCTTACGATGCTAGCGCTCCATATCCTAAACATCAACCGGGAGATTCCCTTCGAGTCCCGGACGAGGTGTATGCAGCCTTTTATGTTTGTGGCTGCGTCGTGCGAACTTCGCACAAATCTTAATGGAGGAAATGAAGCCAGCGGCATGAATAGCAACTGTATCTCGATCCAAATATCTCAGGCCCGCGACTTTGTGTGTTCTAGAATGGTTGCATACCTTCACGTCTTCCCCCTTCAAAAAGTGGAGACAATTTTCCAGTTGATCCAAAGCATTTGGTCGGAAATTGATAATGGAAGGGAGGTGTTCTGGCTGGATTTGTGCAAAAAGCTTAAGTTAGGCACGCTGATGGGATGAGTTGATCATCGATATAGTCTTTGGGCAATATAACAATAAGATCCATTCTGTCATAATGAATCCCACTTCGTGGCGCGTCTTTCTATCTGAATTCTCTCTCTCTGTCTCAACAATACCAGCCTTCCCTTCGTCAAAAGTATCATCTACCAGTAGTTTAAGTGCTTTCGGCCACCGCGATCCGTGTACCTAGCATCACTCTCTGTGTTCTCGTCGTGGGAATCAGAATTCTGATTCGCCCATCGCCGGTTGGCAAACTTTAGAGCTGTCGTTTGAAATGAAACAGCGACAAGCCAAATGACAGCGAGAGAGATGCAAGCAGCCCAGGCCCGTTTGTACAGCGGAGCGTCATCCTGATGCTTAGTTAGTCATAGGAAAGGCGAATCAGACACACAGGTCGGGGCACGTACACCTCGAAAGAACTGATTACCATACGTCCCTCCAAGGTTTGAGCAGGCAACTATGGGAGTTTGATCGTTAGTAATAATCCTAGGACCACCGAACATTATATCCAGAGCAACCTACTGTAAACAGCATATGAGATGGCACGTTTCTGTGGTGTCTTGGCGTTGAGTGCCAACCAAGTAACATTGATTGACTGCCAGCCACTAATGAAATTGATCGTCAGAATCATGTAAAGCCTTCAAAATAAGTCGAAGACAGGAGTAACATACGGGGCAGCCGTGGCAACAAAGTAGGCTGCATAAAAGGACCATGATGTCTTCGAGTTAACAGGTAGATTCTGTATATCGTTTAGCCTTCATGAACCGCTGTTCAGAATCTGGAGTTATCCCATACGTAGAGCGCCACAACCGCGGCTAAAGTCCAGATGGAAACGAATATGATGGTGTACCCAAATCGCTTATACCGATCAACGCCGATTGAGAGTAGAATACCTAGGATGGAAGATATGATAGGGGGTGGTGCGTTTAGAAGATTCGCTCTGATACTGGTGAATCCTAAGGATTGTATAATCACAGCCCCCCAAGTAGATAAGCCATTAGTTGATTGTAAGCCACTGAGGCATACCACAAGATGTGGCCAGAGCCTCCAATCAGTGAACACATCCCGACTGTGGGGGAAATTAGGTCAGTCACCGCCGATGAAAGTAAAATTCCAGATGTCACTAACATGTCCGCAAATTTGATATGGAGTGTAGCGTCTTGATTCTTGTCGTTGGCCTTAGCTAGCCGAGCTGTGAACACATCGGCTTCACGGTCTGAAAGCCAGCCGCGGCTAGGAATTAGCCCAGCAAGTAGGCGATTAGTATGGTACGGGGATTTAGGGATGGTGATAAGACCAAGCACCCCAGTAGCTAAGAAATGTCGGTTAGAACAGTCACAAATTGGAATACTATGACATAACTTACCGATGGTCGAGACCCCACAAATAATGAATATCCTTTGTGAAGCTGTCAGATACATCAACTCTTGATATGTTTTTAGAGTAGTGGCCTACCAGTGCCAGCCAGGACGATCATTGACTCCGTGTAAACGCAGAGCACCTGCCGATATGAGCGAACCGAAAGCTGCTGCGATTGAAGCTCCAAAAAAGAATATGGCCGTTCGAGACGCTAGTTCGTCTTTAGTGTACCACCTTGACAACGTATAGAGCGCTCCAGGAATAAAGCCACTTTCGGCCAAGCCAAGGAACAGACGAGCGGCATACCAGCCGCCGGCATTCGTGACAAACATCTGAAGAACTTCGATAATCCCCCAGAGGATGACCTGGAAAGGAATCCAGTAGTGGGCACCGATCCGATGAAGGACGATCTGGAGGAAAAATAGACATGTTAACTCTTGCTACTTTTGTAGGCATGCCTGTGACACTGTGCTTACGTTGGAAGGGATCTCAAGAAGGACGATACCCAGCCATAGCAAGGAGACACCAGTGTTAGCCTGGTCCCGAGATATATTGGTGTCCTGGAGAAAGGTGGAGGAAAGGACACCAGATACATTAGTTCGGTCAATGGCCATCCATGTGAACATAACCTAGAGCTACGGGTCAGTGTTTTGGGTTCAAATTTCTCAATAATGGTCTAGAGGTAAACATTACCGTGAAAATGGGAAGGAACAGAAGATCAGCCTTGCGAACAACACGCCGTTGCTCATCTAAGGTCCACGAAATGAGGTGTTCCTGGCCGTTTTTCAGAATTATCTGTTCTCTATATCCACCATCACCTTCTGGATCGGAAAGCGGACCAGAGCCGTCTGGCTTCAATTCTGTGGATAGAACTGTCTCTTTTGAAGTGTCATTGTGAATTTCGGTTTTGAGGTTCGAATATTGCTCGCCACCTCCAAGAGCATCGGGCCCAGTCGCCTTGGTACTCATGTTCCGTGATGGAGAGCAGGTTCCAATAACTTGAATGTCTTTGAGTATCTTTTTGATCTCAAAATATCACGGGAAAAGCCCTCCTGGTAAGTTTGAATGGAGCAAACTCAATGGTATCAATATTCAGACTAAGCAATCTAGGAAGGATGAGCCTTTAATCTACTCCTTGCGACTTGAGATCTCGGAAATTCGGAAGCAGGTCAAAAAAAGTCTCTTAACATATAGCTATCGCACCATCCAGTCTTCATCAAAGTCGTGATCGATGGGGTTCATGCTGTCATGGGCTAGTCCACGTGTCCCCTCGGCTCATTGCCCGTCTAATTCCCACCGTTTATCTGGATTGACCGACCATCATGTTTAAAGTGCCAGGTGGGATGAAGAGTTATCAGCTCTTGCTTGGTCATCATGCGTTTAAAACGTGCGAATGTCCACCGATGGCATCACTAGCACAACCCCACCACGCGTATAAACACCAATTACCTAATTCGACGCGGATTGAACAGTTAATTTCGCCATATAGCTCTAATTTATGAAGCCTATCTAGACCCCCGGGGTCTTCTATCGTCACTTCTTCTCACAGGAACCTCACAACATCTTGACAGCATGCCTCACAGCAACACATCAGCTCAACGGCCCCCGGTGTACTATATCGGACATGCTGGTGTACCACTTCTCTTTGGTGACGATGAAATTACCGTGACCGCTCGGGAAAATTTGCGGGCAATTGGACACGAGATCCTTAGCTTGGAGCCTCGGCCAAAGGCTATCATCGCGTTCAGTGGGCACTTCGAAGCAGGAGAGATACACGGTCCTAACACCATTGAAGGTCGGTCAGCATTATGTCGCTTGACCACTTGACTTATAGGAAGATCTAATCCGCATTGACTAATGCTTGGTGAAATCCAGTCAACGTGAAAGATAAAACTCATATTCAAGTACGTTCCATAAACAGACACGCAGTCGAGGATATCTAACTGATACTTGGCAGCATGACTTTGTCGGCGATTTTCACGATACGCATCCATATGTGTACAAATACGAATGGGATCACCAAGATGCGCCCAAACTGGGTAACGAGATTTGGCGCTATCTAAAAGACAAAGGTCTCAAGGCGAAAAGGGTGGAAAGGGGAGTTGATCATGGTGTCTGGGTGCCTTTCAAAGTTATGTTCCCACCAGAGCGGCCACTGGACATTCCACTCATCCAAGTCTCAACTTTTCACGGTTACGACCTAGAATCTCAAATAAAACTAGGGGAAGTTTTTGAAAGCCTTCGGTAAGCATTCAAATGGGTCCCCTTGACATGACCTTCGACTGACAAGTATGTAGGGAAGAAGGGTACCTTATCCTTGGATCAGGCATGGCTGTACACTCGTTTCCTTCGATTGAAGAGATCAAGAATGCGTCTACCGAGAATGAAAGAGTTCTGGCCAAGAAAAGGGTCTTGCAGGAAACAAGGAACTTTGACAGTTTTGTCCGGGAGGCGGTTGCTGAGAACGAACCGGTGGCCCGTAAGAATGCGTTACTTGCTCTCGAGTCCCGCCATGAGTTCAAGAGAAGCCATCCAACAGTCGAGGTACGTCATAATTATAATATGAATGATTTTCTGGGCACTCAGTTAACAAAATCTCCCATCAGCATTTCACCCCGTTGCTTGTAGCGGCAGGAGCTGCAGGAGAAGCAAAGGTTGAACCTTTAGGTGTCGATATCATTTCTCCAGGCATGTCATTTTTGAATGTTCGGTTTTCATAGATAGGTATCATTGAGACCTAAATCTTGGCTTCCGCGAGTGCGATGGTGGCTATCGGTCGTGTCCATTTGGGATCGCACCTCATAACAGCGAGGGCTAACGATGTCAACTCTATGAATTACTTTTGCCAATAAATATCATGGAGCTTACTAGAGGCTTATGCAAGTTTTCAGCTAGGAAACCCCGTTCTATTCACTGAATATTCAAACCTGAATCTGTCTTGGAGCCCTACCCATCCAAGTGGCTGACATAAAACATGTGGCTCACTAAAGCTCTTTTCACGTAAGGTAGAGTTCATATTCCCTGATCAATAATATAAAATATAATAATAAGAATAATAATAAATTATTCTACAATTCTCAGCCTGATATTGTGTTTAATACTCGGTTAATTGTCTTGCTATTGTGTCGAATTTCAACGCAAAGTTCCTGGATGTACCATGTTTTCTGTCTGTCGCTTGCCGTCTTAGTGGTATCCACGATTGTGGAGCCGTCGAGCCTGTGATAGCATAGATAGCTGAGATATTTAAGCTATCAGACGAATGCCCAGGAGCGTTAATGTCGAGCACGGAGCATGTTGTTGGTCATAATACTTTGGCATCTTAGACTTTCACACCTTCTGGCTGTTCCAACCAAGCATTTCTTTTCGCCGAAGTAAACATTCTGGAAGACACGATGCAACCAGCAACACTTCGACGACATGGCCAGCGGGGGGCATACGATTTGGAATCGGTTAAGGACGTTTTCGATGATTGCTTCATCGCTCATGTGTCTTACGTAGTAGATGGTTTACCAGCCTGCATGCCCATGATCGCGTTGATAATGGAAGACCCGGAAGACGACATGATACGATCTTCCGAGCCGAGGCAACAAATTAGCAACTGCGCCAATGGGGACCTCGAGAGTGGAATACAAACGGATGCTAATAACACTTTTGTTTACTTGCATGGACATCCAAGTACAAAGCTCATGGAGTTGGTGAGGGGGGCAAACAGAAGCTCAAGTGAGGATGTTCAGAGCACAACTAAGATCAATGATCAGATTATAAATAACTCTCTGGGTGAAGTAAAAATTTGCATTACTGCTACTAAAGGTGAGGTCTGGATCAACTGCCTTAAACCTATCACCAATTATGAGCCGAATTTGTATGATGGCTAACTTACTCACAAAGTCGATGGACTGGTTTTGTCCTCAGCCCCTAACGGGCATACATTCAATTATCGATCAGCCACCATTCATGGCACATGCGAACCTGTGAGCTCTAAACCTACAAAGCTTTCAGTCATGCGTGCAGTCACACAAAAAATAGTCGCCAATCGATGGGAGGAGGTGAACCCGGTAGCGTCGATGCAAGTCAGCTTGGTATATGTTGTCAAAGTGCACATTGATGCTCTTTCCGTCAAGTCAAGAACAGGAATCCCAGGCATCCAGCCGAGGAACAAGGAAAAGGACGGGCCGGACATCCAAATCCCGCCGTGGACTGGGGTTATTCCATTGTGGGAGGAATTGGGAACCCCGGTAGACAGCGGGCTCACCCCAAATGCTGTGGTATCTGACAATCTTAATGCATACATCGAGAGCCGGAACCAGAGGCAGCAAGAATATTCGACGAAGGCTGCAAGTTCATGACAATAGCAAGAATATGTTCCACTGGAGTACTCGTTATTAGTGCTGGGTACATCGTGTATGCTTCAGGTTGACTCGTAGATAATGGGATTTCCGAGGCAATTATCAGCCATATAATGGAAGTTAGCACCGCCATTCGATCTATTACATTACCATGGACAATTGCCTGCATATCTCCAGGGTTGAAAGAATATTCGCTGTGGCGGGGCCCCTTATCAGCTCCATTGCTGCCTTGCGTCTGGGAAATACAAATCCGGAAATTGTTGACTGTTTGTTATCAGAGTCTGCCGATCCTTCGTTGCCCCTCACTTTATCCACCAATATCTGATAGCGTGGAGGATACCCGAGGCTCTGGGTCACCCTTCTGCACTCCATCAAGTGGTTCTCGCTGCCATGGCGACTCGTTCCAGGAAAGGCTGCATTGACTGCAAGCAGGCCAAGATCAAATGTGATGAACAGCATCCTTTCTGTGGAACCTGCACTCGGCGGCGCAGGCAGTGCAGGGGCTATGCCACACCCAAGACGCGATCGTCATCTCATCACCACCCCCACGGCGTATCTGCTGGGGCATATTCCCCGAGCTCTGTGTCCTCCGAGTCTTTGTTACCCAATGGCTACCCAGACGGCGGATCAGAAGTTCTTAGGGCTGCCGGTTATGTATGGGTGGCCAGCAAGTCGCCTTCATCGTCTGGCACCCAAAATGCACCATTCATGACAGGAACGATCGCGTCAAGCACATTGAATGGAGGCTCTGTTGATGATTCGTCAAACTCGCCATTGTTGGGAATATCACATCCATCACTGGCACCGCCAAGGAGCCCGAGCTTCATCCCATTAAATGAGATTCAACCAGCCGACAAGCCGTTGATTGAGATTTACTTTTTGAGACACCCTTCTGACATGGTGATGCGCAATGACTCCTTCATCGACGAGATGAATTGCGCAGTGATTTCTCTCCTACAGAAGTGCCCGGTCGTTGTGAGCGATTCTTTATGTGCGATCGGCGAAAACTACATTAAAGAAACCGCAGATGCCTCCTTGGTATCAAGTCGTAAGCTACGGCTTCTTAATCGTTTACGCTTAGTGAATGAAGATGGTCGTAACCCCGAGTTGGTTTTATTACTCCTACTCGCTCTATGTGGTGCGGAGGTATGTCACCTGTTCTTCATGAACTTTTGATGGTTGCGCAACAGGCTGTTGATTCTCACGAACAGCTCACAAGCCCTCATTCTGACGGTAAAGGTGAAAAACTTATTGCATTGATTGAGAATGTGGCCTTGGTTCTGGAATTCCACAGTCAACCAGGCAGAGAGCTCAACAGCGCAGCAAAGTACTTCACCCGAGGACTGGCTCGCCAAGATCTACTCCTCTCCCTTTCACGCATGCAACGCACCAGAATCAACACATCTATATGGCTCGATGATTACTCGAGAAGTCATGTAGACAGACTTCTAGGTTTAACTGCAACCTTGGTCCCGATACTAACACAGCTCGCCGCTCTAGCCGAGGATGTTCAGTATGCGATCACAGACCATAGTGGCGGCGACATGCATTGCCTGCTGAATTTCGACCAGATACCTATGAAACGCTCGGATCTAGAAGAGAGGGCAGCCTCAATCCGGGCTCAATTGCTTACTTGGCGCCCAATTCAGGACTCTTCCTTGACAATGCGAACATCTCGCACACTGTTGCTCCATGCAGCCGCGTGGAGGGCGGCGGCCCTCCTCTACCTATTCAGGCTCTTCAATCGGCCAGGAAGCTCAGTCAGCGCAGATGGTATAGCTCTGAGCATGGCTTATGAGATTATGACCAATATCTCAGGACCGCCCGATGATATCAAGCTTAGCCTCTGGCCACTTTTTCTTGCAGCTTGCGAAGTAGAGCATCCTGATGACAGAGATCTTGCGTCGCAAATGTTCAATGACATTTGCTCTTCCAGGCCTATTTTGACTGTAAAGAGAACCAAATCTTTTTGCGTGGACCAGATATGGCCAGCGAGGGATCGAGGAGAGAACTGGGACTGGATGCAGCTGGTACGGTTCGAAGATAATGTATTTACTCCGCTCTGAAAGCGATAATACGAGCATACTCTCAATTGCGTATGTGCATAATCAATTTCAAGCCCCATTCAATACCTTACCTTGGTCGATCTGCCATTGTTGAACCTGAAGCAATCTGTACACCATGTCTAGGCTTGGGGCTTCCACTCCAACCTCCCTTGCAATCTTGAGTGGATTGCCTAAGATTACTTCTAGTTCCATAGGCCGTCCTTCTTCTAAGTCTACAAGCATACTAGGCCTGTAGTCACAGTCGTTTGGAAGCCTATAGGCCATCCAGTCAACAACAGACTCGGGTAACTCATGGCCAGTGGCCTTTGCAATCCTCCATATCTCCCACATCATTGGGACGATCATGGTCTCCCTTCCCCCACTTCTTTGAAGCTCGCCGACATTGATCCTGGATAACGCACACACCGTGTTGAAGGTTCCATTCCACAGGAGCTTCTCCCACCTGGCTTTCTGAATATCATCCACCAGCTCGCAAACGCTGGCCCCGCCAGCACAGTACATCTCCACAAAGATTTTTGCTCTCCTCATGCTTTCAGGGTCTTCCAGGCCAGCATGATAGTGAGGGCCCATTTTCGACACATCTCGGCCAACTTGCCTCACGATATTTGGCTCCGTGATCACGCTTCCAATGTGACTAACACTACTGATAATAGCATTAGATGGCCATTTCTTGATAATATCCCGCTCGATGCCGATCCCGTTTTGTATCATGACAATGGTGGTTTTCCCAGCAGCCACCACAGGAGACAGCATATCAACGACCGGGTTTCGCTCGGGTAGCTGCTTTGTGCACACAACAACATAATCATAATACACAGGTTGCCCTTTGTCGTCTTTTGCTGCGTCCAGGGCTGATGACACTATGCGGTATGGCTTCCACCCGGGTAACTGGCCATGATCAACTGAATCGACATCCCATCCATGCTTGGAGACATAGGCAAACTTCGACCTGAGCACGACGGTCACATTTGCCAGGTTGGATTTCGTGAGAACAATCGAGGCGATTGTACCGACGCCTCCCGATCCAATGAGACAGATCTGGTAGAGTGGCTTGATTTGGCTCGACATGTTGATTTTGCGAAGTGTTAAAATCTCCGTATGTTAACTTGCAATGTTTTTGATCTTGTTAGGAAGGACACTTTCGGAATTCACCATCCGAGAACACGGATGAATCTCTGTAGCGACCTTTCCATGCTATCCCTGATTCATATGCCTGGTCGGTGGCTTAAAATAATCCACATTGCTTCGTCACCCTGTGCTGGATGCATAGCTATCAGCTAGGTTGATCATCCACTCTCTTCGATCTTAGATAGCATAGATAAGAACGCAGTATAGGTGGCATCTTCAAGTCATATGACTATGTATGCGGCGGGGTCAAGTTCACGGCTATCTTTATATCCGGAGAGTACGGGAGTATGTTTTGAAGAGCGGGGTATCAACCGGGGCATGAATCAAGAAAATGAAGCTTGTCTACGCAACAACGAGCGATGGTTTCAGGCTAGAACGAATTAAATTCAGATAAAAATCTTCTATGGGCTTGGAAGCTAACATAAAACGATCTAGTTCACCAAATTATCTGCAGCTTAAGCTATCGTAGAGTCCTCTATACACCTCTGAAGATCTCGTCCAAGGTCTCAGCATGTTCCAGCAAAGCAGAATCTTGAAGCCTTGGAGCGACGATTTGAATGGATACTGGAGAGCCGGCCATAACTTGCGGATCGTCTAAAAGTTACGTTAGCAATAATGAAGTCGAAATAGAGGATAATGTAGCCATACACAGCGCTTGGATATCACTGTCCATGGCACTAATAGCTTTGAAGTCCTCATCCTTAGGATCCATGATAGGATCAACCTTAGAGAACGGCATTATGACAGCCGGATACTAGAAACGAGGGTCAGCTTCATTAAGCCTTTGTGAAATTACATTTCAGCTTCAACTCACATCCATGGCGTTCCAGACTACGGTGTACAGCTCTGACGTACACTTGTCCTTCGTGATAGCTGTATGCGGGGCGGCTGGGGTAATGAGTAAGTCAATCCCGGCTTGTTGCCAGGCATCCAGCATCTTCTTCTGCATGGCTCCCTTCTTAGTGTTCCATTCCCAAACCTCTTCGTGTGTTTTCCGAGGGAGATTCCAGTATCCAAAATTTGCCACAGACGGGACAACTGGCTCAGCTGCCTTGGAAAGCTCTCTTCTCTGGTATGAAAGACCATCCAGAGTGAATAACTGGCTACAGATCTCGCGGATTTCTGCAAAGTCGGGGCAGATGGGAGTAAAGTCTTTGACCTCATATCCGGCAGCTGTGAGCTTTTCCTGTGCCTGGCGAATTGCTCTGCGCATGGGAGGGTGAGGAGTTAGTCCAGATGCGTGAAGAATACCGATGACTGGATTCTGTGCAGATGAGGGGGGTTGTTGCTCCATTGCCCCAGCAATAACAGCAGGATCAAACTTCCAAGGCTCGTAAGAGCGGACCGCCTTTGTGAAAAGAGTCATATCACGCGCTGAATGGGCCAGTGGCCCCAATACGGCGGGTATACCTGTATTGACGCCGGTCCAGCCAGAGGCAGCGTAACCGATAAAGGGAAGAATTCCGACCGAGGGTTTGTAACCATACACACCATTGAAGGCAGCAGGAAGGCTATTGGCAGACAAGTCAATTTTGAATGCAGTTCTTGAGCTTTTCCTATGGTCACATACCGGATCGATCCACCGACATCAGTACCAATGCCCAACACATTGCCTCGGAATGCCGACAGAGACCCTTCACCACCACTACTGCCACCGCAGGACAGGTGATTAACGACTGGGTTACCCGTATGCCCAAAGACATTATTATCGCACTCAGCAACAAGCATGGTCTGTGGAACATTGGTCTTCGCTATGACAACTGCCCCAGCTTCCTCCACCAGTTGGATGATGGGGGTTGTCGTGGTGGATGGGTCAAAGCACCGAGAAATATAGCCGTTGCTTGCATCGAATCCCTTGATATGGAAGCATTCCTTTGACCTCATCAGTACAACGTGATACTCATAAAGTAAAGAAGCTTATACGGAAGCCAGATCTCACCTTAAAACTCATCGGCAAGCCATGCAATGGGCCCACCGTCTTCCCAGTCTTTTGGAAATGCTCGTCCAATGTCTTTGCCTTTTCAATTGCTTCGGTAAAGCATATCTCCGTTAACGCCTGGCACAGCTGTTGACAAATGGCAGCCCTTTTGCAGAAGGCCGTGATTGTCTCCGTCGCTGTGAATGTACCTTTGGAGATTTCCTCTGCCAGCGAAGTAGCGTCATATGTTTCTCCAGTGATCAATTGCTCTCGTTCAGTAAGGATTCCAGAGGTGAGGGCAACAGGCCGAACATCCACTGTCCCCTTCGGCGGGCGCATCGCATCCGTCAGGTGCCATGCTTCCGGGATTCTGGAAAGCTGTTCCTGTCTCTTTTTGTCTCTCACCACCTCCCATGATTCGGGGGCCTTCAAGGACGTCGTGCTGACCTCGGTCGCGGTATCAGACATTTTGCTTGGCTAAAATAATAGCTAAGGAATAACGAAGCAGTTTGAGCTAAGAATAGCTTTTGATTGGTCACTCACTTGAAGCTGAATCGATGGCATCCAGTTGAAGGAGCAAGATAAGAGGATATTTCCGGCTTGCCTCTGTTATATACGTCATGTGCTTCGAGGGTTGTTCCCGTGAGCTTCTAGGGTGTCGGCCTCATTCTCCAGTTATTAATGTGGTCATGTACTCGAATCTTATCAATCAGGAGTTGTCATTAACCCTGGATAGGATCCGGATTTAACACCAGCCCGGCTATCTTCGCTATCTACGCTATCGGAATACCACCAATTTCCGAGAGGCCGTGATAGCATGGTGCGGGGTCGAGCGATGAGATAAACCCATGGGAATAGTTCGTAGCATGAGCTAATCAATGCCCCAGGTGATAGACTTGTTTCGCGCATAGATAGCACTGAAATGGCAGGGACTCTTGATAACGGACTCTCAACACAGTTGAAGGATACCACTGCCTCCTCTACAGATTCGGTGTGGAAGCAACGTTGCTGTGACTATAAAAGCAAAGATTTTTGTCACAGGTTTCTATCTGCCGATCTCTGTATCTATTACATCAAGTAATCTGTAACAAACTTCTCAACTTTTCACCACGAGCTGCACTCACCACACTGATTATGTCTAAGATTAAAGAGGTCGATGCGGCTGTTACATCTGCCAGCGACCATGACAGTGGAACTTCTCGCTCGATTGGGTTCATTAGCCGACTCAAAGGCCAGAGAATGGACCTAAATGAGCTTGGAAAGGCGTACTTTCAACAATCTCTGCAATATGAAGAACATCAGTTGGAACGAGACTCTATCAAGGTCCGCAGAAAGCTCGACTTCTACGTGTTACCACTGGTAAGGAGATCTAAATACCTTCAGCCTCGTGTTATGCAATTAAAATCTAATGATTCATGGCAGATGATGATGACGTATATGCTGAGCTTCTTGGACAAACAAACGTAAGTTAGGTCAACTACTATTCAGATTGATTCCTAGGCTTCCTCATGGATGAGCCACTGAACCACCCAATTTAGTCTCAACTATTCCAACGCATACGGCTTACAGACCGATACAAACATGAAAGGGGATGACTACTCATGGGTGTCATCTGCTCTATACATCGGCTGGCTCGTTGGCGCTTATCCGTGGCAAATCATGCTACAGAGGTATCCCATTGGAAAGCTCATCGGAGTAATGTTATTCGTATGGGGGGCTGTGTGCATGCTTCAGGTGAGTGAGGCCACGAGTCAGATGCAGTTTGTTCACATGCAGAACACTGATAGCGGTGCGAATGTAGGCAGCAGTCTTCAACTTTGCAGGCTTTTTCGCCATCCGCTTCTTCCTCGGGCTACTTGAGGCTGTCATATCACCTGCATTCATTATCCTTACATCGATGCTTTGGACTCGTGATGAACAGAGTTTGAGAAGTTCATTTTGGCTTTCGGTGAACGGGGTGGCCTCCATCGTAGGTGCGCTTCTTGCGTATGGGGCTGGGCACGCGACTGGCCTGACTATCCCTCAATGGAAACTCATTTACCTCGTAAGGAACCCTTTGGACTTAACTTCCCAAGATCTCGATTTCTGGGCTCTCATGCTTTCTTCTACTAACTTTCAATATAGATCGTTGGAGTGATGACTATCCTGTGGGGATTTGTGATCTACGCCTACCTACCTGATGGTCCGCACAACGCGAAGATGTTGACCGAATACGAAAGAATTGTCGCTGTGTGGCGCATTTCACGGAACCAGACAGGGCTAAAGCACAAAGTCATTGTCCCAGGCCAGATAAAAGAGGCCGCTCTTGATTTCAAGGTTTGGCTGCTCTGGCTGATGGCGATCTGCTATGGCATTCTGAACGGCGGTGTGGCAAACTTCCTGTCTGCCATCATAAAGGGCTTTGGTTATGACGCACTGCGTACAAGTCTTCTTCAGACTCCAGTGGGAGGTCTTGAACTCGTAATGGTTATTGCCTTTGGCTACCTATCAAGACTACCAAACATGGTCGGCGCCACAATCGTTAGTAAGTGTTGACATTACCTTGTGATTATGAGGTAAACATTTCTCTCTGAGACTGACTCCGGTATCTGATAGTATCTTGCCTTCCAGGCCTAGCTGGTCTGATCGGGATAATGAAGATCGACATAGAACACCGGTTTGCCTTGGTTGGCATGTGCTGGTTGCAAGGCATTCTTGGATCTCCGGTCATTCTAAACTGGACACTACCTGGATTGAATACCGCCGGCCACACCAAGAGAAGTTTTGTTCTCGGTGTATACTTTGTGTATGCCTCCCATGCCTCTGAATTATCCTTGTTACTCTCCTTGCTAATTTGATCAGGATCTATTGTGCGGGAAACATCGCTGGGCCGCACCTGTTTCTTGCAGCAGAAGTCCCACGATACCCAACAGCCATCAAAGGCTTAGCCGGGGCGTACGCAGGCGCAATGTGTCTTCAAATCATTTATACAACGTACTGTTATCTCGAAAACCGGAGAAAGCAAAAGGAAGGACTCTTGCATGCACCCAACTCAACTGAAGATGCCCTTGAGAGCTTTGATGATTTGACCGACAAGGAGAATAAGCATTTCAGATACTGTATCTAGGCTAAGCTCGAGCTTTTCTGTCCAAGTTATCCAGCAGCTTGATCCTTGGCCATGAAAACCGCTCACACTTGACCAGGTAATCTTCGCACCGGATCGCCTGTTGTAATGTTCTTCTTCGCTTATTTACGTTAAGATGAGGCATTTAGCTAGATATGAACATATCTTGATATTTATTTACACAATACCTTTTTCATCTCTGCCTCTCACTCGTCTTTTACCGGGAAATCTTTTCTTAGAAAGACTAAAACCTCCATTCAAATCAGAGACGAAGTTTCATTCACAAGCATCTGCATTTCTCACTTATTTGAGAACATCGAATCAGATTACTAACAAAAATCAATAGTATATTCGTAGGAAGTCTGAATGGTAAATAATAAATACATACACCTAGGTATTAACTAGTTGCAAGAAATGAATATCGCAATCACATCGCCAATCGAGATGTAAATGTGCCTTTTTATCTCAGCTCCATGTAGATCAGGTTCTATAACCGTTTTCACGGCCTGAATACCAGCCCGATCGTTAAACCTTCACCAAGGTCATCACTCAGCAACGCACTGGGAGTAGTAGTCGTTTTGCACCTTGCAGACGTAGCCCGACGCACAGCTCGTGGTGCCGGTCCAGTTGGCTCCGCCACATTGGCCGTACGCGGCAGCGGCCGAAGTCTCGTCACCTTCGTCGTCCTCGCACTCGTCGTCGTCGTCAGAATCCCCGGGAGTGGCTGAGGGAGATGCACCCGAGGAGACAGTGACGGTAGCGGTAACCGTGGCAGTGACGGTGCTGGCACCGCACTGAGACTCGCTGACTGCCAGGGAGGTGGTTGGGAGAGATGTAGCGCTCTGGGCATCGGACTGGATGGAGGTGGTGGCCTGGATAGGAGCAGCCGAGGTGGCACTAGAGGCAGCAGACGTTGCGATGGAAGCTGCGGAGGTGGCACTGGACTTCTCGCTCACGATGACGGTGGCGCTGGTTGGGACGGCAGCAGCGGTAGAGGACTGGATCGCGGTCGCTGTGTTCTGAGTAGCTGTGGGTGCGGCGGCAGCAGTAGAACTAGAGCTTGCGCTGTCGCCAGAGTCGCTGTTACCAGAGTCATATGTAGAGCCAATAGGGCCGAACTTGATGTTGGAGAAGACAACGGAAGAGTCGGGTGATTCAGACTCCACGGTAGCCGGGACGCCTGAGCTTGTCGAGCAAGTTCCTCGGGCTGCGCCAGCGCCAGTCGCGTCCACGGGGTAGGTAGAGTCGAGCCAAAGCATGTTGGCATGGTGCTGTAGCAAGTTAGCAAATGATCATGGCAAGATAGATTAGTTGACTTACATCATCCCAGAGGCTCATGACCAGGACCATGGGGGCAGCAAGTGCGTCGCTCATCTGGGAGTATCCTCCCTTGGCCTTGAAGTCATCCTCGTCTCCGAATGCCACCTTCTGAGCCGTGCAGAACTCTTCGGTGACCGAGTTGCCAGAGGTACCCTCGACCTTTGAGTCCGAGTTTGCAATCACCTTGCCATCCTGAACGTAGAGTCGCTTGATCTCAGATAGGCCACCGCTAGTGCCGGCAACGAATTGAGTGACGACAGTGATCTTCTTGGTTGTGTCGACGAGGAAATCAGATCCAGGGCCGTAGAACGACTCGTTTCCTTGGCGGTAAGAGTTGAAATCACATCCATCTGGGTCGCAAGTGCCAGCGTAACGTGTGGTAGAGTAGGTTCCGCCGCAGGCATCACCCTCACACGAGTGCTGGGTCAGGGTTGTGCAGGGGTGAGGGGTGAAGGCTGTAGAGATATCGTTGGCTTCCCAGATATCCATCTCTGGGCAGCAGGTGCCCAGGTTTCCGGTACCCGAGTTTGAATCGCTCTCTGAAGGTTCCCAACCCTCTACATTTGCCTGGTCCAAGTCAGCATGTAACTAGAGGGGTGGGAAATACTGGTTGACTTACAACTCCGTTGATGAACTTGACATCGCGGGCGCATTGAGCATCACAGTAACCAGTACCGTACTTAGCTCCAGCCTTATTACCATCGTACTTGGCCAAGCCGCCATCTTCATCCATGGAGACAAAGTACAGAGCACCGTTGAGGCCGCAGCTGATTGCAGATACGTCAACATCAAAGGTGAACTCGTTACCGAGCAGGGTGAACATCTGGTAGGTAGAATCATCCTCCAGGAGGTAGAGACGGCTACCAATGTTGGTTGCGTAGGCGCCCTTGGTAACAAAGTCGATGCTGAGCTGGTTGCCGCTGGTAGTGACACCGTATGTGTTGGCATAATCGGCACCATCAACGCAACACTTCTCAGCGCAGGTTTCTCCGTCGGTACAGATGGATGAGTCCCATTTGTTTCCGGTGTAGCAGTTGGTGCTTCCGTCTACTGTATGGGTCCATCTCCAGTTCGCATCAACGACAACTGAGCCTTGGACTTCAGTGCATCCGCTGGAAGTGCACTTGGACCAGGTCAGAGGCGGGTGGGTTTCGGTAGTCGATGTGCAGGCCTGCTGCGCACGAGTCACGGCAATCAATGCCGGAAGCAGAGAGAATGAACGGAGGAAGGCCATTATGGCGATGCTTGTCTGTCAAGTATGTATGAAGGAAAGTGAAGTCGGGAAACCTAGCCCGGCTGTGTTTAGAAGGAAAGACGATGAGGAAACTTCTGGTATTCACAGAGCCAGATTGGAAGGTTTATATAATCCATCATCGGCATCGTTGGAACCCACTGCCTCTCCATTGGAATCATGATCAAGGAATCCGGTACAGCTCGCGCTCAGGTAGGCCGCGTAGTTGACCATAGGTGGTCATACGACTGCCCCGTCCTGAAATTTGATCTTGCAGTGTCCAGCAGGTCTCCTACAATACCGATCTAGCCGAGACGCTCGAAACAGACTGGTGACTTCATGATGAGCAGAATAAGACAATATTCCCTCTATCCCGCTCATAGTGGTGTTGAATTCTGGAATAACTGGTGACTTGAGTGAGATGTCATGCTAAGACTAAATTATACAGGGGCAAGACCTGAAACGTTGCCAGTTCTAATACACAAAGACTGACGACAGCCAATCACAGCTGGAATCGTTACACTTCAGCGGCAAAGGGCAGAAATAGTTCCGGAACATCCATCTCCGTACTTGAAGATCTAGGGCGGGTATCGCTTGTTTCATTTGATCCAGATGTTCGGTGGGCTCTTCCACAGCGCTTCCCCAAACCTGCGTTATGACTCGTGCGGAAATCGCAAATCCCAGAGCATGAGCCACCCGTAAATCACCAGTTCGGATGCCCGGCAGGCGGCACGAGGGCCGTATTTCCACCACGATGTCCATTGTACAACTCTTTCAGATGAAGCGGCTCAACAACAGGCGAGATTCAACCTGGATTCTATGATCAATATTTCGTTTCTTGTTGTTCTTTAACCTTTGCTTAGCTTGAAACTCTTTACGCGCTGGATTTTTCCTTTTCGTCATCTCCCATAGCAGTCGAGGCAGCTCCTGAGGATGTTGCCCGGCCTGAACTTGCAGATGCCAGGCTGGCGAGCAGATGGTAGCACAGGGATCACCTTGCCCTGAGACTCATTACTTACATTGTTATCGATCCATACCAGAGATCCACTGATCAGTCGTTCATCCCACGCATCCACGTTACCAGGGTTTAGTCAGATTTATGTCTAATCTGAAGCCCAACCATCGAACAGCCGTCACGCCCGTACGAAGGATTGTCCACCGCAAGTTCCACTTGAGCGCATATCCCTTGTCATCTTTGGCGCCCGCAATCTCGTTACATGGGGTTCATCACGTGGAAAAGGAGAACAGGGATGGAATGTTCGTAGAAGTCGACAGAGAATCTTGGCAGCTCGCGATCATCTCACCTACCGTCCCCGTCCTAGAGTGGCATGATATGACAGGCGAAAGGAGAACTCTCACCGGTAGCTTGGCAGCAACTAGCTTCTGGGCGGCTACGACAACAGAGAAATTTAATATTACTGCAGGTAAATGATGCCAATTTCACTGCTCACTTTCGAAGTTGCATGATGGATCACGGCGCGTACCTCTAAGACTTTGTAAGCAACATCCACAGAGAAGCACCTGTTGACAATGGTTCTTTTAGGCCTTTTCGGTACGACAAACTCAACAGCAAGTCTTGGATGAGAGATACATATGCCAGACTAGTTGAACTTCTGAGAATAGAGCTGCGCCGTTCACATTCTTTCTACTGCCTCGACATTCTTAGACCTTCTCTGCTTTTGGAACAATCATATGGCTGGCAAGGAGCGTGATACTTGTCAATTAATGATAGAAATTGTTATAGGTCATGTCCCTCTGTTTCCATTTTCCCATCATCAAGGTGGAGTTTCCATGGTCATCGTTCTGACGTCAAAAATCTTATTACGCCAGCCTCCCCTTTGGTACTCATACACCAGCTGTTCCGCGTCCCTCCCCTCCTGCTCCCACAGTTTGACTAGGCTGCCAGGAGCATACCGGCCCCGGAAAACACCCCCGCCAGGTGTGATTCCTACTCTAGTTTCAAAGTCCGGATCGGGTGCTGGTATCAAGCGTGCAGCCACCGCCCTTACGAATGTCCACAAGTCGCCGGGGTTAGCGATCCTGGTAGCCCGCAATCTCTCGCGAGCAAATAGGAGCTCTCGGTTCAGCGTGTGAAGTCCTTCCGCGATGGCGGTGGCCATTTTGATCTCCAAGGCTTTCCTGATAACCGGCCGCAAAAGTGGTTTGAAGACCCAGGCGAGACAGGAGAATGGCGACTTGCCCAATGTGTAGTCAAGATGATGTATTTTGACGTTCACATTTCTCAGCGAGACAATCTTTTCCATCCTGTCTTTACCGATCTCAAGGTCTAGCGTCAGATCGATGCCCCGTTCATCCAAATAGAATCCTGCCAGGCCTTGGTCCATGAAGCGCAAGCACCAAGAGTGCAGTTTTACCCAATAGCCCAAGTCTTCCGCAGCAATAGACATCCCTGAGATCTTCAAGGTCACCAGGGATGTCATTGATGAGGTGGTCCTGAACCGAGCTTTCCGGACCTCAATGTCGTTTTGTGTGGAAACGTTGAACCTGAAAGGGAGGAACGAGCTGTGGTTTACCGTCTTACCCGGCTCAAGAATCAAATTCTCCAGGAGCAGATCCACGGCAGGTGTGGCAACTTCCAGTCGAGGAATGGGGATATATTGAATAGCATTGATCGTCATGGGAAGAAACACGTTGATAGCATCGGCGATTAGTTCACCATTTGACTTCTTCCCCGCCGGTGAGAGAATATTGGCAAGACGTGTTGATGTACGCAAGATGTTGCGGACCTGCTCGTCATCGGCCACAGATTGCATAGCCAGTCGAAGGTGCGCAAATAACAATTTCACGTCTTCCGATATGGAGGAGCGATTTCGTATTTTGTTGGACTTTTCGCGAAGTTCCTTGACCTCGCTGTCGACGTTGTCGAGCCAGTCAGGGTTGGACAAGATATTTTCAACAGCAACGGACAGCTCTTTGATGAATTCGTCGAGGTTGGGATCGGCTTCGCAGCCCTCGACGAGGCGGTTGAAAGCCCCTTCCACTTCTCTCCACTCATTCCGGTCTCCCAAAGATGTAAGTAGCAACCAGAAATTCCGGACAGCCTTATCGGCCTCTTTGTTAACGCTGAAATCATCTCCAATGGCTTGCGCAGCGTCTTCGGCAGCGTGGGAGTAGGCGAGAAGGTAATGCCGCATGAGAAGAGAGACCATGTTTACCGATTCCGAGTAGTCTGGCTTTTTGCGAAGCTTGAGAATGACGTTCTTCAGCCTGGTTGCCAGTGCTTGCTCTTCTTCTCCACTCAAATGCTCGGCTACACTCTCCTTGGCACCTTGAGCAACACTCGATGCGCCTTCTGTGATGACATGAGCTACATCTTTGACCTCCTCTGTCAAGTCCTGTTTTGTCGGAGGAGCTTGATCCGTGTGTCCATTGGCAGCCTCCAGCGACTTCTGGTCTTCCACCGACGGTTCCAGCTTCTTAGCAGTCTGCTTTGATACCTCAGCCAGAGAGAGCGCGGTGTCGCTAAACACCTCTCTGCCGATCGTCCCCAAGTCCGATAAGAATAGGCGGAATTCAGAACTATTTAAAAGCAGAGATCCGATTGTCTGTAAGCTGTGATACGCAGTCATTGCATCACTGCGAGCAGAGACCCTGCCCGCTCTTGCTGCAATGTCTCCCGTATCAACGTGTAAACGGGACTTGACAAGACACCATATAAAGTCCTGGACCTGGTCGCCCGAGTTCTTTGAATCCAGAAGCTCAATAACCTGTCGTAGCAAGAGCTTGGTAGTGCGGACGAGCGCGCGCCCTGAATTGCTCAGCTCGGGAACGTCTGGGTTCAGCACATCGGCGGCGAGCAGAGTGCGCAGGTGAATGATGGTTTGTTCATTGGAAGGCATGTAACCCTTGGACATGGCGCGTAGCATCTGATATGTGTGGAGCTTCTCGTGCAGCCGTGCCTGCATCGCCGTATCATCGTTGTAGACAGGGAGCAGCGGCTCGCGCTCAGGGTCGCGACGCTCGCGGGAGCCGAAGCAGGCGCACGAAAACATTCTGTGATATCAATGCAGCGAGCTGAGGGGTTGGCCGCGGTTGTAATTAGGTATTGGAGAATGAAGGAACGGGGATGGGAGGTTAGAAATGGAACAACAACTGGAATTACCTAGGCGTCGTCATTATTGCACGTCGCGCTTCCTTGACCTTTCGGGTCCGGCGAAGTAAGACGAAGTGATGACGTCGGCGATCTGATCGATCCTTCAGCTACCCTATACTCATATGGCCCTACCACCGACCTCCGCTTGGGACTCAGATAAATATTCATTTGAGGCGACATGCTGTTGAAAATTGATGGATTCGGTAATATCGAGTATTGAAAGAACTAGCATACGATCATAATTGTCAAATTTATCTTGTGAATGCCAAAGAATATCCGTTGTACACTTTTCTTCCCAAAAGGTTGAGCGGCATCAGCAAACTTCCAGAAAGCAGCGGACCAAAACGTCCATGAAACGACCATTAAGCTTTAGCACCACCATCCCACAGGCCAATTAGAGCGGAAAATTCATCTTATGCATAAGTAGGAGCTGCTTCATAATTTGTCCGCCCAAGGCTGCTGGTTTACACAAAAAGGTCGGCTGGAGAGAGAAAACAGACCTGTGAGATTGTGTCGGTCGCATGCTCACCGGAGGAAAAAGAAGAATTTGTTATTAGCTATTTCAAGATTTTATAATAGCTACATCAATAAGGGGATAGGTAAGGGCTAGGTGTTCATTTGATTTCATCGATGGGCAAACATGGGGATTTCGGACTTACCCGATGAAACTTTAACATGAAACAGATTGAATCAACAACACGGATTGTCCGAATGGAACACTCTTTCTGATTATCAAGGCTCTGCACTGGACGTTCTTACCATAAGCTATATGCGGCAATCTACCTCCCTAGGCAAGATGCTGAGATCGATATTGGGAAACACATGACGGGCTCGCCCTGTCCGATTATAGTATACACAAGATTCATTGTAGAATACACTACTTAAGGAGGCTTGCAAAGCCAGTAGCAATTGATGCCATTCACTGTGACGAAGAGCCTCGCCACCAGCTATTGAACATAAGCAAAGGGGCAACAAGTATTTTCGGTTGTACTCCATTCCCGTGAGGCGATGCTTGAAACCTCGCCGGGTTTACTTGGGCGGGGTATTTTCGAATTCTAGATGCCTTCTGGAAAATAAAGGCTAGACTCGGCTTAAGCATTTGATGTCGCCAGCCCAGAGTAGCAGGAGGGAGTTCTCGGATGAGCGGTCTGACGCAGTCAATGCCAAGGGGACAACAAAGATATTCAGCTCGTTGCTGGGTAGTAACAAAGTACTTCTGAAGGCTGCCGAGAAACTTGGCGGGAGGTCACCTGGGTGCTAGAAACAATACATTGCCCGAAGTTCTTCTATCCGGGGATATCTAGTGCGAATCCCGGAGAGAGTGACGGAATGTAAGACATCTAAACACCCCCCGGGACAACGGCATATGCATCTAGAGCGAGGCGAGGTATAGATCGATTGGCTCAGGCCAGCACAAAAGAGGGGAAAATCGCGATCAACACTCCGGCGGTGTTGCGGAAGAGCGGAAGGGAGGCTGGTCGCACGACCACAACGCCGACGAGAAAGGGTTGCTCACGCACCGATTTTTTGTCGGTGGTATTTGACATTGGGATATTCCTACCCCCACACACCGATGTGGTTGCTTTGCGGCTAGAACTTATGTAAGAAGACCTCAGACCTAGTAGAGGAAGGTAGCAGTCCCTTTTAAGTGCATCGCTCAATTCCCTCGGGTAGGTTCTTCTACTGGCACGGCCCTGAAATGATAAATTGGAACTTAGAAACCAAAGCATTTGACCCGAGGATTTGGGGTCAGAGAGGCATGTGATCACTGAGAGAGGGGAAAACATCGACTTCTAGGAAACTGGCCAATGAGAGTATTGAAACCAAAGAAATCAAGGTTCTATTGGTGGAACTTCTGGAGGTGGCTGAGGAGGTCACCCTTGAGGAGAGAACACAAGCAGAGAGACGAAGTACCTTCATTGTGAAGAAACACGGGCGGGATTCACAGATTGAACCTGTTTCATTATTTTTCCCACACCCGAAATAAGGCATTAATTCAACTTGTGCACTTTTCTCAATGCAACATAGTTGACACTGGGTACCTGCGATGCGCGGTTCAAAATGCGGATATCGAAGACTCGAAGGGGAGTATTGAGCTGAGACACTGCATCTGATTAGGTATTGGATCTGACCGGCTGCGAGTACATTAGTCATAACAAAGCGTCTTGCTTCCTGACCGATATTTGCAAGCATATATGAGCAGGGTGTGGCTCGTCTTGATCAAACAATAGCCTGCAAGGCGACGAAGGGTGGCTGGTCTCGTGTGAGTGCATGTGGCCCACTCGTTTCCTCGGGGTGCTCATAGTCTCCAATTCATTGTGCCGATATTAGAAAGATTTTCATATATTTTAATTCTTTTTATCTCCGTTCAATTTCTTTTGCATTTTCTGTGGCTATTTATCCAGGGCTTGGGGAGCACACGGAGCACGGGGATGGAACACTGCAATGTGATGTGACCCTACCTGCTTTTATTTGCATCCTCGCCTTGGGCTCCAGTGCATTTTAAGCAAACAGCGTCAGCCGGTTGGGTATGAGAGAGGAGTGCACGAGCCTAATAGGGGCCGGACCTTTGCCTATCCAAACTGTAAGCGCTGAAAGTAGGTACGCTCGGTGGTCGGATCGTGCACACATTGGCCCAGGTTGGACAGGCGACAAGGGACCAGTGAGTGCGACAAGCTGCGGGGTTGACATGTCTCACACAGGAGAGAATGTAAGAAGAAAAGAGCATTCAAAAAAGTACGAAACGGTGTGAGCATGGCTGGTCTCATCAGAATCCGATGATTGTTTGCGCTGATCGTCAAGCACACCCCCTCCATTCCCCTCATCCAACAACCAGGTTTGATGCGAGGGGACAGCGGAGGACGAGGGAAGGGGACAGAGGCTTGCTCTCCCCGTGGGCCAGAGACTGACAAGGAACAGGGGACGGAAGAATAGCCAGCCACAGCTGAAACGAGGGATGCACCCAGGGTGGTTGAGTGTTGCCAACAGCACGTTACGTCGCCCGTGTGCGGTCAAATGGGCGGCGCCTGCATGAGAAGGTTCTTTTTTTCTTTTATTGCCTAGTCTGTATGTCTTGTCGATGTGGAGGGCCAAATGTTTGTACCGACCCCGGATACGCACCCCGGACTTGGGAGAGGATGATGATGCTGGGTTATGCAGTGTAACCCGCAGCTGGGAGCCAAAAGGGAGGGGAAGGCCTGGCCAAGCTAATCCAGCGACTGTGTAACGATGATTACGAGAAGAAAAGTAGGGCGGAGAGCAGGGGTGCTTGCCGTTGCTGAGCTTATCCGTACTTTTGTCTGCCCTCCTCGGCATGTATTCCGTGCCATCTTGATTTTGCCTCCTACTCCCGCTTCCTGGTATGCGCATGCCGTAGCAATGCGTCGAGCGCCCCTCAGAGGAAGAGTGCAAAAAAGAGGCGTTCGGTAGCGTTGCTCGGGCATCGATGAAGCAGGGCGTGAATGAGGATGACCGGAATCCAAGGAGCTCTGGGCTCGATTAAGCAGCGGCACTATTCTTAGCCTGGCTCAATGAGGCAAGCCGGAATTAGGCAGGAAAATGAAGCTGATACAGACGAGAATTGGAAAAAGAAAGCAAGAAACTAGGGCCACGGCGCGCTCTTTTCGGTCATGGTGCCTCATCGTGTCTGTGTGCGTGCGTGAATGGATGGATGGTACTGCGTCTCCCCTGACCCTCACTTTGACTTGGTGATCCTGCGCAAGTCGGCGATGTCCTGGGACATCTCTTTCGCATCAGCGGCTGCCAGCTGGGTTTGACAGGGTGTGACACGCCTGGTAGAAAAGACAACCTGCATCCACATTCCGATGTCCCAGGTTATGAAAGCAGGTTGTGGGTGAGGGCGACTGCACCGTGGTTGGCCGGCAGCGGTAGAGAGGGTGTGAAGGGCAGCAGGGATAAGTATGGGGAAGAGAGATGGACTAAACCAGGGGCGCGCGGAAACCCCAGCGCCAGCCTCCCTGCTTGTCGGTTGGTGATGGTGTTGGTAGTCATGCTGCTTGGGTGAGGCGATGGTGGTGCCGTTGAATGTCGGTGGCCTGCGGGACTCGGGCGAGGGAATATGACGAGTCAGAAGGGGTCTCGAAAAGGCTGTGAGACAACAATGTGGTGGGAGGGAGAACAATTGGCTGGAGGAGGAACAGAACAATTGATTTTGATCAATCAACGAGCAGGAGAGGAGGCAGGTGCATGCACTGTCATGTGCAGCCACCACTCAGGGCCCGCGGCCGGTGGAAATAGCGGCGCAGGTTAGTGGGCAGAGGCGCTGTGGGTGCAGCGGGCCCGGCAGACTGGGCACCTCACTGAACGGCTCTGCCAGTGGCCTCCATTGCAACAGTAGAGGCCCGAGGGGTCCGCTTATTGCGTGCTGCAGTCACCCGACAGCTGGCCAGCAGCCGTGTCTGGGCGAGAGCTAGTGGGCTAGTGCCTGAACGCCGGGGCGCTAGTCGAGGCTTTGACATGGAGGGACATCTCTCGTAGTGTCTGGACGGTGCGACAGGCTACGTAGGTATGTATGTATCCTCATCGCAGAGACATGGAGGGCTGGCTGGCGGCCTGGATGGTCGACGGAGGGAGCATGTGGCCCGCCTGGCGCTAAGCTAAGCTGGATCGATGCAGTAATAAACCACCGGCTCGAAACAGAATCGAATCACACACCGCACCGCTCGCATACTGACAATACACGTACCTATTTGCTGCTGCGATCAGATCAGACCCGCCCGCGTTTCCCATTTGGATCTTCTCATGGCAACGTGACCACCGGCCCGGCCCCAGCAGCCAGCGTCGTCTCAGTCCTCGAGGGCCCTTTATTCATCATGTCCGCGTCTCGCCTCTCGTCCCGTCTCTCGAGTCTCGCCAGCAGAAACCGGCCCTGAGCTTCCATCGTCTGTTCGAGCTGTCCTGCTGCACACCGGCACTCATAACCCAGATCCTCCCCCACATCTTGATTCCCTTCCCTTGCCACTCATCCATCCACTACGTTCCTGATCTTCTCGACCTGCCATTCTCCACCCAACAAGCACCGTCGAGCGGCAGCTACTTTGGCAGCGGGACCTCCCCATTGCATTCCTCCACCTCCCTCCACACTGTTGCGCCCGCACAGCAGACGCTAGGCAAGGCCCGAGCTTGACTCCCGTCCGAATCTCCAGCACGAGCCAGCTCCGGGATAGCTTCGTCAAACTGCATGGAGTGTCTTGTGGCCCGTCGCCGTTGCAGGACCCGATTGATCATGCCAAGAAAGTGACTGAGGCCCGCCAATCTTCCTCGTGCGCGCCCTCCGCCTCTCCCAGGTCCTCCAGGGCCACACGAAGAGGCCGACAAGTTGGGGCAGAACCGCCAAGCTGCGTTTAATCGGGGCTCCTGGGCCTTGACCTGGCTCCGATCTGATGCAAATCCACGACGCCCACTCGCCCGCCGAGCCCTTGGACTTCCTCCAGGCCTGGGGAGCCGTCCACTCCACCGTCAAGGTCCACCAGCTGGACACGCCCGCGCCTGGCCAGCCCACGCCAGCACTGCTCTCTGCCGTCCCGCGGTCCCCCGCCGTGCGCGATGAGGCCATCCAGGCGCTCCTGGGCGCCGGCGTGTGCATCTCCCTGACGGACGGCGGCGTCTGCAAGGCCACCGCGGTGGGCGAGACTGCACGATGCAACCGGATGCCGCCTACGCCCTCGGCCCAGCGTCGCGTCGCCCTCCGTGGGGACCGCGTCTTCAAGTTCGAGCCGCCCGGTGCCCAGCTGCAGCCGTTCAGCTTCACGGGCTCCTGCCGCGGCGGCATGACCGCCGGTTTGTTGAAACGGGTGCGCCACGGCCTGGACGTGGACGGCCCCAACACGGCCGACCTGGGGTGCAAGAAGCGGCGGCTGAGGACCGAGCTCATCACGAGCCGGCTGTCCCACGCGTACTCGCAGCCCGCGACGCACATCCTCAACCGCGAGGGTCAGAAGTCGGGCGACAAGCGGTTCCTCAAGATGGCCACCTCGTCCGTGGCGCCCGTCGCGCGGAGGCTCGCCCATCTGAGGGCAACGTCGTACATACGGTACTCGACGATGAACCGCCTGAGGCAGAGGCTCGGTATACCATGGCCAATGATGATACCGGTGACGGTCCCGGATCCCGGACAGCCACAGGCAGGTTCGGGGACGCAAAAGGACGCCGAGAAGGACACCAAAGAAGTACCCACGAGCTTGTTCGAGCTCAAGTCCAAGACCCAGTGGCGGCCTCCATCGCTGCTCACTGCTTCGCGCGGGCAGTTTGTTCCGCTCGAAGTAAAGGCTACAAATCATAAGCCTACCTTGGCCTCATCAGCTGCTACGTCGTCACGGACCCAATCTACGCCATCATCTCAGGCTCCCGCGTCCATGCCCTCCCGGCCGCCTTCATCCTTCTCGTCTCGGCTACCACTGGCCTTGCCGCCTCGGCCTCCATCGGCTTTGCAGACCCGGTCCACACCCGCCTTGTCCCAATCAGACTCGTCACCTTCCCGAAACAACAAGGCCCTTTCGCCCAAACCCGTATCGTCCTTGGCCCATGCACCTGATGCAGGGGCGGCAAAGGGCACGTCGTCGTCGGGACCTGCTCGCCCAATCTCCTCGCCTGAGCGACCGCCCTCCTTCTACGACAACCTGGAGGAAGACAGCTTCGCGTCGCGTCACCTGATCGACGACGACTTCAACGACTCCGTGGACGACCCAGATCAGGTGTACTCGGACTTTAGTGTAATATTTAGTACTAACAAGAAAAAGAAGGGCAAGAAGAAGAAGGCAGACGGGGACTGTACGGGCGGCGAGGATAACGGGGGCGAGGGGAGCGGTTCGGAGGACGAGGACGGGTCATACGAGGAGTTTCTGGATGAGCTCGACGGCATCTCGTGGGTGGCCTTCTAGACGCATCGCAGGCGGCATTGCATTGAATTTTACCATAAATAACGGGGTTTTGTATATTTAGACCATGGTGGGGATATTTCAGACACAGTTTGTCTATTGAGGTGGCTACGGTACTAGGCAGGACGGGTTTTCTGGTGTTGGGATTTGGAAATGGCTGCATAGGAAGGATTTACTCTTGGATATAAAGGCGAACAAAAAAAGGCAACTACCTAGTCAATATACGGAGGATTATTTGGGCTCTTGCGGGTGTTAAACGATTGATCGGGCGCATGGTTCAATGCCGAATGTTAATTGTATTCAGCTATTGGCTGTCCATCAAGAACTTGCTTCTACTGAAGTATCTGTTCATATTTCATCATCATACGTGAAAGTGAGGTTTCAAACACCCAACATCGCCGTCATATTCTGTCCTTCAACCAGCCAGCAACTTACTCCCGGCCGGAAAACGACCCCCGCATGGGCACCTCCTGATCGTACATGCCCGACTCCTTCTTCATGTGCTTGTCGAAGCTCTGCGTCGACAGCTGCACCTTCTCGAAGAACGAGCGGTCGAGCACGGGCGCCGCAGCGGGGAGCTGGCCGCGCGACCGGGCCAGCGCGGACTGGTTCGCGTGCGAGTGGATGGCCAGGCTCGAGGCGATCTGGAAGGCGCTGCGGATCTGCCGGCCGTTCCAGCAGCCGGTCGAGCGGGCGAGGTCCTCGTAGTGCTTGGTGGCGAAGTCGAGGATCTCGGCGTCCTTGATGACGAGGGGGGCCTCGCCGGTCATGCGGTGGCGCTCGGCCTCGATCTCCTTGAGCTTGGCGATGTTGATCTTGAAGATCTCGCGGGTCTGGGTCTTGTCGAGAGGTGGCTGTTGGGGTTAAACACGATTAGCAATTGCTTGGTGTTGAGTTGGGGAGGGGGGACTCACGTAGTAGAGAGACAGGTGAATTCTGCTCTTGAAAGCACTGTCAATTTGCCCAACTCTGTTGGTCGTCAGGAAGAGAAGCCCATTGTAGTATTCGAGAACTCGTAAGAAGACGGAGACGAGGGCGTTGCGCTTCATGTCGAGCTGGGATCGCTGCGATAGGAAGACATCTACACCACGACTGTTAGCTCTACTATACACATCATTCTTGGAATAAGAAAAGCTTACCAGCCTCATCTAAGAGGAGCACGCAATCCCAGAGGTGCGCAAGACGGAAGACGTTCTTGAGAGAAGATTCGACTTCGTGGGGGGAGAGGCCGAGGTCACCACAGGTGATCACAAACAGGGGCTTGCGGTTCTCCATTGCGACAGCCTCAGCCGTCGCCGTCTTACCCACACCTGGCACACCGTGCAGCAGCACGACCAAACCACGGCCCTTGCCCTGGATCAGATCCTGGTTGGGGCCCTCCATGGCCGAGTCGGCATACCGGCGCTCGAGGGCCTTGCGCTGGAAGTGGGACATGACCAGCCCGCGGACCACGTCCTTGTAGTCGGACTGGATGCGCAGGTTCTCGAACACGTTGGGCTCGCGGCGCACGGGGTTCAGGAAGTTGAGGTCGACGGGGAGGAAGCGGCGCTCGCGCAGGATGTAGGCGAACATGCGCTTGGGGACGAGGACGAGGTCCTCATCGCGGAGCTTGAGGAGGGCTGGGTTGGTCTCGAAGGTGCGGGAGCCCTTGACGCGGACGCGGAGGAAGGCGTCCTGGTTCAGATTGTCGCGGCGCTGGCGGACCTCGACGCCGTCCGACTTCTGGACGATCTCGGTCTGGGAGTAGGCCAGGGACTGGCGGTTGCCGTCGAACCAGTGCTGGACGGGCATCTCGTCGTCCTGGGCCTCACAGTTCATCGAGTGGTTGATGGCGAGCTGGTGGAAGCTGGGGCGCCAGTCGGGCATCTTCTGGTACGCCTCGCGGAGATCGACGATCACGTCGCTCTCGACGAACTCGGGGTGGCGCATCTTCTCGTAGTCCTCGCTGTCGAGGATCTCATCATCGGGATCGTCACGGTGCCGGTGCGAGGGTGGGTTCCTGGTCAGCGACCAAGCGCTGTACTGCTGGTGTCGGTCGTCAAGGAAGTCGATGAACTTGCGGCCCTGGCTCTTGAGCGAGTCGATGAGCTCCTCGTGCCCATGACGGTAGCGGATGGGGAAGATGTCGAGCGAGTCGATCTGGCGCTCGCCGATGAAGGGCTCGATCGTGAACTCCTTGCGGACAGCACCGAAAGAGCTGCCGTCGTGGTCAATGTAGTAGGCCTTGATCTTGAAGTTGTTGCTGTCATCGTTGCTGCCGAAGAAGTCGTCACCAAACTCCCATCCCAGGGAACGGTCTGCGACCTCGGGCTCGGGAACAGTGACCTTGTAGGTACGCCAAACCTCGTGGTATCGACCACCGGCCTCGCCTGCTGCGGGCATGTAGATGAGGTCGCCCGGGCGGAAGAGGTACCAGAGATCGTCAAACTTGACCTTGTCGACTTCATTTCCGTCAAAGCGGGTGTGGAGAGGCATGACCTCCTCGTCAATGAACTTGACATAGCAGCGCATGTCCCTGAGAGCCTCAGGAGTGTCCATCAGGCTGTCAACGTCCTCATCCACGTTGGAGTCGACCGACTGAAGAGACTCAGTGTCGTCCTCGTCATCACCGCCCTCCTCATCTTCATCTGACTGGGCTTCGTCGTCCTCCTCGACAGCATCGTCAAACTCCTCGACCTCATCAACAACCTCGATGGCCTCCTCTTTGGAAAGCTCCTCAGCGCTCTCGGATGAGGCCTCCTCAAAATCGGCCCATTTCTCCTCCAAAGTAGCAAGAATCTCCCTCATCTTGGGCTGGAAGTAGATCAGGGGCTTGAAGGGTCGCATGAATGTGCGGGGAGTGGACCTCGTGTTGGACTCATTCATCAGCGAGGTCAGGTATCCCAAAACGGGCTGTGACTGGACACGGATACGCGAGATCTCAGTATCGGTTGACTGCAGCGCCTCGGTGCGCTTGGCAATCTTGGCCTTGTCGGCTGCAGTGATGGGCCGTCTCTTGCGCTCGTAGGCATTGTCGTGGATATCGAGGTACTTCTTGCGCATGCGGGCCAGATCCTCTCGGTGTCTGTAGCTACGCTCTCGGCGCATCTGGGCAGAGATGCTGGGGCCGACCATGAGAACATCAACGGCGGCATCGGGCTCGTCCGTTCCGCCAAAGCGGTTCTTGAAGTTCTCGAAGTTGACCTTGCGGATCTCGGGCACCTTGGGGCGCCACTTGGCCTCCACGCGGCGGCGGTCGGCCAAGATGCGCTCACGGCGCTCTGCCTCCTCCTGGAGGGCCATGAAGCCAATGTCATTCCCGCGAGCAGCACGAGAGGGGGCCTTGCGGCGCCCACCACGAGATGTCTGCTTGGTGCGAGCCATGGTTGTGTGTAAGTGAACGAAAGGAGTAAACGACTAAACAAACAAGCAGCAAGTGTATGTGGTCCTGGGGAGCAAATGTAGTAAGAAGACGTGAAGATGAGGTGTTGAGTAGGGAGAGAGAGATCCAGAGGAATTCATCTTGATGAGTTGGGGCAGAAGCCGTGAGATATAAGGGCGGCGTCTCTGGCATCTCGCGGGGTACGAGGTTGTGATTCACACCGCTGTGCCGCTAAGATGAGACCAATTCACCTGCAGCATCCATCCATTGATGTGGGCCAGCAGGCAGCAGCTGCCAGTGATCGTTTCACAGCGTACAGCACGAGAGCGCGTATAGCAACAGCCGGCGTAGAAGCCAGCACGGCCTAGCCCTAGACCGGCGCAGATCTCAGCACGGCACAGCCCAGCTCCCCGTTAATGCAGGCTGCCTTGGCCACCAAGCAGTCAGCCTGCAATGAGACGGACCCAAGTGGCTGTCAGCTAGGAGGGACCATAGTAACTTCGACAGAATAATGATTGTCGCGGTCACATCATAAGACTTCTTATTGTGCAATAATAATTAAATAACTCTATACAAAAATTACACAATAATCTGGATTTTTGTAAAATGTCTACAGATATTGTGGCCGGTTAGACAAAACACTTTACAGCCGGTCCCTGTTGTTCTGATGCAGCGAAGCGCCGCCACTTGATAATGCGCCACTATAATCTCACTAGCAGCAAGCTTCAGGCAGCACAGCCCAATCTCTCCAATGTTCTCACGGCAGGGACATTTCGACGGCCCAATAGTTTGCGGAGCTACCCTCCAGCTGAAACTCGGCACTCAGAGCTGACAGAGCCGTTCACTGCCCGCTAGGCCTGTTACGGTATGAACATTTGCTGGTCACAAAGATGCGTGAAGTCGGTATGATTCACACTCCGAGATGATCTCCGCTGCATGCTTCTAAGCTCCCCTCTCCTTATCCCGCGCCTACCTACTTGATAGGGCAGCGGATAGTCTTGCGTCATCCATTCACGACAAGCATGTCCATCCTGCTGAGCTGACTTAACTATTCTAGGTCGTAATTCTCAGTTCAATACATCTACCATTGCCAGTTGGCGTTCGGGCTTGAGAATGATGCGCTGACTAGGTACGATGCACCTGTTTGGACAAACTAGGGAGCCAAGCGGTGGCTGGAACGCCACAGCTCAGCCTCTAATACCCTGGAGTACATCTTTTGTCAGAGCCAGCCAATGTTACTCTAGGGGCTTAAAACAAGATTGGGGATTTAGAAGTTATTTTCTGATAACTTGGGTCTTGCTCTTAATTCTTTGGCCTTGTCATCGGCTTTAGTTTCGTTACAGCAAGAAAATACTTCCACATTGCAGCTAGTAACAATTGATCGACGAAGTGATCGATGGATGTTTTTATTACGACGCGATAGAACCCAGATCACGGGATATCTCACGTGATACCCTTCCTTTCAATTTCCGAATGAGTAGATTATCCTTAGACCCTCTTTGGATAGTAGGAAATGCAAGTCTTCTATTAAATCCGCTTCAATTGGTGACCTCTACCTGCGGCGAATCGTCGTATTTATTGCCAGAGAACCTTTTACCCTTCCCTGTCTTGTCACTACTTGACAAAACTAACAACAAAAAAATACAACAAGATAGTACATAAAGAGGCGACAACGGGCCTCCTGCTCGATGAATTGTTATTGCCGTTTGAGGCCAGCATCCGACTTGGTCTTGGTCGCATTGAGGCGATATCGGGCAGAGAACCAAGCAGGTAATAAGGAGGTAGTAAGAGGGATGCGTAATACCCACTCGCTTCAGGATGATACGTAAGACGAACCCTGCCTTCCAGGTACCCTAGGCCTTGTAACAACTTTTGCAAATGCAAACAGAACTAGCAACAACCTGTCAGTGGCGACTAAAGGCAAGCAAAGTGGTAGGACGTTGTACTTGTAGAGTGAGGACGGTTGGACTCTCAGACTTGAAGCCGGCGACAGCCATCGCTACTTTTTAACCCAGAATAGAGCTGTATTTCACCATCATCAATCGTCAAGCCATCATAGCTAAAGAAATCATGGTAGCCCTAATGTTTCCAGTTCTTCCAAGTGGCGACGGAAGATCGAGTGGTTGTTAGTGGAAGTTGTGAGCTTGCGTGATGGTGTGGCAGAGATGCAAATTGATGCTCGGGGCTTTTATTAAGGTCAATCCCTTGGGCATGGCACAACAGAAGTACGAACTGGGGCATTGGTGAAGATGAAAATGTTGGATATTTGCACTTGAGACCTATCTCGGTATGACTGGTTTTCACGATCTTTCATATACCAATACACCCAGAAAGCTGAACCGCTGGAAGCAAGAAAGAACGCATTGTTGGAAGAACTGAAAAAGGATGATGTGAAAGTCAAAAAGATCAATAAGGCTACCAGAGAGAGAAAAAAAAGGTACTACCTGCCTGCGTGGAGCAGAGTGAAAACGTGCTGTGAGCCTCACATCCTAATACTTCTTTAAAAAGTGTGCAGATACCTTAAGGTACATTGGCTACTGTGACAACTACACTGGAATCTACGTACCTGTCAGGTACTAGCCACTATTTTTCCGTGATGCCGACCTTGAGCACCATGTCGTGTGTATTGTGTGTTATTGTTCAACGCTTGTAGACCTATCTATAGGGCAGGTAGGCATCTTGCTACATTGTTCGCTACTTCCCAATTGCAAGCTGAGAACTATTTAAGGCCTGCGTCCCCCCTCCGGCTCAAAGAAAACTTCTTCTCCCTCCCATCATAATCATCACCACCCGTCCGTATGCACACCCCCCCTCTCTACTTTATATTGCAACCCAGCAGCTAACATATGTGTAGCTACTTGTCCTAGCAGCAACCTAAACAACCTCAGAAGCATCTCCATCACGGCCCCTCTGTATGCAAATACCCCCTACCTAACCTTCAAATTGCAACCCAGGAGCTAACTTGTATGCAGCTACTAGTCCCAGCAACAGCCCAAATTTGAACCTCAGCAGCATCACCAACACCATGTGAGTACCATTTCCCATTACCAGAAACCCTGTTGCAAGTGCCATGCTAACCTTTGGAAGGTCTGGTTCTACCAACGGCCCTGGCACAGAGGGAGAGATGGCTCCAGCGCCTATGTACGCCGTTGAGATCTTGATAGCCAGTCATCAGGAGCTCAAAGTGGAGAATGACAGACTTCGCATTGAGAATGCCAAATTGAAGGCGGAATTGGTCCAAAAGGGAAATCAAATACCTGCGCAGTTTATTGGTACCAGCTACCTCGGGACAAAGCGCAAAGTCGAAGAGGAAATGTACGCCACCGACCAACTCGGAAACAAGAGGCTCCGCACTACTGACTCGATGGCATTCGAGGGCCTTTCCGATGGAAACCTGGATGGTGTTTGCTCTTTTGTTTCAACTGCCCAAAATGAGGTACTGCGCGTGGCAGCAAAGGGTGGTTTGATCAACCACCTTCATTTTAAGATCACCCCGCGGGGTATTTTGGGGATCACTCCCCTCGGAATGGAGACAATCGACCGCTTCCATTGGTCCAAAACGGAGCCCCAGCTGATCGAGGATTGGGAATCAACTCGAGGGGCGGAGTTTTCCAAGAAGGTCCGCGAGATCATCACTGAGAGTCGTTTCCAAGACCATAGCCACCCCTCCCTCCACTACCTCGCCAAGCAACTTGAGGATGGCAGAAACCTGTCAATGGGCACTCTTCGCGACCATTTGGCCTCTGTCGAATCCGAAACGAAGGATGATGTGACGAGGCTCAACTTCTACATCAACGAACTGAACAGGACCCACCTAACTGGGCGGCGAAATAGAGTTGACAAAGAAGACCTCCTGGAAGTCTTGGGCCGCATCTCCCCCTCACTGGTTGATGGGTCTATGAGGCCGTATGTGAGGATGATCGAGGGAGATCAGGGCCTTCGTATGGCCTTCGCCTTCCTTGGTGAGCTGGAGAAGATCACCAAAGGATATCGTGCACTTTACACAGCAAGTGCAAATATTGGGGACTCCATCGAGTTCCCAACACATCACTTTGCGCCTGCGGCGCCACGTATTGACGAGTCAGACTCTGAGTAGCCTAATTGAGCATGCTTCTAGACCCTTTTTGAAGGCTTTCTAGGTCCTTTGGGGCGGCGGTATTTGCTACAGACTTTGCAGGGGGAGGGGTTATGCTTTGGTGGGATACATGAGGCCTTTGGAGCAATGGAATTTACGTCGATAAGAAAATGGTATTGAAGAGAGGATACCTTTGCTATTTTAGGGTTGCTTTAGCCTGCGAACCAAGGTAACTATGAGATCAGAAGTTACAGCAATGAGCTGGAGATACCCGATGGCCACTGATTGGGATTTCAATTGGGCTCCAAAATGAGATATTTGATGATACTGGGAAAAGTTCAGCTAGGGATTCATATGCGGAAACAGAGGTTGCTAGTGTTATTTCGCAAACGTAGGGATTAAGGGTCTACATGCTACGGAGATCTTTGAACTTCAATTGCTGGAGACCATATTGGCCCTACAAAATAAAAGTCACGCGTTTTATCAATGTCAATGGTCCCATAATGAACAAATGCTCGAGTGCTGAATGTTCAATTATAACTCCCATCAAATGATACGGCGTGGCGTCGAAGCCCTCAACATACAAGTGACACCTTAGCCACAGGATCGGTATGTGCATTAGAGCAGATTATTACACTTACAGCCTTAAACTCAGTTCACCCACATCTAAGCATTACCTGACGATAATTGAAGATTCCAATTTGATCCAATTTGATATCAATTTGGTAAGTCCATCTCTATAATTCACAGTTGTTTTATGCTTACTAACTTGAAGCCAGTTTACCAAAGCAACGACAGCAAGTCCGATGAGCGACAACGGCCAAGCCCCTTCCTAGGGGAAAACATGAAAAAATGGCATTGTTGGAGATTAATTCTGGGACGCAGCGATAATCTACCTAATTGAGCACCTGGGAGAAGAGAATGTCGCCGAGATGGATCGTCACAAGCAAGAGTAAGAATCAATAGACATTCCAGCTAGCACGAGGGCACTTGATCTAGCAAGGACTGTGATGTTACGCCGGAGACTGCCGGATCCCAGGCCCGACCAGAGGTCGAAGATGTGTGCGGACAAGATAAAAGCACAATGGCCAAGTGATTTCTGGTTTCAATCTATCTCAATTACATACTCTATGAGCAAGTTCATATCAGTAGGCAAGGGCAGGGAACAAGATAGCTAACTGAATTGTTAAATAATAAGTGTTCCCATTACCTCTTATGCTACCACCAATTCTCAAAAGTGTGTATTTAATTTCCAGCTAGCACGATAATTGAGCAGATAATAAGCTGCAGCAGCGTCAGAAAAGAGAAGCAGACGCTTGAGAGGCAACATGTTGAACGAGGGTGTGTTGGTTTGGAAGTTGGTGACTTGAGCACTGGAACACTTGGATAGATGGAAAGGTTTAAGATAACAATGATCTACCTTCGGAGCAAATTTATATCTGGGGATTCTCGCCAGTCACCAAATTGGCAGCATCTCAACCAATAACGACCAACTCAGTTACATTCAATGCAACCGTTCAAGGACCGGTGCTTGATCGATTCATCCGCTTATTTTGGTCAGGAGTGCGCGAGCAGCCTAGCTCCCTTCGTAAACTTGGAATGTCTGAAGAAGCCATGATATCAACATTCTCAGATGAGAAATTTGACGATAAAGTCGACCTCATCATCAACGCGTTCACGCCTGAAGTCAGAGCCACTATTCAGAATGGAGTCTTCAATGCAGAGAGTCTCTCAAAGTTGCCCAAGGTGACCCAAGATTGGCCTCCACCGGGATCCAAATGCATCTATCTCTGCCTATATACGCACCAAGGTGCTCAGCATTTGGACGTCGAAACCTTTTCCACCTATGGCGGGCAGACTGCCCTGCAGGCGGTGATACGAGACAACGAGCACACGTACCACACGGCTGATCCGACCCCCCACCACAACAAAGCTCGGAAGTCACCTATGGAACACCGCTACATGATTCCTATGGTTGTATGGGAAGCGGAAGATGGGAAAAAAGTTTCGTCATGTGTGTTGAACATGGGGAACAAAGGATTATATCTATGTTCCGAACTTATCATGCTGCCATCACAGTATATCCTCGGCTTCTGCACCACCGTGTATTTCTCAACGCCGTTGCTGCTCGAGCAAGGGAGTTATCTAACTGGCCAAAATTGGAAGGTGATGGCTGCAACACCCTCTCTCCATTATTCCATATAACGGATGGCACCCCTGTGCACTTCATGGGAACACGGTCTCTACTCCATGGTGAGCGTGGAATAACCACATACAGGAAGCCTGTCACGTCGGCTCGATATCGAGAGGGTCTTACGATCCACTCTGGCATCAGAAAGGGCGATGGCGCATATCAATTATGCCCGCTTGTGATCGCACCTCACATCAAGCGCAAATATGACCTTCGGGCTGGGATGACGTGCTACCTAGTCTTTGAGATTATGCACGATGGACAACCACATGCTATACCGTGGCTAGGGTGCCCAGTTATCGGACTCTTTGAAGACTTTAGAAAAGCGTCTCGACTCGGTGTCCGTATGGAATGGCTTCATGAAAACCAGTGGCACTCAATCCCCTTCCAACAAGAGAGGTTCACTCGTTACTTCCACGAAGGTATCAGCGATGGTGACCTAATGAAGGCTTTATGGCCATGGCGTAAGGCTATGGACATAGCCCAGGCGTTAGAGGGGACCATCTACACTGATAATGAGCCTCTAAATGGCTTCGATTCGCAGATTTCACTTGGCTCATGTGATATTCTCGAATTACAGACGGATTATCTTGGATAAACTGCGCGTTAGGTGCCTCAGCAAGTGAAAACGGAAACCGCACAGATAATAGTTCGAGATAATATATTATTACTTAAAGAGATATTCCCCTAAGATCTAAATAATCTTCCTATATTAGTAAAATAATCTAAAGTAAGTCTGGACAGGCAGAGAAATACTGAGCATCATACAGAGACCCAACCTATGTAGTTGCTTCCCAACATATATCGTAAGATACCTGCCTACCTAGCATGTTGAATTAGACATCCATACTATTCACACATGGAGAGACAGGAATCTACAGTACTAGCTAATATGTAGGTCGAATTAGACAGCCGGATCGAGAACGCATGAAGAGGCCAAGGTCAAATTAGGTCGCCGCACACACGAGGAAACCACTAATTTGCAATATCAACTAACACTGAGGTGGAATTGGACAGCTGGATCATGCATAGGAGACGGGTGTCTCGAACTACACCGTGCTAGTGAGCCAAGGTAGACGGCTAGATCAGAGGTCGAGCAAGAAGCTAGCCTCAACAGCTAGTAACGTCATATAGCCTGATAGGTTGGATTCTGCGGCCCGTAGCCCTGGAAGTGCGGTATCAAGTTTATGCATTATGCCAGGCCATAATAAATAATGGTAGGTGGATAGTTAGAATGCATGTGATAGGATAGGTAGAGCGGATACAAACGTGCACCTTAATGGTCACTTGAATACTGTAACTTGGTACATGTAGCTTGGTAGGTAGCAATTTCGTTCGGTACGCACTCATAGAGATATATTAAATCCATGGCCAAAGTCAATGCGCACGTAGAGGTTAACAGGTTCAACTTGCCTATAGGCTCATTGCACCATTTGAAGGCCGTAGAGGATACATACATGTAGGTAGCGAAATCTGCGGCCTAGAAAGCGGCGGTCTTGCTTTCACAACATAACCTGTCCACTTCGCTTGAACGCAAGTGACCGGCGTTCAACATCGCTGGTCCCCCAACACATAACCAGGCGGGCGATTTAAATGGTACTCGCACCCACGGTTTATTTATTTTTCCAAGAGCACTGGATCACCCGCGTTCTCCTCTCTCTCGTCACTCCTGCACCAGTTTCACTCCTCTTGACACAACGATTTCAACTTCAACTTGCGCCCGCTCCCATATTCCATTTCTTTTCTTTTTCTTTGGCTGCTTTTATTCTATGGACAGTCACAATTCATCGGCAGACAAAATGCCACGCATCAAACGAAACACGATGAACACTCCCACGAAGAGTGCTGTTGAGGAGTCTCCCCGTCCTTCTTCCCACACACCATCTAAGAGTGGAAATGCCCCCGCCTCTTCTTCCAATAGGAAGAGCACTGAGGAGCAGAACGACGAGCTCAAATCCAACCTCACCCAAGCTCACACTGACAAGCGGAAGCGAATCTCCGAGGAGCTCTTGGCTCCCCAATCGTCAACCAAGCGCGTTCGTGAGCGCTGCCCGGTCCGTGAACCGTGAAGAGCAACCTCTCGATATGCTTTTGACCAACATTTATAGTGGAACCGGCTTTCTTATCGCCTCCCAAAATGCCCCCCTCGTTATCTCGGCGACGGAGATGAAGAGCAGTGGCAAACTGCCATGAGAAGGTACCGATTATACGAGAAGGCCGCGGCAAGGCTTAGTACCATTCTAAAACCAGGTCAAGAGCAAGCATCAAATGCCTAAGTATTGTCACTGTTATAGCTTATCACCACAATAATCAGATAATTGACAGCTATATTGGCGTATTGTGCTGGAGTATTGTTGCTTGTCACAATCATTGTTGGAAATCATGCCAATTTCTTGATTAAACACCCCTTTGCACCCCATGTTCTTGACAAACCAGCGCTCCCCAAAGTCTTCAATAGGGATGGACCAGTCGAATTCGGAGTATTTCAAGTGAGCGACTTCGGCTGCAAGCGGCGCTCCTTGGCCTTTGCAACAAGTAGCGCCCGGTGTGCGACTGCTGTGTTGACCAAATCGACATCTGGTAGAACAAAATCATGTTAGTATTTGTGAATCATTTCCCCATTGATATCCATTTTGCACGCAGTGGGCTGGCTGTTAAGTTGTAGGTTATGATCAAAAAGGCATCTCAAACCATAATTCGTAGAAGACTTACCCGACGGAAGGGATGGAGGAACGGGAGTGGTTGCGACTTCTGGAGAGATTGTCCAATGATTGGTGGTCGGTGGTGGTGGTGGCGGTGCAGATGGCCACTCGTCCAAATTGAGGGGCAGCGGAGGAGGGGATGGGTCAACCGAGTTGAGAGACATGGTGCCAAATCCTGCAGAAGTTGGGTCTCTTTAAACGAAAGGAAAAAAAAGGTCGCTGGACGTACTTTGTCGTGGTGAGCCGAAGCTGTAAAGTTTCTGTTGGGGATTTGCCCTGGTGTCTTTGTTTGCTTTGGCTCCTGCCTCGACCAGCTCCTTCCTCGACAGGGCCGTCACAATGCAAACCTGAGGCAGGCACGAGGGCGAGGGCAAGTGCTATTGAAACCGCGTCAAAAACAAGCACGTACCAGCTAGAAACGTCTTTCACGTGCGTTCCATTTCACCCTCCCGAAAGGGATCAGTTGTGCATCTCGCGCAATGTCGTCCCTTTGCGTCGGTGAGATTTCTTTTTATGTGCCTTAAAACTCCTTCTGACTATTGAAAAATGGCTTTGGCACATCTTCCGAAACGTCCGATTCTAATCTCTGGGCATTTTTGCCCTGGGTTTTCTCGCGTGCTGCCTCAGGCTCCTGGGTTTTGTCAGGTTCTTCGCGCCGGTATTTCTTGATCTCCCCTTCGAGCTTCCGGATGTTCCCAGTCTGTTCGACTGGTCCCAGCCCGCCTGCTGATCATCTCCCTCAACTCTCCAATCTCTTTGGATTGCTTGGCGACAGTCGAGGTCAGCTCCCCATTTCCTTCTCACCACAAAAGGCAACCGTTCGAGATAACGCGTTATTGCTTGCGGAGATATTCCCCCAAGGGCCAAACAACCTCACTACGCTAGTAAATCAACCTGAAGCAATCCCACCAGATTCATGGTTTTGGAGACCTTCCAAAAGTGACTGCCCATCCGCGGGAAAAGTGACAGAGGCACTCTGCGACTTCTGCAGCTATATGATGCGACAGAGCCAGTCAGCATCCGAGAGAGATTGCTGTAAACCTGTTTTTGCCGGTGACAGTATATGTTACCAGTGTAAAGCCTGTTGGCTGTTCGGCCGCCTTTGTACATGGACGGCGCGCGCAGATCGATTGACTCGCTGGGGGACTGGGTCACCATATTTATGTACGGCAAATCACCCTCTGGCTTTGATCCCGACTGGGGACCATCGCCGCTTAGCCTTTCATCGCACGACTGAGCACGACCTGTCTGAGGCATTCGTCCCCGAAGAACCATTGGAGGGTGTGGATGGGTTGGGGCTTGCACTTGAGATGGAGGATCCGGCGGGTGACGTACTTGACCAGGTGGTAGGGTATGGGGACGATGATGACTTGGACATGTAAATTGAGAGAGTGACAACGGAACACAACAGGAAGAACTGGCAAGCGGAGGAGACAAAGGGGGTGAGATGATAGATTGAGGGCGTGATACAGGGCAGAAAATGAGGTGGTAGAAGACGAAAAGTTGGTCGGAAAACATGGTCGCCAGCGCTCGTGCATTTTGCAACAGGGCAGGACTATGAATTTGTTTCTATCCCAACATAGGCCGCAATATTGATAGGGATAATTGATGATGATAATAATAACAATAATTTATTGAGTAATTATTAGACGATCAATAACCCTACATACATGCACCTTAGCTCTTTTGGTCTCTTGGAGCTGCTCGAGCTTCCCGATGGCTTGCCAAGCGGCGCAGCACACTGCATATTTCCATGGAGGGACCGCCATGCATAACCACAGACAACAATTCTGTTAATGCGAATCGGATCACTTTCGTAACAACATTCTATCTACCTAGGCTGATTAAATATTTTTTATCACTATTTTACATATACACCAGAGTTGCCCTCTGCTAGGCCCGCTAACGTGAGATGAAGCTCTTGCTTTGCGCCTCCGCACCATTCGTGCTATTCGCCTTGCCGTCCTCCACGTCGACCGCGTAGTCGGTGGTGACTGTGATCCATTCCGGATTGCCATTGGTCAGGTCTGAGCTCGAGCCGAGGGGTATCCCCCCCTTGCGGATGGCCGAGAGCTCGCAGTTGGACGCGTCCTTCCTCCCCTTCTCCCAGGGCCGCAGCCCGGACGCGGTGGCGGCGGCGGCGCTGCGCGAGTTGCCGCCGTAGTTGTTGCCGTACTTGCCCGTCGAGTCGATGAGGGCGTACAGCCGGGGCATGTTGCGGCGGATGAAGGGCTTGAGGCGGACGAGGTTGTTGCACCAGATGCTGACGTTGGCCTCCCAGATGGTCAGGATGGTCGCCTGGCCCTGCGTGTAGGTCATGTCGGGGTTGTCAATCATCTTCATGACCCACCACACCTTGACGGCTGAGACGACGGCGGCTCTATATAAAGCACAGGTTAGGTTCGTTATTCCGTGTTGTTCGCGTCGTGGAATGACCTACCCAGAACCCAACCCCAGTATCATAATCACAAGACCTCGCTGCTTCCGTGGCATCTTTAGACTCATTATCGTAGGTATCGGGATAAGGATGACGATGATATCGAAGGCGATGTTGAGGATGACCTGGGCGATGGCCCCCTTGTTGAGGCACTCTCCAGCGCCCGAATTCGCTGGCTCGCAAGGTCCGGTAAAGAGATACGTAAAGGCAATCTGATACCCAAAGATCGATAATGTCGTCGCGTAGATTGCGATGCGGTACATAAGGTCGGTATTGATTCGGTGATACAGAGCCAGCATCGCAAGTTTGGCGATCGAGACTGACCACGAGTAGGTCATCATACTCGGTCCGAGGAGCTTCAAGTCCAGCCGGTTAGCGTAGTCCATGTTTGATATTTTCGACGTGGTTTCGAGCCGGTAGTCACCTTCAAATAATTTGCGGCCTGCAAAACAGAGACATTCCATAAATGCTTTCCGAATCCATAATCAATGCCTGCAGGACAGTTAGGATCAAGAGGAGAGTCTCACTTGTACCTATTCGCACCAACTTACAAATACACATGATAATACAGTAGGCGCCTGATAGACCCCAGGCCAGAATAATGAGCCCTTTGATATTGTTAATAAGAAGATCCCAGTTCAGATTCTCGTCCATCGGGTTGACGCACCATCGTCGAGGTCGAATCGTCTCACAATCGCAGATGTCGTGTAGAGGCGCAAGGCAAGAAATAGCGTGGCCAAGAAGTAAGACACAACAAAAGAGCCAAGCAGGATGTTTGGGTATTCCGTATGCTGATTAAAGTCGGTTTCTTGGCCGTCAGGAGCCGGCATAGCCGGCTTCGTCGCCAGTTCCTCTATAGTCGACATCGTGTTCCAAGTTGCTGAGCACCGCTCAAGGCGTCGGGATCGAAGTTTTTTCGTCAACCAACACGCATAACAATGGAAGGGAAACGTCCGCGACATAAATTCCAGAGCGGAGAATCCATATGCACAGTAATATAAAGAGGGTTCTTGTCCATGCAAGTTATTAGCCAGCACCAGAATAACTTGATCGGTGATTTCCAGTTGCGGTCTAGTTAAGACCGATCAGCGCAAGATGCTCGCCCCTGAACTTCCCCATACCCAAGTGGGCATGTCTTTGTGAATCGAACAAGCTTGATCCAGGCAGCATATTTCAAAACGTCCGAGAATGGGTTTGTGCTAGCCCCTTCCGAGATGCTACTGGGGGATCGTCGTCTACGGCGATATCCAAAACAAGAACCTAGTAACGGGGCTCTCAGCGCAAACTTCCGGAATTTCATGCCCCTCCACTTTCGATGCAGCTAGCTCTCGCCTCTCTCCTGCATATTCGGTCCGCCTGAGAAAAGGACAAAAAGTCCTCACGTCGACTAATGGCGCGTGTAGCGCATCCACCTGGCCACAGAGAGGCCTCACCTGCTGCACTAGATGCGTCCGCGAAACACCATGGAAGGCGTGATCCCGGCCGAGCTGATCCTCATCTATCTCGCTTCCTCCGCTATACTCCAGGGGGGAATACCGTAGTCCATCTGAGAATCTCAGGCTAGGCTGGGTTGTCATCAGGTTCCTTGACGCTATCGTGCTCGGATGATAAAACCTTTGAAAAGCCCACCCTTCTCCACCGAAATCATATGTTTCTTGATCCGCTCGGGGAAGCCTGCAAGCGTACTAGCTAGCCACCCGGGCTGGGGGGTTGAGGCGGTTAGATGTGATAAATGCCAGCTCATCGCCGGTGGGGGAGAGGGAAGCCCGCGGCACTGCAGGCACAAATTCCATCCAAACCTTGCGGATAACTCACTCACCCACGTGGATTTGTGACACATCGAATAAAATATATTGCAACTCTGCCGATCTTCTCGACAGAAAGAGCTCCCGCTAAGGCGCGAGCCGCATGTCATACCGGACCCTGACCATGGGAGCTCCAACTCGCCCCTGTGCCGTCGTCGTGGGCGGCGGGCCCATTGGTCTGACGGCCGCGCACATCTTCAGCCAGGCCGGCATTGACTTTGTCGTCCTGGAGGCCCGGGACACGGTCCTGCCCGAGGTTGGCGCCAGCATGAACCTCTACCCGGGGACGATGCGGGTTCTTCACCAGCTGGGGCTCGGCGAGGCGGCCGAGGCTGTGTCGGCGAAGATTGTGAGGGCTTTTTTTGTGGATTGGGATGGGCAGCTGTATAAGAAGGGTCATCCGGGCCCTGTGTTTGATGAGATGTAGGTCGCCCTGATCTCCCTCTGCCGCCCCCATTGGACAAAGGCGTGGTGCAGAATGGGATGAATCAAGAGGGAGAAATCAAAGGCTAACGTGTTGTCCAGACATGGCTGTCACCCTCTGGCATTCCACCGCCTCGACGTGCTGCGTGTCCTGTATGACAATCTCAAGCCAGCTGACCAGAAACGCGTCTTGACAAACAAGCAGGTGGTCGACATCCAGACAACGTCAGAGGGTGTCACCGCCCTCTGCGCCGACGGCAGCACATACGAGGGCACCTTTGTCCTTGGCGTGGACGGCGTAAATGGTAAGACGCGAGACTTCATGCGGGCGCTCGCTCTCCAGCAGTCGCCAGACGCCCGCGTCAATCCCGAGAAGCCCTTCACTGCGTACTACCGCGTCATGTTTGGCACCATCCCGATCCCGCCTGGGATGGGCGTTGGGGAGAACCACGACTGTCACGGCGCAAAGTACTCGACCATGCTGATCACCGGCAGCCAGGGGCGCGCGTGGTTCTTCCTCTACGAGGAGCTGGACACGCCGACGCAGGAGCGCGTGCGGTACACCGACGAGGACATGGAGGACCTCGCGGCGAGGTGCAAGGACATGCACATCAGCCAGGAGCTGACCTTTGGCGACATCTGGCCGACGGTCGTCAAGGCCGGCATGACCAACCTCGACGAGGGCATGCTGGAGCACTGGAGCGGGGATCGCATCGTGGTGGCAGGGGACGCAGCACACAAAATCACACCCAACATCGGATGGGGTTACTTTGCAGGCGTGCAAGACGTTATCGCGCTCACCAACCTGCTGCAAGCGAGCCTGTCGCAGCGCGAGGAGGGCACCCTCACCGGTGAGGAGCTGGCCAAGATCTTCACGCAATACGAGGCCACCAGGAAGCCCGAGATGGCGACGGTGCTGAACCTGTCTGCGTCGGCGACCCGTCAATCGGCGTGGCCCAGGACGTGGAGCGGGCTGTTCTACCGGTTCATGGAGTGGGTGTCGACGGTGCCCGGGTTCGAGTACTTCACCATCAAGTACATTGCCTCGCCGGTGCAGAGCAACGCGCTGGTCCTGAATTTCCTGTCCTGCGAGGAGCCGTATCACGGGCTGGTGCCGTGGAAGTACCCGACGACGAGGGCGTAGGTTGTTCTCGCATATGCGCGATACCCAGTCTTGTACATACATTACATAGATTATTACATACAGAATAATAGCGTCAGACTACACAATACCCAACTCGTGCTGTCTCGGCACATACATACACATCCAGCAGGCCGGATGCACTGGCCAGGTGATGCTCGGGCGACGGCGTCCAAGTATTGGGCCACTTCCGCACGACAAAGACGCCGTCTCTCGCGTTGACAAATCAGGATCGGCGCATGTTTCACTCGCTTGAGCAGATTGGAGACTGTTTGGGACCAGCGTCCGAGCGGCCAGAGTCCGAGGGCTTAAAACGAGCCCCGGCGCCGAGCCCAGACACGTCATGCTGCCATAGTAATATATGTGTCTATGCATTGCCCGACACCACATGCAGTAACCCATCCGACACATCGAGTAAACCATTCGGGCGCGCACGAGCTGCAGCCACAGGTGTCTCTGGTGGGTCGTACGCAGCGACGGCGAGTCAATATCGCATGCGACATGGTTTCGAGCGTATAGCGTCAAAGCTCACTCCGACACCCTGGGCGATGCGACGGCCGGATGCTACTAATCACCTCCCCCATTTTACCCTCTGTCGTCGTTTGTTCCCCTTTTGGTACTTGTCCGGCAGTGGTCGGACCACGGCCTCAGCTCTTCCCCCTGGTCAGTCGCCTCATGCTTCCCCATGCAGCGCAAACACCAAGCATCGCCATGGCGTATCGGTCCCGGCGAGCGACCCCAGAGATATTCCCGTTCAGGCAACATTCATCGCCTTGAGGAGTCTATTCGCACTCAGACTCGGTATCTGCCGTGTTGGGTCCCCCGCCGGCCAGCAGCCGAGCAGAGCGCTCGCACATCTCCCCCAACCCGTCTGCCACACACATGCGGGCGTCTCCTCGAGGGCTGGACGCTGTTCGGGCGCCTGCCAATGATCTCTCATCGGACGCTGCAGGGTGGGATAAGCACGCAAAACTCAAACTGGCGATAGGTGGCTTTTGATTTGCGTGTTTACTTGGTGTGGAGGCTCGGCGCATCTAGCCAACCCTCGCCAACACTTCGCTCAAATACGATGTCTATTTTTCATGTCCTACGGTATTTTCGTCCTGTGTCCCTCCCGTCGGACCTTTGACCCTTCACCATTTAATCGACTAGTGAAGCCTTCGCGCGCCGCCCGACGACTCATTGCCACTTATAAGCGTAAGATGCGAACCATCGTCTCCGCTTCCGACACCGTGGTCGCCAACATCTTATTTTCTTACTGTTAGTCCCCAAAATCCCCGAGGGCCCTGTCGCCATCGATGAGGACTTAATAAATTCGCCCGCCTTTCGCTCTTGGAGACAAGGACCTGCGGGGTTTTTCCAAGGTCATTGTGACGCCACTCAGAAACACACAATGCAGAGCGCATCACTTCTTCTTTCCCTGCCTGCTGAAATCTTCGACGAGGTCATCCAGCATACGCATCTTGCGCTGGGCTCAGAGCCCACTGAGCAGAAGTTTGTGGAGCTGCGACTTGTATGCCGTGAGTGCCCCCGACTTCACGGACGTCCCACGCCTCATTCCTGGAGACATTTATCCAGTCGTATTTCTTCTAGGGTTTAATTACTAATGGAAGGGATAAACAGGTGCATTTGATGAAGTGGTCTCTCGCGAGGTCTTCCCTCGGGACAGGAAGAACCAGTTCATGAGGCGCAACAACATCAACGCCGAGACCGCAAAATGGCTTCTCCTAACCAAGACAAAAATTCACAGCCGCGATACGCGTGGGACGTTGGCCTTCCTACATGAATGCGCAACCTTTGCGATGAATCATCAATCAGAGTGGTCCAGACACGCGAAGCATACGTACTTTGACTACCTCGCCGCCGCGTGCCACATCATCGTCGCCAACCACGGCGTGCACGCTGTTCTGAAGCAGGTTGTCTTCGTGGCAAAGCGAGGCAAGAACCCCCTTGCAAAGTCCATCCGCATGCTGCGGGCGCGCAAGAGCACGCTGAGACCGTCCATGACGCCCGTCGACATCCATGGCGTGATGCAGATGGCCGCCGTCTTGGGTGATTCTTCGGCCATTGAGGCCATGGTCGCCCGCGGCGTGGACATGGACTTCAACCATCCCGTCTTTGGCTGCGCTCTCTTTGCCGCCGCCTCTAACGGATGTCTGAAGACTGTCAGCCAGCTGATCGGTCTAGGGGCAGATCCCAACGTCCGGGGCCATCTCCTGGCTACGCCGATGTCGCTCAGCCCGGAGAGGAACAACACGGCTCTGCTGGTCGCGGCTGAGCGGAACTACAAGCAAGTCGCAAACCTGCTGGCGGGGGAGCCTCGCGTGTGCATCAATGAGACCGGCGGAGAGTCTCGGAAGAACGCACTGGTGTGGGCGGCGGAACGCGGATGGGTAGACACCGTGCAGATCATCCTGGCCAGAGGCGATGCCGATGTCGACTCCCGCATCGGCCGGGGAGAATTCCCCATCACGGTGGCGGTCATGCACGACCACCCGGAGGTGCTGGCCCTACTACTGAAGGCCAGCAAGACAAAACTCACTGAGAAGCGATACAATGGCCAGTGTCCTATGGCCCTCGCCTTGGTGAGGGGGTCGTCGAGGATGGTCCGACTCATGCTGGAGATTGGGGAGATTGACCCGAATGAGGAGCTCCCCTACGGAGCACCGCGAGTCAAATGCCCACACCCGATGCCTTCAAGAGGAAGCGCAGATGGAACACCGCTGGTCATCGCGGTGAAGAACGGCCATGCCAACTTGGTGGAAACTCTTCTGAATTACCCGGGCGTAGACCCAAACCTGGTCAGCGGCTCCATCACGCCCCTGGATCTGGCCATCGCCGAGGATAGGGCAGAGGTCGTCAAGGTCTTCCTTCGGCACCAAGATAAGCTCGAGCGGAGTCTCTGCGCATTGAGGAAGCCTCTCCTCCATGTCGCGGCGCACAAAGGAGCAGCCTCGGTCATCAAAATGCTCATCAATTGCTACGGCGCAGACCCTAACACATACGATGACCAAAAACAGACGATTCTATGCTCGGCAATCAGCAACTACCAGTGGAAAGTCGTAGAGTACCTCGTACAATGCCCCGCCGTCGACGTCAACCTGGCTGGACACTCCGGGCTGGGTGACAACGTAGGGCCCAACATCCCGCTGCAGATGGCAGCCCACCAGCAAAACTACATCGCGCTCGGCTACCTCATGAAGAGGGACGACCTGGACCTGAACTGGAGCGGCGTCTGGGGCACGGCGCTGTCCATCGCCGTCGAGACATCGAACCAGTGGGCGATGAAGACCCTCCTCTACGACAGCGGCGTCGACGTGAACCGGACCTCCGAGATCTCCCCCGGACCCATCTACGTCCACCGCAAGATGCCAGCAGGGAGCTACTCGAGCTGGGGCTTCTTCGCAGAAGAAGGCCAGAGCGGGGGGGACTCACCACTACTACGGGCGGTAAAGTGCGACAAGCTGGAGGCAGTCCAGGCCCTCCTCGAGAACCACAACGTCGACCCCAACGTGGCCGACTCGTGCAGCAGGACCCCCCTCTGGTGGGCGTCCCGCGGCGGCGGGCTCAGGATGGTCCGGTACATCCTGTCGGCGCGGATCAAGCCCGACATCAACGCGCAGGACATGGAGGGCTGGACGCCCCTCCTGTGCGCGGCCAACAATAACAAGGACACGACGACGCGGATGCTCCTCGACCTGCCCGGGATCGACCCCAACGCGGCCAACAAGTACGGCTGGACGGCGCTGCACATCTGCGCCAACTACGGCAACATGAGGATCCTGGAGCAGCTCATCTCGCATCCGAGGATCGACGTGTGGGCGAGGACGAGGGACGGGGAGACGGCTCTCGACGTCGCCAAGGATTGCGCGGGGGACGCGGAGGCTTTGTACCAGCTGGAGCGGTTATCTAGGATGATGGCGAGTCGGCCAGATTCGCGGGGGGGATATTACGAGGCTGCAAGCAACCACTTATGAATGATAAATTTACTGATGGGAGTTTCAAAATTTGGGGTATTTTTATTAATTCAATCTGATATCTTCTTACAATCCTAACAAAGGAAAAATAAAAACAACAACATTATTCAAAATCAAAGAAAAGACAAAGAAAACAATCTGCCTGCTAGTCTGCTGTAATGATGTTCGCTACAACTTATAAAGCTGTCAATATCCAAATCATCTCGGTCATGTCGTGTTTGCACACAGTAATCTAAGTAGTATAAATTTATAATGTCATCCGCTCTCACACCAAGAAAACACACGGAGGCCTAGATGGCGTCGATATCTAGGCCGTCACGGTCGCGACGCTTCAAGTACAGCTGAGCCCAAGGGTCGGCCTGCAGAGCAAACGAGTACTTCAGAGGCTCGGGCTCGGCTGGAGCATTGGGTCCAACCTTCCAGTCATACTTGACAAGGAGATGGCACAGGATGACCTTGAGCTCGTTCGCGGCAAAGAAGCGGCCGGGGCAGGCGTGCTTACCATGGCCGAAGCCAAGGCTGGAGGACGTTGTGGAGACGAAGTGCGCAGTGTTCTCAGACTCAGGGCAGGCACGTTGTCTGACGAACCGATGACCATCAAAGACATCCGGGTTCGTGAAGAGCTCGGCGCTGCGGTGCTGGTCTGTGAGGACAACTGTGCGGTGACCCTTAGGGATGACTTCACCAGTGGGAAGGGGGACATCCTCGACTGCTTTTCGAACCATTGAAACTATTTTATCAGAGTTAGTATCATGATACTTGATGATTGAGTGAGGGAGTGGGGGGATTACTTACCCATTGAAATAGGCCTCAGTCTTTGGGACTCCTTGATGACACTGTCAAGCAGTTTCATATTGTACAGCGACGTCTTCTTCCATCCGTCTTTTCGAAGCTCTTGGATGACTTCTGACCTCAATTCCTCAACAAGCTCAGGCCGTCTGGCAAGTCGAAGCAGAGTCTCAGTGAGCAAGTCCGAGGTGGTGTGGATCGCAGCCATGGAGAGACCAAGCTGAGCAATAGCGGCATCATATGGTGCACCGTTGCTCTCGTCTTCAAACCAGTCAATGGCATCATCGAATTTCTCCGGTTCTTCTCCCTTGGCAAGGCTCTCAGCCCGAAGTCGTCGCCTCTCCTCGATAAAGGGAGTGATGATCTCTCGGGCTTTAGGGGCCATCCATCGCAAGTTGCGGCACTGCGGGATGACCCAGTGAGCAACGTTACGAAACCAGTTGGGGAATGCGCGCAGAATGGCTGAGCCGATGAAGGCTTCAGAAGTGTAGCGCTTTGTAATATCGAGCCAGTCTTCGTTACGGCAGATCTCGGGGCCGAGGAAGACTCGCGATGAGCTACGGGCGACGATGTCGAGGATCTCCTTGTAGATGTAGACCTTTTTCCATTCTATTAGAGTTAGCGTTGACGGATCTATTGATAGGCAGTCAAGAATAGCTCGCATACCTTTACCATTTCCTAGGCGCAGCTCGGTGGCAAAGCTGACTTCTTGCGACAGCGGCTCGGTAATCTTGTCTGTGTCACGTCAGGTTAACTACACCCCTTGGTATAATCAAGCAACAGGGCAACACTTACTCAGTGATCTAGTGAGCCTTTTTCGGACGACACTCTGGCCCAGCTGGTCGTAGCGTGCGGCAGCCGCAAAGACTTCAAAACCGGGGAGATGGGCGTGGAAGTCCTCGGCGACAGACTCTCGCAGCAAGAGCCTGCCTTCGCTGCCAATGGTGCTGACGAGGTTAGATGGAAGGACAATGATCTCTCCAGAGTCTGTCATGAGCTTGAATGGCCGGTCTTTATATAAAGCCATGCCTTTTTGGAGCAGCTCTTCAGCATAGAAAGCGAAGCGCCACCGCCAACCCCAGTTGGCGATATCAAGGCCCTTGGCCTGGTTGATCAAGGGGATGCTGGAGACTTTGGAGTCGCCATGGATGTTCATGAAGAGGATTACTCCCAGAACGAGGGCTACAGAGCCTCGGACGAGGAGGTAGGTGGCATCGTGGATTGGAAGAGAGAATGATTCTCTTTGGGCTTGCAGGGTTGGTTCCACCACGGCAAGGGACGTCATATTGGGTGTTTCTTTTAAGAATTGAAAGGAATAGTTCAGATTGATTGGAAAGTTATAGATGAAGGAGTCGCTTGTGTTCATTGAGTGTGATCTGATCTACAAACTGAGAGTTCGTGAGAGGGTAGAGACGAGATTTATATACACACCATTTCGTCGCAGGAGCCCGGTGCCAAGGTGTCAGAATACGATACAAGAGACAAGAGCCGCACGTCAGGCATCCAAATTGGCCCATATTCCCGGAATCCGCTCCAAGCCGCTCGTGTGAGTCAAGGTCATGTGCGTTGGGCTTGACGCAAAAGCGAACGAGCGCAAATGCGAACACATCTTTCTAGGGATAGATGGGTCCTACTGCGCCCACTTGTGCCAGCTAAATCACAATAGGGAAGAAATTGGCCTTAGTCCTTCACACGAGTGAGATACGGCGCCCAATCAGCTCGCCATGGGTCAGTCTCGTGCCAGAATCTCAGCTGTGAGGCTCGCGGGTTTGTTCAAGAAGAGAAAGTTCCGCATGAGCCCGCATGCCTTGGAGCAATCAGAGCCGTCAATGAACCATAGTTCGTCGACTAGGGCCAACAGGTTTACCGAAGTTCAGCGTAGTGTGGCTCTGCATCATGGTTGCATCTGAGACCAGACTATTAGTCCCTTGGTACGGGACGCGATTGGCTCCAGAGTTGACGATTCCTTGGAACTGCTAGCCTGCTTATGGAGCCATCTCTCAAGGCCCTGCACGATTCTGCATGGCGTGGGGGGACTGCCTCCCGGTTCGCGTAAGCCGATATCACCTCACAGCCCTACTGTCCCGCCAAACCAGGCGCGCCCCGTTTCCTGCCTGCGACCCCTGGACTCTTGTTCTCATCCCTGCAGCAGGCAGCGATGCCCAGTCCATCCATCACCTGATGGGCCTTCATTTTCCTTCACACAAGTGCGAGAACTTGACGAGACGCCTTGGCTCAACCAAAGTACGCCTCGCATCACGGGCACACTGCTGACGATGACTCCCAGGGCGCGGAACGAGCTTGAATCCCTTCAACAGCCGGCGATAGCCCTGCGCTAGATTCTGTCATTACGTCGTTTGGATCAAATGTGCAACAAATTTGGTGTTTGCTCCGGCTGAAGCCGCATACTGATGGACCGTAGGCTGGCGGAATTGCTTTTCCTCATCTGTGCAGTCATATTTTCACTACGGGCTCTCGGAATTTTCAGCAATGGTAATTTTGATCAAGTAGTTTTTTCCTAAGCAAATGTAATGTCCGTAGTCAAATTGTAGAGCATTCAGCTGTCATATTAATCGTCATTCTCGTCATCATGTCTCACGTTCCATCTTTTCCCATTGGCTGATCACATCTGATTATGGCGGTTCCCCTGAATCCGTCTCAGATCAGCCCGATGGACATCTCAGCCCTAACAACCGGCTGAGGGTAGTACACGGATTCACGGTATGCACTGATTGAGCATCCCGATAGAGGCCGAGACCTGCACACGCAGTGGATGTCGGTGTTGAGATTCTCATGGAGGACGGCCCATTTCCTCTGAGCCTTTTCCTCCGGTTCAAACCCAGCCATTTCAGTACCGTGAGTCCTCAAAGGAGTGCCTTCGGTCAGTAAAAGAAGGCCTGCGCGTAGTTGGTTCTCGGGCGACATTGCCTTGTTCGGGATTACTGTAGGCTCAACCCGTTCGCTGAGCGGCATTCTCTCAAAGAATTCAGCGAGCTTCTCATCCTCAATCGTCATTGATTCGATGCTCCAGGAGCCTTGGGAGTATAAAGGAGGCCGCTGTCCGGGAGTGCGAGGCCTCAGAACCGAGCTTAGGGGTCGCACCGCTGGGTGCTCGAATTGACTTGTGGTCGTAGACCATGAATCTTGCTTCGAGTAGCGAGACCTGCGCCTCAAAGGAAAGAAAGAAGACAAGGAGTGGCGGTACGGGGGGACCTTTTCCGGATCCGATAATCCAGACGACACTCGGCGGCTGACGGTTGATTGGCTATGTCCATCCTGTTGCGGGACTTCCCTCTGAGGAGCATCTTCTATTATCTCAGGCTTACAGCAACAGCAGCAAGGTGCTCGCCGTAGTGTTTTCTTTAGTCTGTCCATCTTGGTCATTTTTAGAATCATTTTCAAGGGTTTGTAAGAAGAAGGGAGAAGACAGACATCATCATCTTGGAGGAGAGGGCGGGCTTCACTTGCTAAAATAGGCATGAGGCTGCTGCGCAATGATAGCACGCAATGCGGAATCAGCATAAGTCTGTAGCTGTTGAAACGCAATGCAGCGTCGCCTCATGGGCGTGACTTGTATTCCATACGTGGCTCCCGTAACTAAGGACCATGCTCAAATGTCAGATCCACACTTGGACAAATGCTTCTTTATGTATGCCATTATAACAACTGAATCTATATCAGCCAACATGCACAACACCTGTTGGCGTCATTATGCCTCTCTAAAACCGGATTTCAAAGGCGGAGAGCCTAATACGACGTATCTGAAGGCGTCAGCACAGACAATGGGCTAAGATTTTCTGCCTTTGGGATCGAGATTCCTCTGGAAAGACGGTGTTAAGGGAGATCCGCCTTCCGGAGACATGAATCTCACATGAGCGGTCAAAGTTAAGTCTTCGAGGTCAAAGCTTTTCTTGCATACCCGATCTGGGGTTGCCGGCAAGGATCCGGCCCTCAACTAGGAAGGCTAGATCTGCACTAGGAGGTCACCAACAGTAACTGTTGGTTCTAATTTTAAACTGCCAACGCCACCCTGCTATTTCCAGTACAGCTAGATTAACAATTTCATTAAACTTTCGTCCTCTGCTGATATATCAGGGCTCAACCGAGGTGTAACTACATGCTCCCATCCTCTCATAGCCACACCACCAGCGCTAGTCAGCTAACGGCCATACGTGAAGACATGATATTGTCAGGTCAAGCAGCAATGATGAAATACAATATTCTCAGTTTCTTTAACTTCCCTCTATAAAGAATCGGGTTTCAGGCTTAAAGCCGCTCTAGGTTTATGTTCTTTGAAGAGCTAGTGGCTTTGTAAGTCGCCCGTTCCGATGTAGACCTTACAATAAACCACACAACCTTAATTTAGCTCAGTAGATAAATTCTTTTCTTGTGATGATGTGCGGTGGCTGAAGTGGCTGGTGAGTTGTCATACTTCTTTAGGCAGATTTGCTGTTAATAGCTAGTAGTTTGTATGGCCGAGACAGATCCAGACTTTGTACTCTCAAGACTTTGTGTTCAAATATATCATCATGCTTATAGAATATGAGCAAGTCTACACTGAACCCACAAAGGATGAGCGAGATGTACAAATTTAACGTTGTAAGTTTGGGTAACCCTAGCTTTCCTTCTTCTCGCCTCACATATATGAGATCCATTGCACATCAAGAGCTAAAACTTCGTTATTGGATATACTAGCCTAGACTTATAAGTTATGGCTACAGGTTATCCATTTTATTCAGCCACCACTGTAGGTTTCTATCTGTCGACACTTCCGTGGTCAAAACATCGGAGTCCTCGGCAAGTACTGGGTACCAAGAAACACCAACCTCCTCTGCAGCATCAGCGCTAGTCAGGGCAACTTCAGCCTGATTCCTTCCGACTTCTTCCATCTTCTGAGCCCAATGATTATTGATGAAATCACCTATCGAATAACCTTCCTCTTTCATGACGTATTCAAATTCAGCCACTAGAGAGTTGAGCTGGTCGATTGAAAGCCGATATTCTTCATTAATCTCTCCCGCCTCATCCAAATCGGCATAAGAAAAACCCCCACTGGCTCTGGTGCAGCACGTATGAGGAATATCCAGTTCCTGAAAGGTCATGAAACGAACGATTTGCAATCTTTGAGCCTCAAAGATTTCGTTCAGGGAAGAAGGGAATGGCCATCTTTTCTTGCTTGTTTTTTTGCCATCATTCAACATAATTCTGGAGACAACACGATGAAAGAACACTTTGAAGGCAGAGCACCCCAGCGGTGAACATTGGCACCGGCAACAATCTAAAGCTGTCCAACCACAGATTTCGAGTAGAACTTCTCCTACTTCCGGGTTAAGGCTGCTGTAGGAGTTACAGAAATTCGCTGCTAGCTTCCATGAAGTTATGTGTGATGGCAAGAAAGTGGCGGTCTCTAAAAGCTCATCAACTTGCGGTTCATTTTCGGGGACGTTCAAATCAACGCCATGACGAATGTACCATGACACTGACGCGAAACTTATATCACCATATGAGCGAGGACCACTCATGCTCACACTGTTGATATCGCGAAACCCGATTTGCCATAAGTATTCCAAGCGATCCGGATGGTGCGGGTAATTTATCAAGTTACGATGCACTGAGTGGTAGTCCAAAGGAACGTATAAGACCTCTGACACCGGGACACCCAGTTCATGTAGTTTCGCTGTGACGAACCCAGCTTGTCCGTCCAGCGTAGAGTCTTCTAAGAGGCCGTATTTAACAATGTCCGGTTGGCTAAAATGTCTTAAACCCAGAGCTTTTAGCTCTTCTCGTTGTGACTTCAAGGTGTTGAAGAACATAGTCTCAACAAAGTAACAGAGGGGCCCAACCCATCGGGACTCTAGCAGAGTTTGATGAAATCGGCATGGTATCCCAAGCCTAATGAGAGGCCCCAGAATTGTGTGCTCGACGTGATGATTCCCGGTCCCACCATCACCTAGTCTACATTCACCATGTATATAGTTGTCCAAGTAGTGTTCTCGAGCAAGATATATAGCCTCAGCTACTGTGGATGTATGACGTTCTATGAGGTTTGCGGACGCAAATGCATCCAACATCAGCTTGAAACCTCGTGGCCACAGAGTGGTAAGAGCCAAACAGCTAATACCCAGAGAATCAAGATATTCTGCAGCACAAGCCGGGTCTTTTCGAAGCACCTCGCGTAGTTGGTCGTAGTCTCTAGCCGAAATGGCGGCTGAAACAGGACTTTTGACATGGTCTGTATCACTTTGGTCAGGTGAAGGGATTGCTATTGGATTATTTTACGCACCTTCGAGAATTTCATAATGATGTTGGGCAGCAAAAAGAACTCCGGATCTCCCCACCATGAAATTTTTCCCTAATGCTTGGTTTGGATCCCAGCCCAAGAGAATCAACTTTTTCAACAGCCCTTCCAGATTCGACCGCATCTGCTCTACTTGAACCCCCCCCGCAAGGCCAAAAGGTCCTACGTACATAGACCAAATTCTACTCCAACATATCGAACTAAATTTGAAATTGATCTTTGTTAGCCTTTGTCTGAAATAACAATAGGGTCTTTCCACGTAGGTAGCTACACTTACGGTTGACATGAGCTGGACACTTTCCCAAGAAACCGAAGGTCATCTAAGAGGTTCATAAAAACCCTCAATATGGTAGGTCGCTCTCCACTGGGCAAGTCCCAAAAGAAAATTTTATTATATTGCTAAGTTAGTCAAATCATATATGCAACTGTAACGTATAAGGATAATACATACAATGAATATGTCCATGATCATTTCGAGGCTAGTAAGTCCATTCCGGCACACATCAGATATGGAAGCGCGTCCTTCGCGATGCAATTGCAGTATGTGTCGTGCCAACTTTGTCACGAATTTCAGGCTGTATTGAGCATCCCAATCGTTCAGACAGATCGCCCACGAGGATGTCTCATATAGTCTCAAAGCGGGTGCGTCCTCGCCAAGGACCTTGACACAGTTGATTGAGGGGTTAATATTATAGTTTGTGGTCGTGAGATAGACTGCAATTCTCAATGGTATCCAGTTTCCCCTGAATTCGACGGTCTGGGATCGCTTAAGGGTTCTCATCTGATTATGAAATCGGCAACTTGGTTGGTGCTCGGCAATTTCCACCTTCTCGCCACTTGATCTCAAGAAAAATAAGTTCACCATAGAAGATTCTCGGGAAACTGTACGGAAGCAAAGGCAACCGTCGCAAGCTCGTCTAGTAGATACAAAGTTTCGATGAAATGCTGGATATCGGACATCAACCACATCGTCCAGTTCAGTCGTTGGTCGCGTCACTTTAGAGATAAGGGAGAGGCTAGAAATATCGGGGCATAAGGATACTATACTCGATACCGGGGTCACGAGAGCTGTAGTGGTCGGTTTATTTGGCCTAGGCTGGATAAAACTTTGCTCTTTAGAATATTAGCCACCCATTCGTATTCTACATGGCTAAGCAGTCTTAAGAGGCTTACCTTCATCGCACGATGCTTTCCCTTTGTCTGATTCTTTTCCCATAGAAATTAAATCTTGTTTGGGAGGACACACTGCCAAATCCGTAACGGTTGGTCTGGAGGAAGGAGGGAGAAATCCCCATAACTCTTCAAGAAAGCTCTGAAATCCTGTGTCATTCTCCGATGAGAATTTGGTCATGCCCTTATGGTTTGCATGGATTCCCCGACAAGTGAAACCAGGGATAGTTGCCGACGTCTTGGAGACAACACAACCCAGTGCCCGCATCAGAAGTTCCTCAAAGAAACAAACAATGCCAGGGGCACTTTCCATCGATGACCGTCTCTTCTCCCGAATAAGTGAACAAAAGTCATCGTGAATATTTTCTAACATCTCGGAGTCTTTCTTCAGAGCTTCAAGGAGCTTGGCGTTAACTTGTTTCATACTGCTCATCCAGTTTGTCAGATGTTGAGCATATGATGCGGCTTCAGATCCATGATGCGGTGTTCCCATGAAGATGATGCCTCTCGTGGACTGGAAAATTTGTCGATAATCAGATCGTTGGTTTGCAAAAAGTAGGCCCTGATTAGAAGTTAGCAAATCTGTCCAGCTCTTCCGACCGTGCTTTTCAGGGAGCAGTACCTCTTTACAAACGAGACCCCCAAGACTATGGCAAACGAATATAAGTGATCGGTCAGTGGACCCAGAGGCACGGCGTTGGTGGCATATCGAATAGATCAGCTCTGTGGCATGATCTCGGAGTGTTTTTTCAGACACTTTCCCCATGAATTCCTTTGTATCTGTGACTTTCGCATCGTAACCGAACGTGAAGATTCGAGATTCGGGGAGCTTTGCAGGAAGCAGAGCTTTCGGCCAAGGATCGAGCTTCAAACCGTCACTGCCTGTTGCTTGCCATGTCTTGTTTCGATTTCCCATGAGTCCATGGATGAAGATGATACTGATTTTTTGTCAGCTTGTCAGAAGACGCTCCGAAAATTGGCCAAGACGTACTCAACTTCGGCGTTTGGTCCCTCATACCAGAGCTCAAGCCCAATCGGTTCTGGATCTCCTTCCGAGGGGTCTCCCTTGTCATCACTTTCGCGGCGCTGGAATATTCGCTTCATCTTGTCGCCTTGCAATGGCGTTTAAGGGCGGAACGCGTTAAAGTAAATTGGGATAATTGGAGGCCAGTATGTGGACGTAGCGCTATGGTAAATTGTAACCTGCTCTAGATTACTGCACTCTTGATTGTCATCAATCATGAAGATGTAACACTGCCTCAGCATCACGTGAACCCCTCTTCTCGAAGCCAATCAACGCCGCTTTCTCTGCCACTATTTTATGCACTTGTTCAGCCCTTCGTACTGGCGCTCCCCAACACCTGATCACGAAAATCATGAATCTTTCTATCTCTAGATGCACTGATGGGAACAAGACTCTCTTAGTACAAGACATACAATGGGCCGTGGCTGTTACCCCGACAATTCTGCCCTCTCCACGAGGCCCTGTGGAACTATTTATGTGTTCTAACTTGCATAATTGATGATCGGGTGTTGTTCCTTCTTTAGGCAACAGATATCAAGGTGTCTGCTTATTTTCTGGAGCAGAGCTTCCAGCCTACAACCCGAAATAGTCAAGCTCCAGCTCACGACATGGATTAGATTCGCCACAGTCCCTGAATTGTCAGGGCCTGCCAGCTTACGGTCGGAAACATACGTGTTGCTCGGTCATCTAAACGCTCCGAGGCGGCAGGGATCGGTCAAACTTGAAAAGCGATGCTAGTCGTGTTTGTGCCAGTGGAGCATACAATGTATGCTGACCAATGCAACTTTAAAGCAGAGAATCAAAGCACGCTTCATACAATCTCAAATCAGGAACCGTATTTTCTGTCGTCAAACGCCGATTTTAGGAGTGCCTTGTGAAAGCCCTAGCTTTTTGATTTCATATTAGGCACGAAATAGAGAGAGCGGATCATCATCCTGACATGGGGTATCATATCGATTTCGAATTGGAGCGAGATGTTCCAGAGCTGACCGGCAAGGTTTTGCTCATAACTGGAGGTGAGTTTTCCCCCTCGCAAATCGAAATATCCCAATACGCGGAATCACAGGAGCTAAAACTGGTCAATTCTAGGAACCGGGGGACTCGGTGCCGGAGCTGCAGCTCTGCTCGCCAAACGCAACCCCTCTAAAATTTACGTCACTGGACGAAATGAAGAGGCTGCGCGGGATGTTTTCAAAACAATCAAGGACAGCGGTAGCCAAGCGCAGACGAGATTCATCCGTTGTGACCACACCAGCCTTGATTCCGTCCGAGAAGCCGCCAACATCTTCTTGTCACAGGAGACACGACTTGATGTGCTTATGGCCAATGCTGGCGTGATGGCCTCTCCGCCCGGCTTAACAAAGGATGGCTACGAGTATCAGTTCGGCATCAACCATGTTGCTCACGCTCTTTTGATCCAGAAGCTCCTCCCGACCCTTCAGAAGACAGCAAAGTCGCAGGGCGATGCGCGTGTCATTATCCTCACCAGTCTTGCATTTGTCCTTGCGCCCAAAAGCGGTGGCATCGTCTTTGATGAACTCAGAACTACACAAGCATATTGGATCCTCGGCGACTTCCAGCGCTATGCGCAAAGCTGGCGAATCTTTTGTATGGACGTGAATTAGCACGCCGTTATCCCGAGATCACAACAATCATTATTCATCCCGGGGAGAGCGCTACTTCACTGGTCAACAACCTTTCATGGACACAGAAGGCTGTGGTCTACGGTGCTAATTACAATAAGTTCTTACCCGAGCATCAGGGCTATCTCAATCAGGTTTGGGCAGTCGGTGTCCCTAAAGCGAAGATTGTATCAGGGGAATTGTATGAACCAGTGGGTGTTCCTACTCAGTCGTATACCACTTATTGTCTTGACAAGGAGCTTGCATCTAAGCTCTGGACATGGACCGAAGAGAATATAAAATCTTGGATTTGATTTGTACTGCTAGGCTTATTAGGCTGTCGAACAAATGTAGCTTTTGGAATTAGTACCATCATTTCTACCACAAGACCTTCGATGTGAGCCATGAGATGCTTGTGAACAAACTGAGGTTGAGCTGACGGTGAGATGTGGATCAGGATCCTAGAATTGTGCGCATTGATTATTTTAGCCGGTGGCTTTTCCTCCCGACAGCAAAGTTTCCCTGAGTTAGTACAACTGATTGTTTAAAGTAGCTTTTACTATTTTTTGCAGTCGTGATCCCAGAACAGTGTTCGCGTTCTTCTCAGTGTCAACTAGGAACTTCCTTAGGCTTCTTGGAGACAATAGGACAAAGACCTAAGCTGTGTATGGAGCTTTTGTCGTAGGAGTAATGATCTGTAACTCTTTTTCTCCTTTTTCTCATATTATCACAGTTGGTCTCTCGGTTGTACCGCTTTTGGTGCTTATGGTCGTAATTAAGCTTTCAGTCCAGCGTTGTCGTAAGAGCGAATCTAGACTAAATGAGAAAGGTAATTGAGGTAAGTCGTAATGAGGAATGTTGAATCATCAGTTGGAATCTTCAATCACGTGTCTGAACTCCTAAAGTAGGTGGGTTTTCTCTCTAATAGAGTTTACCAAGAAACGAAATCGTAGACACACAGGAAAACTCAACAACTGCACAAACGTCACAACGACAATCAATTAGACTCAATGGCAAAAAAATTCACCTTCTTCCCAAATCTGCCAATGGAGATCCAGCTGAAAATCTGGAAGTTCGCTGCTTGCAATGTTGCCGAAGGGGGGCAAGTGATCCGTGTTGAGCTTCATTGCCATCTTCAATCAACGTCGCACTCATGCTGGACCACGACAAGGCAGTTTTGTGGACACCACGGCGCATGCCCAACGTACCTGCATGGCGCTAGAAACGTCTCATGGGCTACGTTTTGCTTATCCGATGGTTACTTTATTCAGTCAGAAGCGCACGCTTCCATCTCAGATCCCTTCACACAACATCGAATGGCTAGCCTAAGCCTTGCTTGCCGGAATTCACGAGCCGCTCTTCACCGTCAATTTCCAAAGGAAATACGTATTTACCAGGGTAAATGGCGTCGGAGCGTCCAAGTCCTCACGTTGCGATGCAATCCCGAGAAGGATACCTTGGTCCTCACTGATGTTCATATGCCAAACAGTCGGCACATTCAGCCAGGCATAAGACCCTTGACAGCCGATGCCATGTCACGAGCTGAAAGCGCCAGAATAGCTCGGACATTCCCACAAGACCCTGACAAGTTCGCTGCGTTCAGAAGCATTCTATCCTGCTTTCAGACCTTTGCGATTCAACAAGATGGGCATCGCGGCGATACAAGCTCGGAAAGAATCGATCTCATCAACACCGGCATGCTTATTATGCTCTTCATGGAGTCCATCAAAGGGCTCTATATATGGCCCAATCCTCATCTGTGGCCCGAGGTCTGGAAATCTCCTCGCCGAATTGAGGATGTTAAGCTCTGGGATTATGAGGACGAATTGGGCAGACGCGAGTTCCGCGATGAGGTGGACTATTTCCTTCGAGAGTACGATCAATGGGTTGATGTTCACAATGACCACTTTGCCACTGGTGGTGAGCACTGGGCGCCTCGCCCAAGAAAGTTGAGCCGTATTGGGTGTTATATTTGGAGTGTCTAGAAGGATGAGATTTGTTGCCTGATTTTTGGATCTTTTGGTGAGTGGTAACTGAGCTCAAAGGGAGCGAAGGAGCTGCGAGCAGGGGTGGATAGGAAATTGGAATCAGGCAGTTATGCCCGGATTTCCGCAGGTTTTTAGCACGCTCTTTGAACAGTTCGTGAATTTTCAAACCAGAATCATAATTTACGACACGATGTTCAATAACGTTCTGAGGAGTCTAACTTTGTAGATATCTAAACTCTGAAGAAGCTTTGAGTCATTGTATCTATCCTTCTTATAATCAATCCCCCACTATCGAAACCGGACCTACAACTTGTATCTGTTTACGATAAACGAAGGTGACCTGGACTTATCCGAAGTTGAACCGTCACGGTTATCCTTGGCTCATTTCGTCGTCAAATACGGTAAATGCGATAAAGGAGTCTTGGCTTCTCTCTTTCTTCCTTTCACCACTCGATCGCGTTCAGAATCATTGCGACACTAACGATGGGAGGCTTCGACGTCTATTGCGCCATTTGCGGCGGGGGTCTTCGAAGGCCATCGTGGACTTTTGAAGAAGACGACGAAGATTCTATAGCTTACACCTACGACCCTGCTGTTTTGGCTAATCATGAGGACCCGGAGTTGGGTTGGCTGGAAGACGTCAGGCTTATTGGGGAGAACTCCGAAACCAGTGCAGAATGCCCGTGAGGATATGCCAAAACCATAGCCCCTTAGCCAAATTCGCTAATCAGATTGATCAGTGTCTGGGTTTCGGGCTTAGCTCACGAGGACGACTGTGGATCTTTCCATTACGAACTCGGAAGCAACCCTGATCCTGCACTACTGGATATAGACGAGCCCGGATCTTCAGTTGCGTAAGTGCAGTCCACGGTTCACGGGTGAATGCATCGAAGCTTACATCTCCTCCAGATATTGGAGTACTGACGACATACCTCAATCTGTGCCCTTCCACACCCGCTGTCGTGAGCTTCTCGGTCACTTTCTGGGCGTCTCTGAAGTAGACAAGACTCTTCTACATGCTGTTTTCGAGAAATTAGCTCCAGATGACGTGTCATATGGGTCAAGCAGCCTCAATCTTGACTACGGTGATATATCTGAGTATATGGGACAGTACTGGGAAATCACGAGAGGGGGAGAACATTGTGTGTTTAACCCGATTCAAGTCAAGGGGCTGAAGCAACTATACGACAGCCTTCCTCTTCAGAACCAGGATAATGCTGGCGAAGTCAAAGTATACCAAACGGAAGGTGATTCATTCGCAAAATTGCCTGCTGATATACTCCTCCTTATCATGTCCCAGTTTTCGCACATGGGCCCGGTCTTTGAGCTCCGAAAGTCATCCCCAGCCTTTGCTAACATCCAGCTGGGCAATGGGTTCTGGAAAAAGCGTTTCCACGACGACATGCCGTGGCTCTGGGATATGCCAATACTCCCGGAATCGGAGGTTACGACCATTGATTGGAAGCAAGCTTATCACAAACTGGACCTTGCCAGCCTGCCTTCTTCAAAAACTAAAGACAAAGTTTTTGGGCTGTGCAACAGAAGGAGAATCTGGGAGCAGATGTGTCCTAAATTTCTCAAACCGTACACTAGGCTCCAGTCAAATTTGCTGGCCTGGGGTGCAATGGAACCACCCATCCTGAGAGATGCTTATGAGCCTGAAGCCCGAGGTTGGGGAGGGCCCGGAGATTATCCTTGGAAGCCAACAACTGAAACCTTGTTCGACATGTTCCATGAGCTTCCGGATGCAAGGCCCACCATTACGGCGGACTGGACAGATGAAGGATATCTTGTCGACCTCCATGCACGAAAGGAAAAAGATCTCCATGCGATCACCGCCAAAGAAAAGAGAGACATGGTACCTATTCCCGATGATGACTGGCTCACAGGTTTCATTATCACCACTCGCATGGTCGATGTTGAGTGGGGGGAGAAGCAGCGTCGCATTTTTGGGCTTGACATTCTTTTCGCAAAGCAGCTCCCAGTGCGACTGGGTTCGCCCGAGGGCGATAAATGTCTCTTCTACGTGAAGGAAGATCACTTCATCGTTGCGCTCAAAACTTGTCGTAGCGAAGATGGTCTTTTGGTTCAACTCGGGCTTATTGGGCAACCAGTGTCACTTTCCAAAGATGGCTCGCGAATCGTAGACACTCTCAGGGATAATTATACCACTTCCACAATGGAGTATCCGTGGTGGAGAGAACTTCCTCCCACATTTGTCCGGCTGTCTGAACCCAGGGTGAACAAGTTTAGAGTTTCTGGGTTCAAAGATAAGGCTCCAATGGACCTTTTGATGATGGGAACATCGGACGAGGAGCTGGCTGATATCACATCCATCTCAGTAGATATCTGCCTGGGTGGGATTGAGGTTACCTACGGTCACCAGGGAAGCCGCAAGGTGGGCACCCGGCATCAAGCTATGAAAACCTTGAGTATCGATGGCAAGGGTGGAGAGAGGATTGTGCGAGCCTATGCCACTTTGCAGGATGAGCCCAACTCTCTCACTATTCTCACAAATCGAGGTCGCACATTGGCCGTCGGGCGATCGTCAAGCAACTCTGGCAGATTGGATGTCATCGACAACGAAGCCCAGCTGGAAATCTGTGGATTTTATGGTTGCTGGCAGTCCAACGGTAACGATACGAATGATACATCGCTTCGGAGCATAGGCACCGTCGGTTCGGTGGACCTGGGTTATGTCGACACAGGCACTCTGCCGGCTGTCCCAAGGGATTCCAACAACTTCACCTGGGAGCCTTCCATTTTGCCGTCAAACCTGAGGGAGTCAGGGGCCGTATTGGGCTCGCGTGACGACGCCAGCATCCGGCTGCCAATGGCCAGTGTTGTCAGTAGGATTGACTGCAGTCGGGCGTTGACGGAGATACGGGTGACCTTGACTCACAACAGTGGTGATCCCATCCTGGCCCCCATAACAGCCATCACTTTCAAGTATGCTGATGGTGACGAGGAATCCGTTGGCCCCGACAGATTTCCCGAGGCTGCAACCTGCCTTGGTTGTAAACATGGATCAAGTGTTCGAGAACAAATCGACCTAGTGCCGCATTACCAGCAGCAGACTTGGAAGATCGATGGGAAGAAGTTGACAAGTTTGAGAATCTGGCGTCATAGTTGTATGAGCATTGCTGCAATACAGTTTGTCGTCGAGGGACAGGTAGAGAGTCCAGTCTGGGGATATTGGCAAGTCGACACCAGTGCGTTGGAGCTTTCCGAAGTGAGGTTTGCAGGCGAAGGGGGAGGCAGGGTGGTTGCGCTCAAGATGTTCTTGGGGAAAATTACACGGGGTGGTTACCGTGATGATGATGTTATTGTTGGGATACAACAGCTGGTGCCCTCTTACACTGTTGAGGTACGATCTCGCGAATAGTAGACAGGGGCAAGACAGTATGCTGACCACACGATAGCTCAGAAACCAGATAGATGGAATGTGGATGGCGTGTAGAACGGTTCTAGGTAGCCTGTGAGCTTGGTGCCCAATGCAATAGAAATGATCATTGTCCAGTCTTGATAGAATATCGAGGAACCTGCAAGAATCAAATAAGACAGCAATTTGTCAGGTGGCAATACACAGAATATGCACTAGCTGGCAGCACCTAATGGCAGCTAAAGGGCAACTGATAGCGCTGTAGCCAGGCCACTAACTTGGACAGTCAGCACGTGTCCCGCTTCGTCATCAGCACTTGGTGATGGCTGCCTTGTTCGTCCATCACGTACAAATTCACGGTGAGAAATGAACCTCTCAAGCTCACAGCCAGAGCTCCTTGCCCATGTCAAATGAAGCAAGCTCGCGACTTAGCCAGCCTGCCCGTGTAATTTCTCACGTTTCTTCGTCTCAGCGCTTGTTTCATCCTCTTTTCGACGAGAGCTGGAGTCCGACATATCCAGACACTGTAGAGGCCAGTCGTCGCGATGCCTGAACATGACCCTGCTGTATTATCCTATTCGCATCTGTCGGACTTCCCTCGCGCTGACAATGCCTTGCACACCCTGAAAAAGGTGGCTTCCATGGTGAAGCCAATAATGAGAGCAAGAGGATGGAAGGTTAAGCAACTCGTTGAGTTTTATCCAGAGCAGCAAAATCTCCTAGGTAAGCCCAGGGCAGAGTTTAGTTCTCATATCCCATGCCCAGACTCACCCTTGCTTTGTCAGGCCTCAACGTCAACAAAGGGCAGAAGGTATGTCTGCGCCTGAGATACCCCGGCGACCGCGACCAGTTCATGCCATTTGAATCCGTCGTCGATACCATGCTCCATGAACTCTGCCACATCGTCCACGGGCCTCACAATGAGCAGTTCCACGCCCTGTGGGATCAGCTGCGCCAGGAGCAGGAGGGCCTGATCATGAAGGGCTACTCGGGCGAAGGGTTCCTCTCCCAAGGCCAAAGGCTCGGGGGCAGTAGTGTGTCCCCCCTGGAGGCCCGTCGACTGGCTCGGCAGCAGGCAGAGAAGCGTCGTGCCCAGGGTCAAGGTACCGGGTTCGGAAGACGGCTCGGGGGCAGTGGTGCAGCGCCGACTCGTAACATGAGGCAGGCCATCGCCGCCGCTGCAGAGCGAAGAAAGAGGACCATAGAGGGTTGCGGGACCCAGCGGCTGACAGAGAAGGAGATATACGACATTGGCGACACTGCCACGAAGAATGGGTTTCGCACGCAGGCAGAGGAGGACGAGGCAAATGAGGTGGCGATTGCCCAAGCGTTGTGGGAGCTCGTTCAAGAGGACAAAGCCAAAGACCAGGCAGGCCCATCAAATAATCGGTCGACAGCCAGTCCATCTGTGGCCAAACAAACACCAACGGCCGAGGCTGCTGAGCCCAGTCAACTCCAATACAAAACTCGGGGCGGAGGATGGGCTTGCAATATCTGCACACTGTTTAATCAGCCAGAGTTTCTGTGTTGTGATGCGTGTGGGACAAAGCGTTCTACTCATAACCACTCCGATGCTGCTTCGGAGTCATCAACATCCAGAGAAAAGAGGGCGAGAAGCCCGGAAGTCATTGATCTCACAGAAGAGAACCCGCGGCCCAAACCCAGCGCTGGCTCTGGGTCTAGCAAAAGAGCATTACCTGTCAGACAACAGAAACCTCCAGAGCCAGCAGCTTCCCAGTTTTGGATGTGCGGATACTGTAGCCAAGTAATGGAGCGCCAATGGTGGACGTGCTCAAGCTGTGGGCAGATGAAGGAGAGTTCGAAGTGAAAAGAACATTTGATTTGGGGAAACGCCAAATCTCGGCTCCTATATTCATGAATTACGAGAATATCACAGTGTAAACAGCGTTCATCAAGTGATAGTGTCAAGGCAGATGCGAGACTCGGGATGGGTACCAACTGCACTTATGAGCCTTGTGGGCTATTTAGTTGTAGAGGTAGAATAACCATGTTTGGATCTCTCTGAGCCAGTCGGCATTGATCAACAGGGGACCTCAACGCGGTCAACGACCACCCATTTGGCTCACGGCTGTCAAAAACAAGTGCGTTTGTAGATATCCTCAAAATATCTAAATTTAGAGGGGACAAAAGCTGCTCTCCCTAGAACACAATGATCCATGTCTCATAGTTTACAGTAAAGCGGTTTGTAGTGAGGAGTCTACTGGACTACAGCGCAGTTGCAGGAGAGTGGTTTGATCCAATCAGTGTTGTGAATTGTCAGCAGCCTTGACAAACATAAACACGTCATTTGAGGTACCTTGGTTGGGCACCTACATACACGGAAATCTCGCCCTGGCCGCCCCGCGTTCTCCTCCCCTCTTTCATCACTACCTAGGTACCTTACATACCTACCGAAAGCGCGCCGTGCTCAACACTCAAGACAACGCTGTGGCATTTCGTCAGGAGCCCAAAGGCCTCACACAAGGTACTTATCTCTCGAGTCGAAGGAAGAAAGTCTCATCGAGACACTAAAGGTCGGTGTTTCTTACCAAATCCACCAAGGGCCAGTATGGAGAACTTCAAGAAGACCGGATCGTGGGCTGAGGATAGAATCCGCAAAGCCGCGCTTGGTGTTGCTGAAGCCTCAAAGCAGGCCGCGAAGATCACGGATGGTGTGGACTGGCAGGATGTGCGAGCCAAAGTCGAGGGTGTCGCATCCAGCGCACAGGAATCCATCGAAGGTGCATATCGGTACACCGAAGACGCCTACAACGAAAATCCGAAGCGGTTCTATACTGCCGCCGGTGTGGTTGTAGGTGCAGCCGCCGCTCCGCTGGTGATGCCTGCGTTGCTTGGGGCTGCTGGCTTCAGCACTATCGGACCTGTCGCCGGTAAGATCACTTCTCTACTACTTCACATACCTTCACTCACTGACCATTGTATTGAAGGTTCAATGGCGGCAGGTATGCAGTCTGCCGGATGGGTCGGGTTCAGTACACTCCAGAGTGCTGGGATGGGTGGTTATGGCGTTTCAGTCGTCACGGGTGCTGTCACTGGTATTGGAGCAGCTTCAGGTGGCGTCGCAGGTGCTGCTGCAGATAGGCTCATAGCAGCAGCAGACAAGAAGGAGAAGAGTAAGCCCTGAATGAGGAAGGACAAGCACGTCTAAAGGAGCTGCCGGGAGGAGTGGTCTCCGAACTCAATGAAATGCAATAGCATTGTGTTCTCTCTATTGGCCTGAGAAAATATAGGAAGTATATTGAAGGGCGATAGAAGCTCCTTGGGGGACTAGTCTAATTCACAAACCTCCAATAAACAACCTTCTCGATGTTTGAACAACACTATGCTATCTAGTCACTTGCATCTTCCATCATCACACATTCGTAAACAGTGAGAGGCATAGCATCCTTATCCATTCAGAGACCACTATCGATCTGGGCTGGGACGTTGGTTCCCGTCCACTCAGCCCACTGACGACATGTCTCAGCAACAACGTTGGGGACTCTCATCTTCGCAACTTCTTCGGGGTTGGTTAGGAACTGAATGAAAAAGCCTGCAGATACATGCCATGCAATGTGGCAATGAAATGGCCATACGCCTAGTTGAAGGTACTCGTGAGAATTTGAGCAATCTTAAGGGAACGGCGGGGATAAAACGCATACCTGGGTTAGCGGCAGCATCAAACTGGATTACCAGATGCCCATCAGGCCGTAGCTGATACACATCACGACGAATAGGGTTGTGTGGGTTAATTATGGTGCCATCCCACGTTCCAGGGCCTTCATGAAGAATATACATGTTGAATCCGTGCATGTGAATTGGGTGGCTAAGGAAGTTAGTATATGATCAGACGAGGGTGGTATGAGCACTACTTACGAGGTGTTCGAATTGTTAATCACATTGACTCTGACACTCTTGGAATCCTTCAAATTTCGGACATTCCACTCTTCTTCAAAGGTCAAGTTCCCAAGATTGGCCAGTAACAATGTTGGACTATTGTAATTCCCTCGGAAGGAAACTCCATCCATAGACCAAAGCGTAACTCCAGACCCATTGACAAACAGATCGATTGGCATTTCGAGATACAAATCGTGTTCTGGAACCCTCAACTCCATGATTGGCGTGGTAATCTCGAGGTCATCGTTCGCACATGTCCCTGGATCCGGAACGTTCCATGCCTGCGACCCTGGCTCCAGCTTATCATCTGTGTCGTCATAGTAGATAGCTGCCACCGCGTCTGGGCTGTTGTTAAGACCACAGATTCTGGAAACATTGCTACGCATCCAATATGCGTCGAGCTCTCCGTTTGCAGTCACAACGACGTCTGTACGTTGGCCAATGCCTAGAGTGACAACTTTAGTCTCGTAAGGGTTGATGGCGACGAAGTCGTTCGAAACAACTTTGAGAATGTGCCCATCGATTGAGAACCGCTGCAAGCCCTCTGAACCAGAATTTATCAAACGCAGAAGGTGCTTCTTTCCCCTCTTGAACCGAAACTTCGATATGCCAGCATTGTCAAAGCAGGGTGGCGTACTATTGTGTCGAGGCGGCAAAGTAGGGCAGTTGAAGTTCATCTTCCCATTAATCAGATTGTTGTCGGCATAAACGGGGACAAACTCAGTATTTGTCATGGTCTGTTCAACTAAATCGAAATACTCGGCATGGTACCAGTCCGAGAGCATGACAGGACCGATATCAACATCATACTGCTCGAGCTCAATGCCGGGTGGCCCATGGATGACGATCGGGCCAGTCAGACCTCCAGCATATTGGGCAGAATAGTGAGAGTGGTACCAGCTTGAACCGTAAAGGTTGGCGTGCAGCTTGTAAGTGTAACTCTTCCCAGGAGCAATAGGACACTGAGTTACGGCCGGGGAACCGTCCTCCCAAGGTGTGCCAGTTTGCAGAAATCCGTGCCAATGCAAGGCTACGCCCTCGTCTTCGATCTGGTTATGTACAGTGACTTGGATAGTATCACCCCAGTTGGCTTCGATTGTAGGACCGGGAAAACCTCCGTTGATCATGAGAACTTCTCTTTGAACGCCATCAGGAGCGAGATTTCCTCGGCTAATAGTGAAGTCATAGGCTCTAATTACCCCTGTGTTTGGACTTTCTTCATAGTAGTTCGTGTGACTATTCAACAGGCTCCATGGGGCCCCATTTGGTAGTGGGTTGTTCGTTAGAAATGCTGGTAGGAGGGGCGCCAGTAGGGTCCCGAGCAGGGATAGCCTGTCAGATTGTGTTAGTTTCTGTAATTGAGACATCGCCAGAATCCAACTATTCATTCATTACCCGTTGGTTCTATTTTGATGGGAACCTGGACCAAAGCTTCCCAGGCTAGACCTTGGACCTGGTATCCAAGGAAATGATCGACTACCCATCTCCCGAAAGGTGGAACAGACTTTGATAGTAAGTGAAACTCAGTTCTAGGAGGTGACTGTTGGGAAGCTCAATTAGTCGGCACATCAGGGCGCAAATGAGACACAGCAATAGGTTTTAAATACTTTCATCTTGTACTTCACTCAAGGGCTCGAACCTCACGATGCAGTGCGCTCTACTAAGCTGATCACAGCACCAGAATCTCCCGGGTGCCGGCATGGATACGGCCAGCCGTTTATTGCAAACGTAATGCAGGTTCTGCATCCTGATATGCGGCAATATGTTGTGATTGTTTACCAACAGCTAGGGTGTGCCTTGTTAATAGACAGCAATGCATATGCTGTCATGGCGCCTGAACCTCGTACATGTATTCCGTAGATCCGCGTCTTTGGGCCAAGTGCCGCGTTCTCGTAAAAACTCGGGTCTATGAGCATGGTTAATCAACGTGATCAGGCACGGTTGCTGCTCGAGACCTTTTTCGCACTACTCCGAGACCGATGGCTTCGGGGCTTATTACCATCTAGACAGCTCTCATAAGCATACACCCTCAATATGATGGCATGTACAGTAGTACCAGGTTTTATGCAGGGGTGGGAGAGTAATTCCGAAGTTGACAGTGCTGTGTAACGCGAACAAGTCACACGTCGCGCCATCTCGGTGTATTTAATATCATCACGAGTTTCAAGAATGCATCGTCTTTTCCCCCTTTCGGTCGTAAGTTATGCTGCATAATTGAGAATCTTGCGTTTCTAAAAATCCATCAAAGCTCGCACTCCGATAATGGCAAAATCATACCCACTACCACGCCAAGAGATATATGAATGAATATATAAATGAGTGTATGCGATGTTCGGTTGGGTATGTATTAAGTAAAATCCACTGATTCCTAGTCACGTTCTCTTCGGAAGCTGCTCAGACCAGACGCTCGTCGGTAACACCAGGTTGGAAGACAATGCTCAAATATTGCATTGGTCCGATATCCGATGAGCCAGACTCCTTGCCAAGCTATCCCTCCGAGCCCCTTTTTCGTTCTAGATTATCTATGGTCATATTGATTAAGACACACATACTCGTAGGTGTTCGTCATAATATGCTGGCCTTTATTATCATCCTTCCAGCCACAATCTTGGCGGTTTCCTAGCAGGCTATCCCTGTGATCTCATCTTCAGACGATGCATATACGAGCTGTGAGTCTTGTCCCATACGCCATTATGTGTCACCACAAACCTCGGAACACAGGCTGAGCTGAAGTGCCTGAGCGGCTGACCATCGATTCGTTACACTAGTTGCCCAGCTGCAATGCACATGCTTGTATGACGACATGATGTGAATTTCCGCCCACCCATTTATTGCTTGCCATGTTCCTGGTATTTGAGACAATGGTCGGAACAAAAAATTCGCAGCATGGCAACTTTAATTTGGTGTTTCAATCACCACTCTCAACATTAAACTACTCCAGGAGTCTATAACATCACTTGCATTGACTTGATGACAAAAATGAGACAGCGAGATTGTATGTGTCCTTGTTCAGCTTCTAAAATTAACGTGGGCTTGACATGGTATCTTCGTTGTATGTATCTGTGTGGTTTCGAAAATGATGGTCAGCCACAGCTCGTATTCAAATAAGCCTGTTTTTCTCAATCTGCTGTTCCTCACACCAATCTAACTTGTACGATAAATTCCACCTGAAAGCATGACGTATAGTCTTCTCAGCTAAATGTTCTGGGGCCAGATCATCAGTTGTGGCGCTGAATGAGACAAAATATGGAGAGAAAAAAACTCCAAAACCTGTTGAGCAAGAAATGGCACAGCTGGTCCCTTGGGTTCAATGGCCGTGGATCTTCTGAACGCCCTTGTTGTGGCGAGAACGTATAACTTTTGTTCTTACATTGAGAGGTGGCCTTTTCTCTCCACGTCTAGTGGATGAAGAATAGACTGAGAGTTACAGTGGCCAACCGGCCTGAAAATCATCCATGTTCACTTTTTACTTTATTCGCTTATGACGAGTGATACATGTTAGGGCTTTACAGCTCCGTGTGATTTTTTCCTATAGGCGATCATATGATCCTAGAATTTTACACATAGAGCTTTCAGGGCAATCTATCTGATAGAATTACAAGTTCATGAAGACTTGACAATCTTCCATTTCCAAACAGTATGGCCGTCCAGACTATATCAGCAATTTCACCGGCTCAACTCCGTTGTGATTATACCTAGGAAATGCAGTAAAGATCTTGCCAGAAAAATGTTTTGCGTCGGATTTCCACATACTCCTCTGGACCCTCAAGTTGAGCATAATTCTCCTTTCTTGTTGACCTGATCTCTTCATGCACTTTTCCCCGGCAGTCTTCAAACTAAAGAGTCCCGCCATTTACCAGTCCACGGGAGCGGCGATCTCACCATCGCGGACAATACAGTTGGATTGTGTGAAGATGATATGCATCAAAGACCAAACTCGAGGCACTGACTTACATTGTTCATGCCGACGCCGGGCGTACGTTGCCATAGAATAAATCCGACCGAAGAGCTACGGGTACATCAAATTCCAAAATAATCCTTAAACTAAGACCTGACAGTAAGGAGATAGATTTAGACACATCACAACGTGTGTTGCAACGATACGCTCATTCTAAGCAAAATGAGCCCAGAAATAGAAACATAACGCGAAGAAGTATAGTTTAGATAGAGCCATTTGACAGTTTTCCAAGGACAGCAAGTCATTAAGTGCGCCTTTGATGCCGCTACAGGCACGGCTTTGGTCGGTGAGTGATACCGGGTAGGGCTTACAAGTCGGCCCTCACGCTTGACAGGGGGTAACTAAGTGGATTGTTTTCATATCGACTACCTTTTGATATAATTTTCATAGTTTTGAAGCCCAGTGTAGCTTTTTTGGTGCTTCGGAGACTTGTTTTCCGGCACAAGAGACTTCAAATCCTCGGTTTCCCCTTTATTCAATGTCACTAGGCTACCTGCATGATTGGCATTCCTAATCACAACAGAGACGTCGATTGCCCAGTGATCTTGCCCCTAAATTGGAACTTTCCCCTGATCACATTAGATAATGTATGCGGGAGTGCTCAATCGTTTGATCTGGTAGTCATGCTCAGACCTAAGCGCACTTCCGCCAGTTGTACGCAAAGACCAATCAGTAAGGCATGAGCTTACGAGCGCGATCCCTCCCCAAACTTCAAATATCTCGTGTTGTGGTTGGATTAATTATGGCCAAAGCTTTTCGGTCAATAGTAATCCGCGAGTGATGATGCAGGGGGTCAAGTAGAGGGCTTCAACTCCGACCCCGGCTTTCCGGAAATTCGAGGCAGCCCATATTGTCTACAATAATCTATTAAATGCAGATTTTATACCAAGATTTCTCTATTTTCCGGCATCACTCTCAACAGCGAATCTGATGTAAATTTTCTGCGCTCGTCAGGTCGGCGGTTGATGTTTCTCGTATAGCCCGAATCCCGATGATCTACAACGCAAATAAGCTGACCGGGGGACCTCGCGCGAAGCTACCGAATTGGTAAACGTTCGTAATGCTAAGTTTCACCCTAATTGATGCTCATGAAAGCTATAAGAGGCACTGCTCCTATAGAATTACGATTCTCAGGTTCGTGACTCTCCCCCATCAATAATTCGAATCATCAGAACTATGCGGTCCCTTCTCCTCGCCCTCTTTGTCACGCCGCTGCACGCCGTGCTGCTGCCCGGACCTCCCGGCCCGCACTCGGTGTCATATGAAGCTTACAGCTTGACCGACAACTCCCGCCAGGATCCGTACGCACCTTCAGACAACCCCCACAAGCGACGAATCATGGTGTCAACTTTTACTCCGGTTTCAAAGTGCCAAGATTGCAAGTCTACGGAGCTCCCCTATATGCCCCCCAACTCAACGGCAGCTTGGGGACAATATGCGGCGACGATGGGCTTGCCAACCAATATCGTGGAGGATTTCCAAATCGAGTACTGCCAATCTTCCAAACCGGCACCTAAAAAGTATCCACTGGCAATCTTCTCCCCGGGTTTGACCTCTTCGAGACTTGTATACGGAGTTCAAGCCAGGGCGCTCGCCAGTTTGGGATATGTTGTCATCTCCGTGGATCACCCCTATGATTCCTTCTTTGTGGAATTTCCCGATGGAACATCCGTGCAAGGCTCTGTTCCATTCAGCCCAACCGACGCAGAGGCCGATGCCGCTACTGAGGTTTGCAAAGCATCCTTACAGAGCCCTTGCCAGAATTTTCATCCGCTCACTGACTATCAATAGGTACGAGCTGCGGACGTGTCTTTTCTCGTCGATGCGCTGCACGGCTCAGCCCCCGGGGTCTCCCTTCCAGCTGAACTTATAGGCAGTGTTGACCTGAACAAAATATTTGCCTACGGCCACTCAATGGGAGGAGCGACTGCCGCGGAGGTAGCACTGCTTGACAAACGCGTTTTGGGCGGGCTCGACTTCGACGGGCGTCCATGGGCTACGAGCGCGAAGACCGGCTCTGACAGGCCCTTTCTTATTGTAGGGAGCGAAGCAAACGATGCCTTGTGGGCACCCTACTACGAAAGGTTCACGGGTCCTAAGATGCAGGTTACTATCAAGGGGTCGACGCATCTATCCTTCTTCGATCTGCCCTACCTGTTTGGTGTGCGCCCGCTACCTGCAGAATATGACGAAGTGATAAAGCAACTAGGCGGAACGATCAAGGGTACTCGGATGCAGGAGATCGAAATGGGCTATATCCAGGGATTTGCAGAGCTGGTGTTGAATAACAAGACGGGGCCGCTTCGATCTCTCAACACGACGTTCACTGAGGTTATAGTTAGTGAAGATGGCCTATCCGCCTAAATTTTCAATGCTGGCGATCATAGAGCAATAGATTTCATCGATTCAAATATTAGGTAGTTTCCACGCTATCTAGGCTTTTGTCTTTTGGTTAGTTTCTAAACCTTTTGTCCAGGTTTCGAAAGTTAGAAAGGCAACCCTAGGTACCGACAAATATAGGATACCATCAACAGTTTCCAATGGGAAATGTAGTTGTTCTTAAAGTATTCGAAATCCCAAATCGTATTTCGAAAACGTCAAAGTTGTCACAACGCCAAATTCAACATCGCAAGTTGAGAAAGACACCAAGCCTCTATAGAGAATACAATATGAATAACCTCGTGAGTGCTAGTCCACACGCCTGCTACGCAGTTTCGTTGCCCTTCATTAGATACAAATGCGTCCCATTATTTCCTGAAATTTCCCAATTTTTTTCTCTTCTGATTTCCGTTTCCCCATCTGCTCAGCCGCTTACAGGGCACCCAGAATGCCGCCGCCACCACCACCTCCGGCGAAGCCCTTGATGAAGGACTCGAACTCGGACCTGTTGCGGGTCTGGATGTAAATGGACCCAGGGCCGGTGAACCGACAGACGAGACCCTCGCCGGACTTCAAACTGTTCAGGGCGCTGCCACCGCCGCCACCGGCTCTCTCAATGGCATACTGACAGCTCCAGGCCACAAGGTGCCCGTTGTCCACGATATGCTGCTCACCAGGTTGAAGCTAAGAAACAAGTCAGCAAACATAAATCTCCAAGGAAGAGACTGCTTAGCGGCGTGGAGAAAAACTCACATCAAGACGATCCACGGCGCCGAAACTAGTCAGCCAGATGATACCCTGCCCCGTGAGCCTATAGACGAACAGGTCCTCGCCAGAGAAGAGCGCCTTGCTGATGCCCTGGGCCTTGGTCTCGCGCTTGACCTCGATGGTGGAGGCGAGGAAGGAGTCCTTGCCGATGGTCCAGTTGGTGCGGCCGTCGACGTGCAGGGTGATGATGTCGCCGAAGAGGGTCGGGCCGACGGCGACGCGCCCGGGGCCGACGTAGGTGGACTCGGACAGGTCGCTCCCCGTGATGAGCTTCTTCATGGAGAACTTGATCTTGCCCTGGAGCTGGATGGTGCTGGACATGTGGATCATGGCGCCCGACTTGGACTTGACCGAGGCGCCCTGCTGGAGGGTCAGGGCGAGGACGGCGTTGGTGTCGCGGTGGCTGATGCTGTAGGTGCCACCGGGGAAGGCGCCATTGTCGGTGGGCGAGACGGCGGCCTGTTGGGGAGGGTGCTGGAGCTGCTGCTGCTGCTGCTGGGGAGGGAAGCCGGGGTGAGGCTGTTGGGGATGTTGCTGGGGGTGCTGCTGTTGCTGCTTCTGCTGGAGTCCTGGATGCTGCTGCTGTGGCTGGCCTGGTGGCGGTGACATCTGCTGGTGGTATCCGGGATGTGGCGAGGGCTGCTGCTGCGGATGCTGCCCATACTGTGGCGGCTGCTGCTGCTGTCCGGGCGGGGGGCCATTGGGCGGAGGGGGGTAGAACTGCCCAGGCGGCTGTTGGTACGCCATAGTGTCAGGGGCTTAGGCGCCAAGGTTCAGGGCAAGGGACGCTGGAATGGAGGGCACGCGACTGGCACAGGACACGGCAGACAGACAGCGAGGGCGTGAGAGGAGAGAGGCAGATGGAGGCAGCAAGCCGCTTCTGCAAACTCTGGCCGCAGAATCTCTTTTAAATAGCACTGGCCTTTCCCTCACAGCCCAGCTGAAAGCACGTAGCCTGGTTCACGTGGCGCCCAAGAGGGTCTGCCCTTGGGCTCACCGCGTCTCTCATTGGTTCCGTCTGCCAGCAGCTGAAAAAGGCGAGCATCTCGAGGAAGGGGTCTAATGCTGATAGTACGATGGTGTGGGCGGGCCATGGAATCTAGAGCCATCATCCATGCGGGGCGTCTCAAAATCGCTGCAGGGTGCTACAGTAGGTGTGGCCTAGAAGCAGCGATCACCGGTGATATCTCTCTTTCTCTGCTGTTTTCTGGTGAGACTTCTCGCTCGCCATGCCCGACTCAGTCCTCCCAAGCCGACTCGTCACTCGCTGTCCGAATCCCCTGTCCTCGCCGGCAGGTCTGCGCTCGCTTGCCATCGCATTGTGTCCCAACCTGACTAGCTAGCCATCGTCCAAGCATCCTTATCCTGAGCTAGGTAGACTTGAGTGCCACCCACTCCAATGCGGGGTTTTCAACTGGTCCGGGTGTTGCCACATTCCGGCATGTGGTATCATCAACAGAAGAAGCTGTCAGCCGTTTCTGCATGCTGAACACGATCAACACGGTGGGTGTGGGAATGTCATTCGAAACGCGCCCAGTCGGGCAGAAAAAAAAAAGCCCTGCAAAGAACCTTGGTGCTACCGTTCCATCAGATCGCTTGAGCTTAGCAATAGGCATAAAAAGGCAGAAATACGCCTTGTGTCAGCAATTAGCACCGCCACTGAACAAACGAAATTGCATATCCACCTCTCCCGAAGAGGGGTTCACTCTCTCCACCGGCGATCACATAGATTTAGAACCAGATAAAGCTCTCGAGCACGGTTTAAACCTTGTCATGTGGTCTGTGAAGTAGCTGCCTGATCCCCACAAGGCCGATGATGTTGCATTGTGATCAACCATTTCTATTATTAATACGGCACTAAACGAAGAGACCGTCTACCAGAAGGAGAATGGCATGTCGCGCATAATGCTTGTTGCTACGTTAGAAGGATTGACGGTGAACGCGATCCACAAGCATCATCAGGGTGCTAAGAGGTTGCTTTCCCATTTCCAGACTCGGACATCCGTCTCATTGATAATGTCTATTAGATATGTCAACATTAAATGTATCCTCCTTTCTCATCATGCAAAGCTTCGTCGCACATGTCCTTTACGAAAAGGATGTACTGTCCGATATTGATTCTGTCAGAATAAATAACGGCGTAACCTAGAGTGAAGACGAGTAGACGCTAGGTTGTTATGGCAATTTAATTACGATGTCTCTCTAACCGACAAGTTCGCGGTCGGCACCATCGCCTTCTTCTTCTCCAGGCATCAAGTCGGGAGCTCGGAGCGGCACTCGGTGTGGTCTGGTGACCTATCGCCGGTTCGAGACGTTATAGGCGTGGTCTCTCGAAAAGACCTTACCGAGAAATTGATTGCTTCTTGTCGCGGCTTCTCAACCAACCCCTTGGTCTCCTGGTTGGGTGGGGTGGTAGTCATCTTGCTCGTCAAAGGTCCTCGCGCCCTAAGGGGTAGACGAGTCAACTTGTGGAATAGAGAGATATCTCATAACATATAGAAAGTCACTTACAAGGCTACAGCAACCTAGCATCTGCTCGTCTTCACTCCTCTAGGCTACGCCATTATTTATTCTGACAGATTCCCAACGAGTAACAGTGTCCATCAAGTCCCAAGAACTTTTTCGAAGGCTCAACTGTCTGTCAATGGTTCAAGTGAGGCCTCGAGCTAGGAGACAGTTTCGCATTCACCATCTCGGTCTCGATATCAGAATCAACTTAACTCGAGAAACAACCCTCAAGAGATGAACATTCACTTCTTCGGAGTGTCGTTGCTATACGTCTCGGGCAGAATGGAAATTCACTCTCTTGAATTCGACTAATGGCTTGATAGACAATCATATATCTTCTTCAGTACCTAGTTTATACTCTCTATTGCTCTATCCATTTTGGACCCACAAGATCTCGAACATTTCCTTCTTCGAAGTTCCTTGATTCTCTAGTACTGTCGACGTTCTTATCAACCAACAAAAATTCCCCATCCTCGTCCCAGTATTTGGATCCATCCAAGCTACTTATCTTTCTTCAAGCAGATGAAGATGATCTGACCAGCCACCTAGGGTGTGTCAACTTCCTGACCAAGCAAATCAGATAAACCGCTTTATAAACAAGAAAACAAAATCATCAGAAACAAAAGACAAAATCGCAAGATTCAACATCAAGCGGCGAATAAGGAATTTGGTTCATCTTCCCAGGCTTGAGCTTGGCCTTGACCATGATAAATAATACCCTTATCCTTATCAGAGGCAGCCGGAGCTCAGCATCCATGTACGCGTCATATCAAGTCGTGATCCCAACCCACGGCAAAAGATACCGGGAAAACCATTCCGCATCACAAATCCAAATTGGCCACGGACCATATTCTATATCATATTCCATATATCTCGAATATGTATATGGTGTTTCTCGCGTCAATTGCCCCAGAAACATGTATGTACCACCGGCACATCGGCATGTGGATATCCTCAACACCTATAACAGACGCTCTTCGGCAGCCTCGGCAGCGGACTTTGGGCTTCTCCGCATACGACCAACGATCCAGAGCTGTGGATTCCCCAAAGCAGCTGAGGGATTAACTTTGCTGGCCGGAATGCTGACGACGACAATGGTGATGCGGCCTTTTCCCAGTGTCGGGCGTCAAGGAACCTCCTTGAACGGGGGTCCATTGTTTAGTTACTCGTGAGCACGCAAACGGCTGCTTCTGCTGGTTGTGGTCGTGATTCAGATGAACAGGTCCTGGGAATATCCTTTGAAAAAAAGTTGTCTTTGTCGACTTTGATAATTGGGCGAATTCCTCCTTTGGACGTTTCCCGGTCTCCTTCCTCCATCTCTCTCGTTTATCGCCTTTCCTCGCTGCTCCCCAGAGCACTTGAGTTGGGGGGAAAAAAGAATAAGAAGCAGAAAAAAAGATACATAGAAATAAAAAGCAAACAAAATTCTAAACCAACGCCATCTATTCAACAAATACAGTTTCCCCAATATCGCAGAGCGTAATCTCGTCATTCCACGTCAACCCTCGCTTCTCGCACGCCTCCCTCCACCTCCTGGGCGGCTCGCGCACGTCCTCGTACTGGGCGCTCAGCCCTCCCCTCACGGTGCCGTAGTGCATGCCCAGGCTCTTCTTGCTCCTGATGTCGACGTGGATCTCGATGGAGTCCTCGGGCGCGCAGTGCACGCCCGACAGGAACGTCCGGGGCGTGTAGCACCCGATGGGCAGCAGGGAGAGGTCAAAGGGCCCGTACCGCTCGCCGATCTGGGCGAAGGCGGGACACCGCGGGAGGTCGTTGATGTCCTTGCCCGCGGCGACGTCCTCCTCGGTGATGGAGCGGTAGCCGGTGTCGCCGGCGAAGTAGATGCGCTTGTTCTCGGCCAGGCCGACCTCCTCTAGAATGAAGCCGCACCAGAGCATGGCGCCGCGGTCCCAGGCGCTGCGGCGGCTGCCGTGCTGGGCGGGCGTGCAGACGAGCTTGACGGTGCCGACGTCGAGGACACCGATCTCGAGCTCGTCCCACCAGTCCATCTCGGTGACGTGCTCGGGGCGGACGCCGATGCTGGTGAACCAGGCCTTGGTGCCGAGCCCGCAGAAGAAGTGCAGGGCGGCGGTCCGGCGCTTGTCGAGGTAGAGCTTCTTGATGACATCGATGTCCAGGTGGTCGTAGTGGTTGTGGCTGATGCACACGACGTCCACCAGGGGCAGGTCGCGGACCTTGCAGGGCGTCTCGGAGAAGCGCTTGGGGCCGATGAAGTTGGTCGGGCCCATGCGCTCGTAGAAGACGGGGTCCATGAGGATGCGCACGCCCCTATCGCGGCCCTCGTCGGCGGCGGTCTCGATCAAGAAGCTCGAGTGGCCGAACCAGGTGGCCTTGGTGCCCTTCTTGCCAGCTCCCCAGTCCGGCTTGCGGATGTTGACGAGCTCGTCCCTCTTGACGGGGACGGGGATGAAGTTTCGCCCAGAGCCGAAACGCACTCGCCAGATGTCCCCCCAGGTGGGATTGTGGTGGCGGAACGAGGGCCACGGGTTCTGGAAGTGAGTAGGGGGGTTCCCGATCCAATGCGCCGGCGGCTCGTCGAGAGAGGCGACATCATTGGTACGGGCGGAGATGGTGATGGTCTTCTCCATGGCTATGGCTCTGGCGTTGGCTAGGGGGATAAGCCCGGCTCGTCCGCAGGGGAGCAGCAGCGCGGACGATGGCGACGGGCGAGATGCGCGGTTGTGGCCAGGCTGGATGGTATGCCGTCTCTCTTGGGGAGGAGATGGAGGGTTGAGGGAGGACGCGCAACCAATGCAGCAAGATCGGCACTAGAATTCAGGAGGGTGCGGCGGTACGTTGCGGTGCACGATGGAGCGAGATCAAACGAGATTCTGGGGAAATGAAGGGTCGCATGACGGCCGTTTCTACTTGTACTTCTACGAGATAAAGCGCCGTCTTACCCTGCACTCTATCCCTGCTTTCCACCTGCGTTATCTGGCATTTCTGCTGAGTCTGTCCGAGTTCAGGGTGCAGGGCCTCGGCCTAATGGACTCCCGCGATTCGATAGTCGCGTGTTTCAGCGAGACTCGGGCGTGGAATGCATATTTAGCTTTCCCATTAATCCCTCTGCGGCCGTCTGCAAGTGAATATGCAGGTAATGCCCCGCTGTTACCCTCCAGAAGTACCTAGAATATGGGGACATGGATGCAATCTCGCTCCGCTTTGGTCGTATTCGTCTAAGCCCGAGCAAATCCCCGGCCCGATCAAAGTCACCAAATCTAGCCCTGTTGAAGACTCTTATGTTGGTTATGGCCGGCAAGGCAAGTTGTTCCGCTTTATAGCACTTATAGATGCACAAAGCGCATGATAGAATTGTCGCAATAAGTCTCGTCGTTGATAATGTGCGGAATTGGGGATAAATCAGCCCGCTCCTCGAGTGCATTTGGATCTAGTACCCCTGATTCGTCGACATGGATTGGGGATAACACAACACCACACTATAGACTTGCGAGTTGAAAATGCAAGCTGCCAATCACACTAAATTGAAATAACATTCTGCAACAGCTGTATGAATAAGTCATTAACTTGTGTGTGTGTTCCCATTTGATCAAATAGTTTTTACTCTCAGCTAGTGAAGGTAATTTATCATAGCAGCGGTAAAGTTAGTTACCTAAAGAAAGATGCATCTTTTAAGAAGGGGATTTTTGATAGAGAATATGAGAGAGAAAAAAAAGAGAGAGAAAAAGAAGAAGAAAAAAAAAAGCCTTGTCTCAATAACCTAAAAGCTCGAAAACAATCTCTAGGTACTCCTATCCCAAATACTCTCCAGGTGCACAATCGACACGTTCAAAGGTGAAAATGCATGCTCAAGTCAGGGTCCTGGTGCTGGCTATCGTTGAAGCTTCTGCCACCCACTTTTCATTGATTTCCCTCCCATGATCTCTATTTTGAGAGAGAGCCTTTCTCCAGCCTCCCGTATTCTGTCTTGTGACATCTTCATTGAGCGAACCCTAAAAGGCCTCTTTGGGCCAATCCACGACGCTGCCCTTCAAGATGTCGTTGATACTATTTCGATTGAAGGAGATATCTCTGTTCACATCTTGGCTTAATGATATGGAAACAAGCCTGAAAGCATCATGAATATGTTACTAATCTCGTTAATAAGACCGCCATGATAAAAAGGCAGACTGAGTAGGAACGAGCAGTGGCCAAGCCTCGTCATCTACGATCAACACACTGCAATAGACCTGAAAAGTCAAAACTCCGATTTCTGACCTCCGAGATAGTCCTGCAGTGGAATCCAAGTTGGCGACGACTGGCTAAACAAGGAAAGGGGCAAGAATCCTGAAATGTCATCTCACATGTCGGCAAAGAAACATTAACGATACTTGCCCATGCTCCCAGCACGGCTGAGTGCGCACGTCTATGTTGCAAAAAAGCCCCCCAGCTAGGTTTGCCCGGAAAAGGTACTGTAACATGTAGTTTTTGCCGAAGCTGCCGTCTTACCAAGGTAAAGCATTAAGACCAAAGTGGGCTACATAACACCTAACATGATTTTGGAATTCTTCTGAGAGCATTAGCGCTGAGAATGAGCATAGGGTGCATTGTGTAAGGCTTATTGTTTTTATAGAAGAGTCTCTCACAACATCTTTTAGTTCCCTTCACAGGTATTATGGGAAGCGGCCATGTGCTTCCGATAACCTTTCTCCTACCCTAAAACCTCCACCGGTTTCTCTATTGTACGCATCCACACAGGAGGGGAAGCTGCGCAAGGGAAAGGGTCAACGTCTTGGAAAAGGTTTTCTCTATAAACACTAGTTTGTCAATGACGTTGTAGCTTTCAGGTGATAAAATCAAAATGCATACCTCTAGCCGGTGACTATGCTCATGACACCTTCGTCATGGGGTTTGGGTGGGATACCTTTTCCAGGCCTCCATATGCTGACCTCCAAACTGATCTCTGAAAAAATACTGCCTTTGCGGCAGATTTCTAAGAATAAAAAGCGACTGGATCTTCTTCCGCTCAATGAGTTGACCCTGGAGGTGAATATTTGAAAACACTTGATCGAAAGTTGGACATTTGCGTCTTAAATCTCGTTTAATCCAAACATGATCATCATGAGTACCAGGGTATTCGACCTCTTGCTCCTCAATTCAACAAGGCACATGAGGGAAGCTTCAAGTTGTTTGTAGTCGTCTTGTACGAAGGAAAGAATCGGCCGCTAGGTTCGGGGCTAGGCTTGGAAAAGACCTGGGACCTTCAAATGTGGCCTCTCTGGCCACTTCCAGGTGCGGGTTGGTTGCGTTTCCACATGCTTGGGCCCTTTAGTGTAATCTCAAGCGATAAGAATAGTAAAAGTGAAGGTCAGAAAGTAGGAAACCAATTTTCAATATTCATGAGATGGAATGGATGCATTTGGAACTGGATTCTACAAGAGGGCACAATTGGGACACATCACACCTATATATCTATCTGTTCTTACACGGGTGGGCCAACTCAACCACTTATCCGTAGAAGTAATAAAGGGGGGGGCAATAAACAATATTCCTTCTGAGACTCCATTGCATTTTCACTTCTCACACGGGAAACTTGGCGCTTGCTAGGGAGCAATTACCTTACGCTTAGCTAGCTGTACTCTTCCCCCCTGTTGAGCTGACAAGCAAACATGTTCTCTGGTTCTTACCACTGTTAGGCTGCCTTGGATCTTTTTCTTTGTCAACTCACAGATGTGGAGCGTGGCAATGCACTTATCAGACAGAGCGTGACCTTTCATCCCATCCTCCTTGGGTATTGATAGAATTCAATATCTAGCTCTATGGTTCATTTGCCCGCAAATATACACAAAATTCAAATGCTTTTTCCCTCCCCATGCCGCTCCTCATACGCTAATCGTCCGGAACACGCTAAACTCCTCGCCCGTGGCTACCAGACTGCCCGTGATCTGGGGGTGCCAGTGCACCTCCTTGACGTCCTTGAGGTAGTGTACGAAGAGGAGCTGCGGGGGCACGTCGCTCGGCACGCCGGCGCCCTTGCTCTCCTCGTCGTCGAGCTCCACGGCGAGATCCCACAGGGTGACGGTGCTGTCGCCGGCGGCCACGGCCACGATGGAGTCGTCGGTCGGGTGCCACTCGACGCTGGTGATCTGCTCCTTGTGGAAGCCGAAGCTGGCCAGCGGCTGCGGCTTGTTGGCGCTCGATTTCCACTGGCGCAGGTCCCAGACGCCCCACGTGCCGTCGTCGGCTCCCGAGGCGAGGAGGTGGGAGGTCTGCCGCGACCAGGACATGACGTTGACGTCGTAGTCGGAGACCTGCATGGTGATGGCGGGCTTCCGGCCCTTGGATCGGACGTCCCAGATGCGGATCGTGCCGTCGCTGGATGCTGAGGCGAACACGCTCTGCTCCGAGGGGGACCACTGGAGCTCCTCCACGCTGCCGGTGTGGCCCTGGAAAGCCCTGTTGTCGGTTTGCCAGCCGCCACCGTCGGTCCGCGTAGTCATGTAGATGAGGCCGTCGTTGTCACCGGTGAGAAGCTTACCAGCGACGGTGGGCGACCAGTCGACGGCGTAACCTTCGCTCTTGTGGGCCCGGATAGTTGTGACGGGCTTGTTCTGCTGGGGTGTAACTGTAGATCCAGGGGTGTCGAAGGTGGCTAGGTGGGGAGTAATATCGTGGATCAAGACATTGCTGGACTCGGTCATGGTGGCTGTGAGTGTGGTGGGTGCCCTGCCGTCCTGGCTGGGGATTTGTAGAGATCGGACGCGGTTGGTCGTGGAGCTGAGGGGGATGGTCTTGCTCTCAAGGATGGGGTCGGCGTCTTCGTCGTCGTCCTCGTCACTGGACTCCCCGCCATCGTCGCCGCGGGACATCTTGCTCAGGCCGCTGAACTTCATGATCATGAGCTGGTTCTCGTTGTTGCGCGTGTTCTCGGCCTGCGTGCCGGCGACGGTGTACATGGTAGCGGGGTAAGCCTTGCGGTTGTCGCCGAGCGAATCACGGACAATGTCGAAGGACAGGCAGGGCCAGGGCGTGCTGAGGCTGTGAAGCATTTCGTACGTGCTCAGATCGGGAGCGAGGGTCTGTCCGGGCTCGAGTTTGTGGCGTCCCACGATGAAGGTTCCCTGCTGCTGGTCGACCTCCATGGCATCTTTTAATTCCGATTAGACATCACGGCGTCGTCGGTATGAAGAGAACTATCGCCTTACCCTTTTCCTCTGCTTCTCGCTCTGCATCTGGTCTGCCGTCAACGCCAGCCTCAATGATCTCGTCCTCGCTTTCGAACTCATCCTCAAACTCGTCCTCGAACTCGCCCATTTCCTTGGGGAAGCTGTCGACATCCATCTGCTCGGGGCGGTCGCCTCCCTTGAGGGGGCCCTCGCCACCTTCATCAGCGGCTCGTTTCGACATGGCGGATGGTGTGAGACTCGAAGAACAGCCAGCTGCAGTGAGTGAGTTCGCGCTTCGTCGTCGCAATTTGTCTGTGTGGCGACTTCCAGTTGTTAATTCGACATGGGACTAGGAATAATTTTTTGGTTGGCTGATACGATAAGAGCCGCCAAGACCAGATTTTTGTCAACCCCGCCAAAATTTTCAAACAACCCCTCCGAAACCCTGCAGAAGCGACAAGCGGGTTGGGGGCCACTGTGACAGCAGCCGAGGATTAGCCAGAGCAGTGTCTTGCGAACTGCCGGCGATCTGATTTGGCTGTATCCGGCCGCGTGCCTTGATTTGGCAGGTAATCCATATTACCCAAAGCTGTAGCAGCAGGTGAGTGCCAGACAAGCCAGGTACAGTTTGGCGGCTGTCGTGTCGAGATGCGTGTAAAACCTCCTAGATATCCAGATAGCCTATCCAATTCCCGCTATACGACCCCATGCTGGCTAGGTTTACACGAATGTATCGCCGGAGCATGACATAATGCTGCACTGCCGAGTTCAGCTCAAAGCCAACGGCCTGAAGGACGCGACCATAATCCTCGTGGCACATCATCCTTCTGAAGTATTTGTCACGCTCTGCAGCGCAGGTTGTCGCACAGGGCAGGTCCGCTATTCCGACGGCCTGGCCATCACGTCACTGGGCGGTTTGTCAGCACCGCGGTCTCAATTCCAAATCTTGGGAGACGCAAATGGATGGTTGAATTGCGGCTGCCCCTCCTGCCGCCCCGCCTGGCGCACGTTCCGGTCGGCGGCGTATTAATTTCTCAATGACACCATCACGCTCCTCGGCTTTATAAGGCGGCACTCCCCCCCCTCCGATCTGATTGCCAATTGCCTCCACCTGAGAAACTATATCAGCACCGCCGCCCTTCCACGAAGACTTCCGTCTCGCCATCAATCACAACTCACAACACACAACACACAACCATCTCCCACAACCAACCTCTCACAATGGCATCCTCACCCGTCGTCGACATCAAGTCCAAGGCCCAGTTCGACGAACTGATCAACAAGACCCCCTACGTCGCCATCCAGGCCCACGCCACCTGGTGCGGCCCCTGCAAGGCCATCTCCCCCATCTTCAACAAGCTCGCCACCGACAACGCGAGCGACTCCTTCACCTTCGCCCGCTTCGACACCGACGAGGTCCCCGACCTCTCCTTCGAGCTGGGAATCCGCTCCATCCCCGCCTTCTTCTCCTTCGAGAACGCCGAGAAGGGCCAGGGCCTCGCGGGGGCCAGCCCGCCCGCCCTCAAGAAGCTCGTCGAGGAGCTCGCCGGCAAGTCCAAGGCTGGTGGTGAGTCTGAGTCCGCCGCTGCTGCTGCTCCCGCCGAGCCCGCTACCGCACCCGCCCCTGTTGAGGAGAAGAAGCCCGAGGAGTTCTCCACCAAGGAGGACTTCTAAGTCCCGACGCGAGAATCATCTACAATACCCCAAACCCATGAGAAAAAGAAGGATTCACCCCTACCTTCCCCGAAACATCACAAAGACGCGCGGGAAGTAGGGGGAGAATGAGACACGAAAGCTGATATACCCAGTCAAAGAGGGGAAAGCGCGTTTGTAGAGGGCTACGAAGTAATGAAGTATTGTCGGGAAAGGCAGATCCTCCGGAGGAGAAGGACGGCATTGGGCTATCTATAGAGAACCACTTATTCCTTTTGTCGCGATCACATCGCATCCCGCACTATCAATGTGCAATTAAGCATCAGTTCAATCAATTCCATCCATACTTGTTCGTCTCGTTGTTTACTATCATCGCGTCACACATTGTTCACATCGGATGTAATCAGACGAAGGTATGGATAGCATAGTCTTGATTCAATATACCAATGTCAATGCCTAGCTTCCTATTTAAACGAAACGATGCTTTGATTTGAAAGAAAGAAATGTGATACGCTGGTGAGCCGTGTTCGACGGAAAGGGACGCACGCTCTATGCTGTCTGTAACTTTGTTTCTGCCAGAGGGGAGAATACTGCGCTTAAAACATGGTTAAAAATGAATTAACACCCACACCTTTCAATCCCACCCCGGTATTTTTGTTTTCGCCCCGATCCCGATTGCTCCGTGGAAAGACAAGTGACAGGAAAAAGGAAGAATGCGGGAATATTTCCTGAGAAAGGAGAGACGCGATATCCTGCGCGACGTGTGTAGTCAGGACCCTGCCCTGAGATTTTGAAAGCTCCTGTCGAGCTCTAGCTAGGCTTGCCGCCCTCGTCTGTCGACTCCGCACTAATCCGCCCGACACCCGAGTCGCGCTGCCTTGATTTCGGCCGTGTTTGGTCAAGCTCCACTATCTCATCGATACTTTGATTCGTAGAGCCAGCTAGGCTGGCCAATGATGCTAACCTGGCACCAGATGAAACTCTCCGGCTCTCCTTAAGCTCACCGGCAGCCAGCTGTTTCCGGATATCGTTGTTGAAACCCAAGCTCCGGCGGGCAAAGTTATCGCGGCGACCGGGCCTTTGGTTGTTTGGAGAGAGGGAACTAGGTGAGGATGGGCCGGGACTGGTGTTGTTGCCTCTAAGCCGGTTCCAGAAACCGCCTTCACGGGAGGGATTCTCCTTCGTGTCAGCAATACTGAGGAAATTGAAGCTCGGGGTGGGAATCCCGGCTGATCCTTGGTCGTTCTTCCCTAGCCTGACTGAGGCGCGACTCGTAGTTGCGCTGCCCGTCGGGCTGGCCGGCTCGTTTGCCCAGACAGATGCGCTGTAGCCAAGATTGTGCCGCGAGTCTATGCTCCCACCAGACGTGATGATCGAAGACCGCTTGCCCTTGTGGGGTGAGAGGGATCGTTCGCTTCTGGAAGGAGTGGCATTCCTACTGTCTCTTCTGTTGCCATCGCCATCGATGTTCTGGCGCCAGCTGATGATCCTGTCCGATGCGGGCTGGGGATGAGCGTTGGATCCCAAACTAAGAGAGCCACGCCTCGACTGGGCCCTGCTGCTCGTCCCCGTCCTGATGCTAGCACTGCGGCCCATGTTGGTCGCCACCTTGGACGAGATCTTTGAGCCAGTCTCCCAGGCATTCTGCCGTTTGACGTAGGCACAGTCCTGTCTGAACACCTTGATCGTCCCTGTTCTATCAGCCGTGATGACAATATTGCCACCTGGATGTTTCGATCGCTCGATGTAGGCAGGAGACTCCTCAGGCTTCTTCGCCATCGACACAGAACGGTGATGGGGGTGGTTGTCGCTCATATCACTTTCCGATAATGCGACCTGACTCTCATCTAGACTCATGAGAGTGACCGGGGGCGGGTTGCAGAGATCAAAGACAGGATCCCCCGAAGCGCTAAGCAATTGCTTGCTCTTGGTCGGGGCAAAGAGCGCAACGGTCACGACTTCCGGATGGGCATCGAAGCTTTCGTACGGCTGCTTGCTCCTAGTCTCAATGTCCGAAGTGGTCGGGCCCCAGATGTAGGCCTTCTTATCCTCGCTTCCACAGATGACATATCTTGCATCGTCGCCGAAACGTGCGCTAATCTGGCTAGCCTGGCAGACGTGACCCCTGAACTTGGACTCGAGCATCCTGGTCTTTAGGCTGTAGATCCGAACACGAGAGTCATTGGAGCTAATGAGAACCTTGACATCGCCCTTCTCCGGTCCTTCTAGAACCTCGGCCGTTCGAATGCCCGTAATTTTGCTGCCCTTGGCATTCTTGCCCCTTGACGAGCGCACATGGATCTGGTTTATGGGGGTGAGTCCTTCTGTGTTGAAGAACATGCACATGCCATTCAAGAGACCGCAGATGGCTGTCGTGCCGTCAGGGCTGAAACCCACAGCAGTCTGGAACTCTGTCGTCGTCGTAGAAAACTGAACAGCTTTGTCAGGAATGTTCCATAAGCGTAGTTGCGAATCGAGGGATCCAGCCAGGAAGAATCGGTCGTCGGTAGGATGGAACGCAATTGAGGTAACCAGGTCGTTGTGCTGAAAAGTACAGAGACAGTCGGCACGCTTAGTATGCCACAGCTTGACAGTCTTGTCCATGGACGAAGACAATAAGAAGCCATTCTTGCTCCAACTCAGAGCCAGGACCTGTTCAGTGTGGCCAGAGTACTCCCTCACTGGCTTCTTCCGGAACACAGGAGCGCTCAATCGCTCCTCACGACCGCCCTCTTGCGTCTCGTCTTCCTCATGCGCAAAGCGCTCCTCGGGCGTGGAGATGACTGCGTACACCCTCACTACCTTGTCCTTCCCAGCAACAGCAAGGTACTTGCCGTCCATGCTGAATTCTGCGGCCCAAATGGCTGCGCCGCCCTTCATGAGCTTGTTCCCCATGGCTGTCATGGGTGTGCGCCCAGTCCCCGATTCCTCCTCAGCGTTTGGATCGGTGATGCGCAGCTCCTGCGCCAGGAACATGTGGTTGAACTCGCGGTCTTTCTTGTTATTGCGGCTGACGCGGATATATCGAGGGGGGGCTTTGTGCAAAGGAATGTAACCGCCTCCAGCGCCTCTGACGGCGGTGAAGGCTCGAGCATTGGCGCCCTCGTCGCGACTACCCCCATGCTCCGAATCGGACTCGAAACCATCCTGATCTTTGGCCCATGGGGTTCGCATGCTCAGACGGCTGAGGAATGATGTCCCTTTCCTACTCCAAGTCAGTACCACCGACAAACAGCAAGTACCTCCCACTGTCACCTTCCCAGAAACCAATTGAAAGGCCAGTCCCCCTGGAGGAACAACGCAACACTCACCTCCAATCCCTAGTAGCATCAACGGTATTTGAAGACTCGCCGGTCTGGGCTTGCGTTGACTCAACCGTCGGGCTGTCGGGGCGGCCGGGGACGCGAAGCCGCTGAGCGATCGTAGGCGGCGGCTGGTCGTGACTATTGGTCCGCATGTAGATGTGCTATAGAAGTGTCAGTACTAGGCGGTTGCTTCATCCAGTGCTGATTCTAGGGCGGCCCTTACGCTGCTCAATGGATCTAGGCCAACGGGGCCGGACGATCCGTTGGACGAGGGTGCTCGGGGCAGGCTCTTAGATTCTCGGTCTTTGGCATTCTGCGTACTCCCCCGAGAGATTCGACTTGCGGATCGTCGACCGGCGGTGGGGGTCTGAGGGCTGGAGGCTGCTAGTGTGTCAGTACGGGATTCACGGCGCGGCCAATGGCTATATGTCTGTCTCGAGGGGCAAGGGTAATGGTGATGGCAGCAGTGGGAGGGACATTGGAAGATAGGCGCATAGAGAAGGCTTCATGAAGGCTGGGCAAGCAAGGCAGGCAGGACGCGACATACCTTCGGGTCCATCGTCCGGGTGTACTGAGCTCGATGGGGCTCGACTCAAAGCTGACGACGCCGTGTCCAATGGAGAGCCCAATTGAGGACGCTGGGGGCTATCGGTAGTCTGGGGACCTTGAGAGGTCATGTGGGGGGACATTTGGCATTGCTGCGCCAGCGCAGCGAGAAAGAAGAGAAATTTGGGGAGAATTCGACGAAGCCGTCGCCGTCTAGGCTCTCACTCCTCGAAGGGGGTGAAGGGGAAGCGAACGGTGAGGTCGGGATAGGGAACTATCTGCTGCACGGGGCGCCGCTAGCTCGTGACGGGTGGGTCGGTGGAAATCGAAAACGAGGTTCACGAGGGTTCCGAGCGAGCGAGTGCGAATACCGAGCCACCCGGCGATTGGCCTGCTGCAGAGGGTCGAGGCAAGGTTGCTATGCGACGAGCGCACGTATCAGGATGGTATGGTTGCGAGCGAGTGAGATTATGTCCGCCCGGCCCGTGGATAAATTGCTAGTATGTATGCGATGATATGGCCAAGAGTTCTTCGTAAGTCTGTGTCGCAGGTATCTGTTTCTGGCAGGCCAGGCCTATTGCAGTGCACAGCGAGCTGACAGGGCGCTGGGAGGTGGCGGCACCAGCGTCTTCTGAAACGATCCTGCAAGCTGGCGCCTGTTTCGATTGCCTGCGCTGGTTGTTGCTGCGTTGGAGAATTGTGTCAGAGGCAGAGGTAGAGGCGGAAAGGCAGCGGAAACGGAGTTTTGTCGACTGCGAGTGCTCCGTCCCTTCTGTTGTATTTCTATATCATGTGAGACGGCAGGCTCGGCAGGAGAATTGGCTCGCGCGACGGACTAATGCATATATCTGTTTCCCAAGCAAACGGCCGACCCTGGCTTCCTCGCCAAAGGCTAACAGAGCGTTGTGGTTAGACAGGCAATAGCAGTCAAAGCCGGTGGCTGTGGGCAGGGGTTGCTGTAATTAACGGAAGGTAGGTAATACTGCTGGGGGACGGGATGCTGAGAGAAAAGAGAGGTTGGACGAGATCCAAGAACAGAACAGAAAGCTAGTTGACACACGCTCCGGTCAGCTTTGGTTAGTCTTTCGAGCGGCGACGTAAATAAGATGGCCGGTATCCAAGCCAAGACTACAGGACCCAGACTACGACGGGAGGAAGCTGGTGGAGGTACGAGCTACACAAGTGGCGGGTGCCACCGTCGACGAAGTACCTTTGGAACCAAGGTGCCTCGTTGGTCATGGGCCGTCAGCTTGGTTCTCTGGTGTGTGTGCGCGCATGTGTGTGAGCTGGTGAGTAATGTAAGTCTGATGTATACGAAAACGAGAGTCGATGATGGAATGGAAACACTAATTTGGAGTCAATTGGCAGCAGCCCACTCGAGTGTTTCTTCGCCAATTCTTGTCCCCCGCCTCCATCTTAGCCATTTGCGGCATCCCATCAGTCCTGGTTTTTTTTTCTCGTCCCAGTGTAGCCATATTCTCGCGGCAGCCAGGAGGCTCTAAGCTGCATGTGTTCTCGGGTGGTAAAGAGTCCCGCTCCAGTGGCCCGCCAGCGGACTTCGGGCACATTGACACAACTCCACCCTAGGTACGGAGATGTTAAAAATTCCGAGCGCGATCATCATGCCGCCTCATCCTCGTCTGATTGTGATACCTGCTCTCGGGCATGTGTTGGGCCAGCGAGCCATTTGAGGCATATTTGGACGCAGGAGTGACATTTCATGTGCGTTCCCGCACCATGGCATCGCATCGCCAAGATGGGACGGACCATGGCCCTGAGGCGTGTGTCTCATGTCCCGCTGTAACACGACCTCTCGTCTTGCGCCTCGGGGTACGCGGCCAGTCGCTAGGCTTCCCGCCAAGAGCCTCCTGTTCGCTGCCTCGGCGGGCTGTTAGCTCCTGCCCCTGCCGCTGTGCTGCAGGTTCAGAGGAGGATTCCCGCTGTGTCGAGCCCATCATGATGACGTCTTCCACTGAAGATCCTCCACAGGCGCCTGCACCTTTTGGAAATACAGAAGCCTACAGCGGTCCCGGGCACTGGTACGCGCCCCTCGATTTAAGATTCAAAATAAACTGCCGCATGCGATTGTCTTGTTCCTAATTTAGGTAGGACATGATCCAACGGTCTGCACCCTGCGATGCCCATACCAGACACTGTGCATGCTGGAGTCAGATTGACAGGCATGTGCCGCCCCTGTTCTCAAATCCGGCTCTTCCAGTGGCCCATCTGCCAGCCGAGGAATCATCCCGATCTCCTTGAGACTCCGTCCTTGCAACAGGCGTTCGGGATCCGATCAACGCAAAACCCTTTTAGGGCTCTCGGCTCCCGAGGCACACCTTAATTATCCTGCCCTCGTGCTTGCTCATCGCGATGGAACCCGCTGGAAACACCGAGCCCAGGTTTGCCGAGTCAGCATGATGCAAGCAATTTTTTCATCGTCTGATCTTTGGCATTGCTTCTAGAATTTGTGAAAAAAATTCGAGTGAAGCTAGGAAGCTCAAGGGAACTGAGTCATGCGACACCCTATCCACAGCGAGATGTAATGTACCTACCTTGCCTTTGTACCTGTAATCCTCATCTGCAGCGCCAAAACAGACTGTCTGTTACTGAAATGCGTACATCAACTTCCCTGATCTGCCCTGCGTCTATTTTGAGAAAGATCCCACCAACCGGGCCAGGCACCATGATTACTTTAACTGGGCGTTGCTTGGCTTTGTCCATCTGCATTTAGCGGGGCGGTGGCACCCAATTGTAATCGGGCGATGCTTTCACTCCCAAAGCTCCATCCATGCCGTACGTCTTTTCCCTGCGACGGCGGAGTCGACCAGCATCCAACCATGACACAGCATTATCACCTTCTGCCAGCCGCACATCATGAAATTAGCCAAGCGTAAGCTGCCGGCTGAGATTGAGGGCCAGCCCGTCTCCCTCCTCCCGGAGGACCCGGAGGACATGGTAAGTCTGAATGCCTTTTCTTTTTCTTTTTGCTTTGTCCCAAGCAAATCTATTGAACCTTGACCCCACCATGAGCCAACCATCTTGAGAATTGCCCCTCCCCCGCCATCTCAAATCTCAAGGGCTGGTTACACGCCATGGCGCGCCTGCGTCCGCAAGCAAGTCGCAAGGAGTAGCTATCACTGACCATCATCTTCTGATCCCTAGTGGCATGCCTATAACCTCATCAGCACTGGCGACATCATCCATGGCCACACCAGCCGCAAGGTCGTGCGCAAGAACGATGCGACCGATCAGACATCCGCCGAGCGTGTCCATCTCGACCTCGCTATCAAGGTTCGTGGCACGTCTTTCGACCCCATCACCTCGATCCTCCGTGTCACGGGTGCCGTCGTCACAGAGAACGAGCATGCGCCCCTAGGCTCGCAGCACTCCATCGAAGTCGAGCCTCACCGAGCCTTCACCATAATCAAGCCCGAGCCCGAAGGATGGGACTCAGTCGCGACCGAGACCCTCCGCGAGGCCCTCTCCGACGACAAGGATGGCGCCCTCGCTGCCGTCGTCATGCAGGAAGGCATCGCCAACATCTGCCTCGTTACCCAGTTCCGTACCGTTCTCAAGACCAGGGTAGAGAGTGTCATCCCCAAGAAGCGTGACACTTCCTCTGACCAGGAAGCCGGCATGCGACGCTTCTTCGAAAAGGTCCTGGCCTCTCTGCAGCGCGCCGTCGACTTCTCGCAATCCCGTCCCCTCCTCCTCGCGAGCCCTGGCTTCGTCGCCAACGACTTTAAGAATTTCATCGCCGCCAAGGGTCGTGACAGCAACGACAAGGTGCTCGCCAACGTCGCCAAGCTCGCCACAGTCGTGCATGCCAACACCGGTCATGTTCACAGTCTGAATGAAGTGCTGAAGAGCCCCGAGGTTCTGGCCAAGATGAAGGATGTACGGTTCGCCAAGGAGGCTCTTTTGATGGACAGCTTCTTTGAAATGCTGAAGCTCGACGATGGCCGGGCGTGGTACGGTGCCAAGGCCGTTGAGAAGGCAGTCGACGAGGGCGCCGTAGGGCCGGGTGGCGGAGCTCTCCTTATCAACAACTCCCTATTTCGAAGCCAGAATCTTGCCGTACGCAAAAAGTATGTCGCGATTGTAGATAAGGTCAAGGCCGACGGGGGGGAGGCGCGCATCCTCAGCAGTGACCACGAGAGTGGGCAGCGGTTAGGTATGTTGGGAGATATCGCAGCAATCCTCAACTACCCCATGCACGACCTGGACGAGGAAGAGGAGGAGGAAGAAGAGCAACAGGTTATACCAAGGCATCATGAGGATGACCCGGCTATGTTAGACAGTGTTATCTAGCTACACATTTTCACGACTTATGAAAACAATAAAAGTTGAGCAAGCCAAATTTCACAAGCAAAACATGTTATAGACATCTCAATATTACGACAGTCGTTGTCAAACGTTGGTCTACAAGCTTGAGCTCCTAAAACCCCACCCCGCGATTGCATACCTCATCCCTGCCGGAGCCTCATTCATTACCTGCACTAAAACTTTACAGTTCACAACCCTACATGGCTTGAACCGTGACAACAGCAACTGACAAAGATCTGGGAGGTGCATACAATCGCCACCATCATTCTCCTGGAATATTCGGCTCGTTTCCAATTTGATTTTAGTCTACGCAGGATGGGATCCAAACTTCGAATCGACTCGACGATCAAGCTCAACTCAGGCTATCATATGCCTATCTTGGGTTTTGGCGTGAGTATGCCATATAGCCCTTTGTAACCATCAAGATAGCTGACCACTCTCAAGGTATATCAGACGTAAGTGCAATTTCTCCATCCGAGATATCCAATGGAATTGGACTAACTATATCAGTCCTCGAGAAAATGCCAGGGAGATTTGTACGTTAGCCCTCAACGCCGGCTATCGTCATGTATGTCCCCTCTATTCTTGAAAGACACATATTGCAAATATCACGGTTTTCATTGACGATCCATCCTGTGGGATTAGATGGATTCCGCCACAGCCTACCGCAACCAAGGACCGTCAGCCGCATCAATCCCAGCATCCGGGCTACCCAGAGAAGACATCTTCTTCACCACCAAGGTCCCCGTCAAGAAGAAGCCCCTCGGTTACGACACCGTGTGCGCGCTCGTGGACGACGCCCTGAAAGAGACAAACCTCACATACATCGACCTCATCCTCATCCACTGGCCATACGGCGGCCCCGAAGCTCGCAAGGGCGCGTGGAAGGCCCTCGTCGAGGCCGTAGAGGCGGGAAAAGTACGGTCCATCGGCGTGTCGAACTACGGCGTGCACCACCTCGCGGAGCTGGAAGGTCACATCAGGGAGCTCGAGGCCGAGCGGGGTGGTCCAGGAAGAGGAGGTGTCATCTCGGTAGGCCAGTGGGAGCTGCACCCATGGCTGACGCGGCCAGACATTGTGCAGTGGTGCCGGGAGCGCAGCATCGCCGTCCAGGCGTACTGCCCCCTTGTGCGCGGGGAGCGCTGGGGGGACGCCAAGATCGTGGCCATGAGCAGGAAGTATGGGAAGACGGAGGCGCAGATCCTGCTGAGGTGGAGTATCCAGCGTGGGTATGTGCCTCTTGTGAAGAGCGTGACGCCCTCGCGCATCGTGGAGAACACGGGGCTGTTTGATTTTGAGTTGACGGATGCTGAGGTGGAGGACATCAAGACGGATGAGTACAAGCCCATCGCTTGGGATCCAGCCATGGAGCCGTTAGAAAAGTAACAGAGTTATTAACACTATCCGGACTTGCTAATCACCTTCGTGCTGGTGAATTTTGAGATCAGTTGTCTGGTTGGTAGGCAGTCTCCCTTCCCATCCCGAATCGTTTTGTGTCCGGAAACCTCGCCTGTAGCTGAAGAGCTAGAAGCAGAAGAGAAAACATTCTCACATACGGCATCTTCCATGCAGTCTCATTCTCTTGCCATTTCCCCTATGTAATGGGGAAAGACCGAGCAGTAGTTCCAACAAGATAACTTGAAGACAGCGACGGGACTCACGTGACCTCGCACCAGGGGCGCGTTGATTACCTTAGCTGCCACCCCACCATCACCCAACACGCGTTAATCACCACCACAATCAACTTGCTCGACGTTCGGCTCCCCAACCCTTCCGAGAACCCATGATTGCCGAACCCCCTCGACCAGGAGAGCTTCAACGAGGGCGGTGACCCGTCCGCAGCCGACGAATTTCTCCCTCCGGCCACCATGCCGCCCGTCCAGGGGACATTCAAAGTCCTCCCTGGCCTCGCCCGTTCAGACGTAAACAATGGCCCGATCCGCCCCATGACCTCGAAGCAGGTCAAGAAGGCCCACAAAGCAGCAACCCGCCAGCCGAAGCTGTCGCGCGCAGAGCAGAGACGCCTCGAGCTCGCGGAGCAGGAGCGCATCCGGAAGGAGTTCGAGAAGGAGAAGACGGCGGCGCGGGCCCGGGCGGCCAAGGAGCGCAAGAAGCAGAAGGAACTGGCGGACAAGGAGGCGAAGCGGAAGAAAGGGCTGCCCCTTGTGGCTCCGAGGCCGAGTCAGGAGACGTTGTCAAGGTTCATGTGGGGGAATGGGAGCGGGCTGAAGCGTGATGGGCGTGGGGCGACAGTTGCGCCTGCGCCGATGGCTGCCGTAAGAGAGGAGTCGGCACAGCCAGATGAGGATTTGAAGAAACCTGACGATGAGGAGGTGAAAGTTGAAATGGAGCCAGCTATGGATGAGAGGGGTGGTGCAGATGTTCATATCGAAGAACCGGAGCAGGCACATTCTCCAGACGCCGCATCCCCCATACCAAACGCAGGCGCCGCACAGCCGGAAGTTCTAGCCGGACTACAAGCATATGAAGAACCTATACAACCTACAAATCTTCATGTCGACGACACGGATGATATGGGTGACCCAAGGCTGAGCGCACACGCCCAATCTGAACCTCTGCCTGAGGTACATGGGGGAAAAGAGCATTCGCAAACCGCAGATTCTCATGTTAGAGAGCCGATTCCACAAAATTCACCACAGCCAATAGTCCCTAAGCCAAGTATTAGCATTGACCATACTGAATCTCCGCCTGTGGTCCCAGGGGGGGAGGCTTTGAGGTCTGCAGCAAGCGAGGGGAGCTTCATCCTAGGATCCTCAGATATGATCGACGATGAATCCTTACTTGAATTAACGGAATCCTTTGAACCGAAACCCGTATTAGATGGGCAGGAAACCGCAGCCCCATATCCCCAAAACGCACCAATTCTGACCCCCGAAATAAAGATACCGGACAACTTGCCCGATAACCTCCCCGATGGCATCCGCGCCGAGACCTCCGACGATTTGGCTGTTCTTGGGGCAATCACACAGTTATTCCACGATATGGATGATGATTACGACTACGAAATGATTGGGGATGAAGTAATAGAATCGCACGAACCCCCATTGGAAGAAGCGGCGCTGCCCCTCCCAGAACTTCATGATGAAACGAAACCCAAAGCGATTTTTGAAGACCAGGTTTCGCCGCTACCACAGAGGAGTCAGAGGCACGGGCTCGAGAGGAAAGTCTCCAGCTTTTTTGGGAGCGAGTTAGATGATGAATTGCTCTTACAGCTGGAATTGCCCGGCGATGTTGCTGCATCTCAATGTTGCCAGCCGGTAGACGAGCAGCCGCAACAGGAGTCTCCCCCGAAACGGGACCATGCCATTGGCAGTACAGGCCACCGTAGCACACCAAGCTCACCAATAGCTCCACGCCAACGACCTCCTCCCAGCACGCAAGCTATCCTTCTCAACCTCGACGACTACTTACCTTCTTCTACGCAACTAGCACTGGAACTCGACGAGGATGATATCGAAGAAGACTTCCCTGTAGTTGAAGCTACCAATCAGGTAAAACACCCCCCGCCAACTCCACGTCATGGCCCCTCGCCTGCGAGCAGACAGGGTGTGCAGCCGACAATGGCTGCTCCGCAGAGCGCTGGCCCGCCTATTCGACCACAAAAGCGATTCTTCAGCTCTTCTGGTTCCAACGAGTCGTTACATCTCGCACTACATCTTAGTCGGCGCACGGCAGCTCTCGAGGGTATCCGCAGGAATGACCAACGACGCGTGGAAGCCGGTCTTCTTCAAGGACGAACGATAAGCCAGCCGCAGAGGCATCAACACAAGAGGCCAAAAATACCCAGCTTTGCTATGAATTATCAAGTGAAACATGACCCGCCGGTGCAGAATGCTACGAGGATAGCGAAGACTATGATTGATGAGGTATCAAGACCAAGCCCCCCTAACCCTACAAAGGGAAACCAGAGCACCAGGAACGAGCAGTCGGGCACAAAATCAGCAGTGGCAATCAAGGGGAATGATACAAACAAGGAGAATATACCGCCGGAACCGGTGACTGATGACCTCTTGGGCTCCGGCCTGCCAGCTTCTCAGGAGACGGAGTATGGTGGCGCTTGGATGGACGACATCGGGTTGGATTTGGTTATCTGATGAATTATTGGCTATTGGCAATTAGCGTGGCGTTGTTAGGTTTCTTCTTGGGAAGATCATGTTTGGATTTTTTTCTCTTGTTCCGATTAGTTCGCTCTAGACTTAGAGGGCGTAGACATAGAGTGTTGAAGATGATATACTTTGGATAAGTTGGATGAATAACACAAACCTGAGCACCCAGCGTTTCTGGATCGTAAACCTTCACAAGCACGTTTGCCGTTGGGATTTTGTCACACCGGCTCCCTCCATTCATTATGGTATCCACGGGCTTGATCAATGCGGTGTGTAAAAGGAGGCTTGCCATACTGACCTAGAACCCCGTAAAATCTATCGCTGCCCTTATCATCGAATACCCTCAATAGAATATAAAAGCAAATGGAGCCAATCCCCCCAAAGCGCCATGCAGTCCACATGTAAAACCAATGGTAACCCTCCCGTACGCTTAGAAGCGACTAATGCATTTCCCAACCTTCCTCCAAAAGCAAAAAAAAAAAAACCAAACAAAAAGAAGCACCTCTTAACGCCGTCCTCACGCTTTGGTCATAAGAGGTGACATACGAAACGGTGGGCATGTCCAGCCTCACAGGTAGATGCCCACCCACTCGCCCTTCGGAATCACCTTGGTCTCGCAATCGTCGACCGCACACCGGATATCGGTTGCACTCTTCATGGGGAATCCCGCACCGTTGGGCAACGCCTTGGTGGGCTTGCGGTTTTCAAAACACTCGGCACAGTAGACCTGTTAAAGTTCATGTTAGCTCCACACTATCCAACTGTAAAAAAATGTAGGCGCAGGTGGCCAAGAATCAAAACGTACGTGGCCGCAGTTCTTGAGAGCCCAGAAGTGATGCTCAGGTGGCCTCTTCCGCTTCCCCTTACCGGCGGACGAGGACGGGGCAACTGTAGGTTCTGTCGGGTCGTATGCGAGCTCCTCGTTACAGCAGGGACAGACGACCACCTCGTCGTTTCCTTCCTCCGGCTCGGCGAACGTGGCCCGCGTGAAGCCCGCCCTCGTGGGCGGCTCTGGCTCCATGGGCGGCTTGGGGCTGGGGCGCTGGGCCGCGGGGATCGGAGGGGTATGCCGCCTAGGCGCGAAGGCGCTGACCAGGCTGGTGAGCGAAGACCGTAGTGCTGGGAGGGGTAGCATCAAGCCGTTGGCTGTTTGCCGAAAAGTCACGCCGACCAGGGCATCTGGGAATGAGCGTTCTAGCCGGGCCAGCGGCAGTTGCGGTGGCCGCCGTGGTGGTGCATGTGCTCGCGAGGTTCGCTCAATTTCGGGTGAGTCCCCGGTCAAATCTATTATGTCAGGCATCTCCCCGGTGCGCGAAAGAGTGCCGTCGCTTCTTGCAAGGGTGGGCGGCGAGGTTCGTAGAGAGTTGGTCCTTCTAGGATTTCGACCCGATCTACTTCGAGCGACGGTGGGACCGTCGCCGTGTAGTGGTAGCAGAGGGAGTTGTTGGACGTCGATGGGGGACTCAGGCTCGTTGGTCAGATCGATGACGGCTGGAGGGGGAGGTGGGTTGGTCTGGATTTGTTGTGGGTTTGGGGAGTCTCGAGAGAGGAGGGACGAGGATCGTGGGTGGTGGTGGTGATGATGATGGTGGTGGTGGTGGTGGTGATGTTGCGGATTATTATTTCGCTGGCGAGGTTGATTCCGAGGAGGTCGTCGGGGTTGTGGCTCACGCTGCACTCTGGTTTGCAGCATCTGAGCCAGTCCTGAGAACATGCTGTCGCCGGCGTCAAAATGTGAGTTGCTGCTGAGGGGCGCCCGGGCGTTGGAGGACGAGTGAGAGGGCTGGTGCTGTAGGCTGGGAACGGCTGGAGCCCTGTTGTTGTTGGCAGCGCGGGATTGGAGAGATTCTGGCGGGAATGCAACCTCTATGACCTCCTCGCCGCTGTCCCAGCCATAATCCGTCTCGGAAGAGGGGTCCATTGCTGGCTCCTGGCACGCCTCTGGGGCCTGCCGTCTCCTCCACGCAAATTGTACGGCCTGGGCAAGCCGGATCGAGAATTAAACGGTAGCCAGTTCGTTTCGAGGGAGCGAATCCGGTTCGTCGAAGTGTGTGGGTTCCCGCTGGCTCAACATAACCAAACATAAATAAACAAAGCGGTAGGGACCATGGGACACGGCGGTAAGCGACTGTCGAGCATGCAGGTGTGCAAAATCAAGGTATTATGACAAAGGAATGTAGCCAGAAACCCGCACACATTTGGCCTCCAGGTTGAAACTCGATTTGACCCGAGAGTGGGGTGGTGAAGTTGAAGTTGGATGAGGTAAAGGCGAGAGGCGACTGGGCCAGGCGCCGAATGTACGCCGAGTCTGCTAAAGAGGGACCTTGGGGCTGGGATGCACTATCAGAAACGTGAGGGCAGACGCGCTGTTTGTGCTAGGGCCACCTGTGCCACCTTAACGCTCAGCGCGTACTGGCAGTCCCTACGAGCGATTAGACCCAGCCAGTTGGTGGCAGATTCGACTCGGACTGGACTGGAGCCTTCCGCAATTTCAAGTTTGTCATCCGTTGCCACGCTTCAATCATGCGTGACGGCTGGTGAATTAGCCCTGGCCGTATTCACGCGAGAGCACATGAGCCGTTTAGGCATCTTGGATACGTAGCAATAGGTCCCCTTTTTGTCGCCACCCGGCACGACCGAGGTCATCTAATATATTTGGCCAATGGATGGTTGACGCAACACAGAGAATGCAAATAACAGTACAACGATTGATTCCAAAACCCGGAAATAAACCTCCCCATATAAATGAAAACAACCAGAAATTCTTCGCCCTGTTCACTACTTATGCCTTAACGCCAAACACAGTAAGAGCATTGTCGTTAGTAAGAACGACCAGCTTGCGTCCCTGTTCTCCCCATCGAACCCCAATTGCAGGAACTGAGCTTCGGAAGGGCTCGCTCCAGGCCTTGCTGGACTTAAGATATTGTTGTACGGTAACGCCAGATGGTCCTCCGGTGGCGAGGAACTGTCCGGTGTAGTCCCATGACAAGCTCTCAACATCACCACCGGTCTCCAGGACCTTCGCCGTTGCTGCTGCACCCTCCTTACGAAGGTCGAAGATCTTCACGGTTGATTGGCGCTTAGCTGCGGCCGCAAGCCAGAAACCGTTCTCGGAGAAGGTCAAAGCTTGAACTGGGACACCAGACTCGAGCTCGAATTCGGCGGCTTGCTCTAGAGTCTTCGTCATATACAATCTCACGGTGCCGGTGGCTGTTCCTGCAGCCAGCAGGTGACCATCTGGGTGGAACGCGCAAGCAGTAAGAGCTGGGACTAGTCAGCATCAACCTTGCCGCCAGACTTGGGATTGCAACTTACCGGAATTAGTGAATGCTCGGCTGACTCGCTTCAAAGTCTCGAGCTCGTAGAAAACAATAGACTTGTCACCGCCAACGGAAGCGAGGATGGCGCCGCTGGGATGAACGCTGACGGCGGCCACAGGCCCAGCATGCTCCGTAGCCTGAGCAACCTCGTTGCCACTATCGAATACCTTGACAGATCCTTGTGCAGTACCGAAAACAATCTTTGAACCTGCCCAAGCGGTGTTGGTGACGGGTTCGTTAACGGCAAACTCGGCCTCGACCTTTTCGTCATCGATAGAGAATGTAGCAGATCCGCCCTGCAGGCCACTCGCGGCCGCCTGTGATCCTGAGACATCGAGGTATCGTGCATCAGATACTGGTAGGCTCGTGGTGGTACCCTGCTCGAGTGTTGTGATTTCGTCTGGGGTGGCCCAGCCTTCTGGGATCGGTCTTCGCTTACGACCTTTGGATAGACTACAAGTTCAGTGGTCAGTATCAATGTCCAGAGTTTCCAGGCAACAATCAAACGTACGTCGCATGCGTCTCGTCAACAGATGTGGCCAGATCCTCCGGCAAGCCCTCTGTGCTATCAATGGCCATAGCGTCTCCATTGGCGCCATCACTGACGGTCAGCTTTCCAAGCGCTTCCCGAGCCTCATCCCGCTCCCTAGACAACCGCGCAATAACGCGTACAGCTGCATCATGCTGATATAAGGCAGTCGAAAGCTCCTCCCGCGTCCGTGCGAGTTGCTCCTTGAGATTGTAGGTCTCTAACGCGAGGGCATCCCATTCGTTCTGGAAAGTAGCAAGCAGGGCCGGGATCGAAGTCAACGTGGGCGGCCGCGGTCGCACAATGCGCGAAGACTGGATAGGAAGAAGGTCGTCCGCAGTAAGGGCTTCTCCAGAGCTAGGTTCGGTGCCGTGTTCGTTGATGTATTGTTCGATCAAGCGCTTCTCGTACACGACGCCAGATTTTTTAGAGACGACGGGCTCTTGGGGAGCCTCTCCCGAAACTACACAAATTGAATGTTAGCATTACACCTAACAGAAAAGATTGCGGATTAACTCACTTCCGCAAAGCATGGCGACACAAGTGTAGGAGGTTGTGGCGCTGGGTTGGTGGTTCTGCGATTTCAACAGCACCGTAGACAGCTCTCTGTTGTCGCGAGATCTTGGACTTTGTCAAGCTCATCGGCATAAACCTGAGATTTCGGTGTGCACAGACCATCCAGGCACGCTATCGCAAAGAACGCGCCTACCCTATATCCAGTCACGAGGTGATAAGAGCTTGGGAGCGCCTATCACCGGCTCCCTCGTCAACCCACGCCTAACCCACAGTGGGGTGGAAGCTTCCCACTGAACTACAAGACCTTATCAGCACCATACTCCTCCTGTAAGTCTGCCCTGCTTCCTCAAGAGTCACAACTCAGTTCGCTCTCCAGCATCGTTTCTTCTGGCATCATGGCTTCCAAATCGTTACCTCCCGTGACTGACTTCCGTAGTCAAGAAAAGACCCTCCAGTTCGAAGCACTCGATGCGCTCTTCGAACCCAGTCCTGCGATCCACGAGACACTGCACCCAATAATCCAGACGGCGCAGTACTCTACCTGGCCAGAGTTCATCGATGCCTGCCATGCGCGCTTCCTCGAGCTAGCGAAAAGCTCCTCAGACTCGTCTCCCGACCCAAAGCTCCTGTCCATCCTGGGATCTCATCCACGACTCGGCGAGAAGAAGATCACTTCGGCACACTCGGCCGCCGAGCAAGCCAACCTCCAGAAAACACCAGACCCCGTCGAGGCCGCAGAGCTGGCCCGACTAAATCGCGAGTACGAAGAGAAATTTCCCGGCTTAATATTTGTGGTCTTTGTCAACGGGCGCGGCAGACCAGAGATCATGGAGAACATGAGAACCCGAATCGCGAGAGCCGACTTCGCTCTGGAGGTTGACGCGGCACTCCAGGTAGCCCTAGACCTCTCAATTTCCCTCCTATCTCTTGTCGATATCATATGGGCACACGTCTTACTAACAAAGAATAGGCCATGTGCGATATTGCAAAGGATCGCGCAGCCAAGCTTCAGTAAACTGAAGCCTCGTGGGTACGAGGCTCGTATGAACCATTGCATCGGCCCGCCCCTCTCGCCTCATATCCCTACATGCTATGGTGATGGATCTGTTGATGGTCAGCCATTAAGTCGCCCGTGTGCATATCCAATGTGATGCCCTCCTGATTCCAGAACCCTTCGCACATTGGCGCGTCGTCAATGCGGCCCTTCAATAGCCTTCGCTTGACATTCACCCTAATCTATCTAAATAATGACCAGCTGAGAATGAGTGCCTCGCAATGCTAAGATCCTAGCCTTCAGGTAGTGACGTTTGGGTTCAATTGAAATAAAACCGATAATCAAGAGCAAAAACATCACTCAACTCGCATCCTCACCATCATCTTACCTACCCTATACTCCATCCAAACATTTCCCTTTGGTCCAAGGTAACATACAGTTGTAAACTTCCCGATACTTCGGAGTTCTCATTTATTTTCCTCCCTCGGGCGACACAAAAAGAGATATCTCCTTCCGTAATTAAAGTCTTTCCATGCGGATGTATGTGTGGAAGATAGCAAGTTGACATTGCCACTTGGGTGAAATGATCTTACCATTGTTACCCGTGGCCACAGAAATGCACCAGACAATGCTATGTTTTTTTTTTTTTT